AAGCAGCATTCTGACGCTACTTAAGAATAATTTGAGTTGTTTATAAAGTCTTTATTAAATAATCTATCAAGGCTATTGAAAATTTAAGGTTTGAAATATGCTTTCGTTTTAGTTGAATTCAAATATACAGAATTTTTTACTTAGTTGAATTCAAACATACAGAACGTATTACGAAAGTTAGAATTTTTCTGTTTTCTCTGTCCATCGCATTTTTAAATTCCGAAAATTTTAGGTTTCCTTTTTTCTAAGAAAACAGCCTAACCTGCGGGATGAAATGTGAAAAATTAATCTTCAGAAAATCGTAGGGAATTTATTTGATAAACTTCGATAATTGTTCAAGAATGGAACGGTCATCTAGAAATTTTAGCAGTCCTAAAGTAATAGAAAACTCTAGCCAATATTTGCTTCTTCGAACAGATATTTTACGGAAAACAGTCGTTGGGTGCCCTTGATAAAACACAGCGATTTCGTGTTGAAGTAACTATTAAGTATACGATTTGAGCCTATCCAGATTCGTGTGCACGGGGCCATGAAACTCTACTCGTGGTAACTTTATCCAGGATTTATCATCTACTTGAAACGACAGCAACGAAGTCAGAGCCTTCCGTTATTCTCTGACTAATTTAACATAACAACAAAGTAAATGTCAAAGGTGATTACAGTAGCGCAGAGTTTATTTTGCTTTAAATACGATAACTACAGCTGTAGAAAGTATTGCTTAAAGTATTCCAACTGGTTTGGATCTTGCTTACAGAAGGTTTCAATTGATTTCACAGAATGTACACATGCTCAGCTAGAACCTCATATTGCATAACCATTAGCATTAGACTTTTCTCTTTTCTCTTAAGCTTTACAGAGGTAACAAAATTAGCATTAGCAATAAAACTATAGCTCTCTTTGCTTTTGAATGCTTTATTAATTTAGCTTAATTTTTTCTTTGATTTTTACGCATTATATTAAGGCTTATTATTTTTAAATACCATTCGCGTAGCAAAATAATTAAGATTCGGTATTGCGGGGCTCGATGAATTACATGTACACTCTTTTGTAACATACAACATAGTTAATCCTTATAGAAATTCGAAGCTGAGATTTTGCAAAAGTTTCTCAAATTATATTAGTAAAGGTAATAGCATGATTTGAAGTGATATTTGGCGTAAATATCACGAGTGATATTTCGAAATTGTTATACGTAATTTCACAAGCTGTTAGGCCAGTGAAATTTGAGACAACTTTGGAACATCACGAGACGTGGTATTTATGCCAAATATCACATACATATCATGCTATTATTTGTTTATACTACTACCCGCAAAAGGTTTGTAAATTTCACATGCAGGTATTTCAAATTAAGCTAAAATACCACTGGCCTAAGCCAATCAGATTGCAGAAATTTCTCATGCAGTAGTATAACGGGGCATATGCAAGTGGGACAACGTCAACGTCAAGGAAAATAATAGAACTTAGCATAATCTTTGCGGTCACGACTACGACGTGAAATCCCCTTATTCGAGTTTTTCTTGAGTACGTGAGCAGACGAAGATTAAACTCCAGAAAAATATCCAAACCTTTGACAAACTTAGCGACTTGGAATACAATAGCCATAACCTTTTGAAGAATGCGAATGCCTAAATTCACTTTTTAAAACGTTTTCATTGTCGTAATGGTACAGCATTTGCACCTGAAGGAAAGAAGGTGTATCTGGATAAAGGGTGGAGTGAGGAGTAGGGTACAAAAGACGGTCTAAGTGTACCTTTAACCCATAACATTTTGTTAAAACGCTCTCAGAAAGTAACACTGTCTCTCTTTTTATATCAAATAGCGTTTTGTTAATGTTCAGCTTCTTCTGAAAACAGCAAATGCACCCTTAGCAGGAGCTCCTGACCCTTAGTTATATTCTAATCATGCAGAAGCTGTAATTTAGAGTGTAAAAGACCTCAATAGAAACCGATAGAGAGCAGCCAAAAGATTTTCATAGAGGTCTGAGTAGGAACTCGCAGAGAAGTGAGTCATTTATCGACATTTCACTTGTCAGCCTTATCTGTCTCCTCACCTCACCTCGCACCGCGTAGGAGGACTGGGGAATAGTCGTAAATGTTGAGAAATATAAACTGCTGGTGTTTAAAAGGATTTCAACCGAAAAGCTTATTATGAATGTATCTGCTATTAGCATCGCTCAGGTGGACATGTGTCCTCTTACACCATATTTACTATGCTTACGCAGACGTTCTTAGGATTCCGTCACGCGTGAGGAAGCCCAAAGAACGCCTGCGTGGGAGGCTAGTGGACATCTATATTTATACATGACAAATATGCGGCGCTCTTTTAGAGATGGATGCATAGGGCGTGAATTGTGTAGTTCAGCTACCAGGCACTGAGAATAAGTGGCTATATTAGAAGTCTTAAAAGCGAGACCATAGATTGCTTAAGATATCACGGAAAAAGTAATGGGATATAGGATATGATGAGTTAAAAAATGATAAGGGATTAGATAAGACAAGATATGATGTGGATAAATTAGAAGAATTTAAGATATGTTAGGATAAAATAAGAAAGGATTTCATGTGATTTATATGGTATAATGAAAAGATATCATCAGCTTTGTTAAAACAAGGAGATAAGATACAGTAATCTCTCCAATTAGCCCTCGGAGGCTAATTTTTCCAGTCATTTTTTTTTAGGGGGGCGAATTAGAGGGATTGTGGTATCTTATAACGTTAGGTAAAACAAAACTAATCAGGATAAGACGGCAAAACTGTGATCTGGGGATATGATAAGAGTGAAAATAATTATGTTATGATTAATCAATAAGGGGACGTAGAATACGATAATAAAAGAAGAGATAAATATACGTTATGAAGAACAATGATAACGGTAAGATACAAGAGATAAAAAAGAGAGATAATATAGGATAAGGTAAGAATAAGATTATTACATAAGAAGTAAGCGAGTATAGAATGAATTATGGATGATAATACAATGAAGTAAATACAGTATATACATATATTTATTGCAACTTAAGTGGCTTTTCATGCCACTTATAATTCACGAATATAAAATTACATGTTTCTCGAGATTCTTGAAGGTTAACCCATTCCACAGGAACAGAAGGATATTGACGAAAATGACGAACCACGAGAGCCTTTATTGAGCTACACCTTTTTTTTGGGGTGGGGGGGAGTTGACTATCACATATACCCTAAGTGTGTTACACAGAATTGGGGGAGTTCCAAGTGCTCAATTCTTAAATAGGCTTTGTTGTATTGAGATTCTTTCAAAAGTCATATAAGGGATAAAGGTTACTTCAAATTCTGTCACAGGATCTTAACTCTCTGTAAAAGACTTAACTACCGTCTAGGTGGGGAATTCTGAAACTACGACAGTTTGGGAAGGCGTTTTGGATCAATTTAGGTTTCCGGGAAAACTGCCCACCTACCCCTCCCCTAAGTTAACATTAACACTTACTTCTCACTTAGGGCAAAATGATGGCTTAGGGGAGTGGTAGGTGGGCAGTTTCCCCCGAAACCTAAAACTGATCCGGCATTTTAAGGGATGCACGTCAACCGGAAGTAAACTATTTACATTCATGTGCAGTGGTGTCGCCCAAATTTGGTAGCAGCAAGGCATATTAAAAGGAAAAAGGCCTCACTTCCGGTTGTCATGCCTCGCTTTATACTCCTCAATATCGCATTTGTAGAGCTGTAAATAATTAACAATTATTGAACGAGGTTGAGCAAAATATCGCGATTTGTCTGATCTGCGAGACACTGACAAATCACGATATTTTGCGATAACCGAGTTCAATAATTGTTTTATCATTCGATCACCGAGTTTGTTTTTTTACTAAATATCCTCGGGAAGCGAAGCGATCTGCAAGAGCGATCGCAAGAAGGAGAAAGGCACGGTTTCCTTTACGCATGTGCAGAATATTATTTGCAGCCAAACACAGTTGGACGGTATTACGCATGAGCACTATTACCATGACCATTATTTGTAGGCAGTTATTTGCAGGTCACGTGGTGAGCTCTCGGCCAATGAAAGGAATGAAAAAGAATGAAAAATTTGCTTCGAATGATAATAGTCAATCATCGGACGATGTCCAACCCGACCCGACCCATCATCCGACGAAATCCTTCCCGCAGTCAAACGTTGAATTTTGTAGTTGAATATTTGCATAGTAATTAGACAAAATTAAGAGTCAACATTATGAATATCCAAGAACTTTTCTGGTTTGTCCGACTAAGATGGTTACCTTCTAAAACAAATTATTTTTAGGTCTGCATGTGGGAAGATGCGCAGACGTTCTTTTGGTCTGTTGAAAGAAGACAGATAGGAAAAAGGGAGAGAGAGGTCGTACCTCAAATTCAATTCCATAACTTGACTTCGTGAGGAATAATGTTGAATATATAAAAGTATTAAAACAGATTTGAATGAATTTATGTGACCATTGATAGACTCTCCTGATTCGTAAGCGTTTTTTCACTAGAACATGCAAAGCTAAAAAAATGAATTATCATGAGTTTCATGACCAGTGGAGAGGTAGTCCTCCGCAATCAAAATACATGGAAAGAGAGGGTCTGGTAAAATACTAAAAAACGTCATTAAATTTTACCCTAAAACTTATGGGTTGTTGCACTTATTATAAAAGAATTACTGAGACTTCGGTTGGTAATGTTCAAGAAATACATTTCCATTTTCCTACCGACTATACTGAGGTGGTTTTTTTTTTTTAACAGCTTTGAAGGCTTGGAACAGGTGATAAAGACGCCACGTTGTAACTGAAGCACAAAGGTGTGATCCCTCAACCAAGAAACTAGGCTAACTTATCAAGCGAGTTCCATGTTAGTTCCAACTAAAATCTCAGTGGATTTAGATTACAATAAATTACACACCACAACACTGAATTCGATAATAACTTTGAAAAGTAGCCTTTTTTTGCACGTCAAAAGACAACAAATCACATGCAAATTACCAAAGCAAACCTGCCTAAGTAATAGCCATTACTCATTCTTAAACATGTCACTCAGAAGTCTTTCTATAGGAACAGTTCCGATTGTCTTCTTGAAGAAAAGATCCTCGATCTCCTTGGCGCTGATTCGTCGTAAGGCTGGTAACAAAAGAAGCAGGCGTCCAAACCGCGCGAGCTGAGTAGGGCACTGGGCTCGAACATACTCCCCTAGCATGAGTTGGGCCTGGTCCTGGGTGGATTCCACTTGCTCTGGATCCTTGAGCCCGCAAGCAGCTAATAAAATTGTACAAATGAAAATATCGATTGTAAATTGATTGTAACACAATACACTACTGAAAAGAAAATTCTCAGATTCATTAGTCCTCTTGTTGTTGCTTTTAGAGTGCCTTTAAGCTGACCTGCACTTACGACGCAACAGAATGCTTGCATGGGTGAGCAAAGAAACCCTAAACCAATACTATATAATATAAGTTCGTTTTTCCATATGTACAAATGAAAATATTGATTGAAAATTGATTGTAGCACAATACACTACTGCAAACAAAAACATTCTCAGATTCATTAGTTTTGTTGTTGTTGTTTTTAGAGTGCCTTTAAGCTGACCTGCACTTACGACGCAACAGAAGGCTTGCATGGGTGAGCAAAGAAAACCTAAACCAATACCGTATAATATAAGATCGTTTTCCCATGTTATTTTTTTTCTACTTTATTGCGTCGCCTGCGTAAAGATTCGAAAGAGGTACAGAACAAAAACCGACAGCAACAAACATGTATATACCCCGAGGGGTGTGCCTTCTTATATGGCCTATACGGGAATGTGCCGCTGTGCAGGGTACGGTTTTTGTCCTCGCTGTCCTAAACAGGGTATTTAATTACGCGCGAGCCTGTTTTTAGGAGACTGTTTAAATTATAAACAGGGTATTGCCTGCACGATCGATTTGATCTGCTTGAGGGAATTTGTTTGTACTCTAACTATAACGCGAATTTGCTCTATTGCAATTGCCAATTAATGGCTTTAAACCAAGACGACGTGCATTTTTTCTGTTGTTCTAAAGAGGGTAATAAAATTGAGTCTGGTGTCCTAAACAGGGTAGGTATTTTAGACTTTTTTTGTGAGTTTTAAACAGATTCACGGTTTCAAACCCTCAGCGGCTCATCTATACCCAAATATTGGTCGAGTAAACCCCTTCCTGTGGGTGTCTAACACTACATAATGAACGATGAAATGACATGACGCTACACTTACTTGGCTTGAAGAGCACTATCGCCTTGAGACATGCGTATTCGGTAGAATCAACATTGGCAGCCTTGAATTTGTTGACTGTTTCTTGAATCAAGCGCACCGTTGCCATGACGTCAACAATTTTCTCTGGTGGCGTGCTGTCCACGTGTAAACCGGCAGCTGACAAAATTGGTGCGATTTCAAGTGGCATGGACCACTGGCTGGCACCAAGCAAAAATAGTTCCCTCCAGCCTTCCTCTAGCAGAATTACCTATTGACACATAGATTAAGTCATTTAAAATTATTCTCTTTGTTATTTGCTCCTTTTGCTTTCACCTCAAGAAAGGTGAACGGCCATTGTATTCACAATGTAGTCATGCACCTACATGAAGACAAGATGATAAATCTCGTTCTAGCAGAAAAAAGAATTAAGGACGGAAGGAAAGACGATAACTGTGCTGTACTGTCAAAGCCACCATATCATGCTAGTTAAACGCCAGGGGGGTACTCAAGAAAATTTTATACGGGGAGGCTCCGCCCCGAGGTTCAACCCTTTACCTGCCTTTTAAAGCAGCACCAGCACGTTTTCTCGACCCTTTCACGGGCATAAAATGAATCATTTGGCCCGTCTGGGCCTTTTTACAGACCAAAATGACAGATCTCCCTACCCTTTTATATAATTCAACTAGTGACATCCCTACCCTTTCATATACCTGAAGTCTGAAAAAGGTAATAAGTACCAGTTTCAGCACTTATGCACACGAACCAACTCCGCGCGCGGTATGACCAGTAAAGAGGTACCCCTTTTGGGCGGAGCCATTCCCTATGAGCCTTTAAAGGGACTACCCCACTCTCCGGGGCTAAACGCTGAACCTTATTGACCTTCTTTAGTTAAAAGGTGTTTTTCTTCTTCGCTATTTGACAGATTAGGTTGGCTAAGGTTAAGGTTACAGTTTTGGTCGTAAAATTAACATCAGCATCAGCTAACGATACTCATGGATTGTCTCGACTTTTTTTATATAGGCCCAGTTGTTCGAAGGTCTGTTAGGGCTAACTAGGGGTTAAATTTTTAATCCAGGGCCGAGTTGTTCAAAGCTGAGTTAAGATAACCCAGGGTTAGTGCGAGATTTGAATTCAGATTTGAAAGCTTAAAAATCATTTCAGTTTTAATTCTTTTTGTCTACAAGTTGATGATTGAAAGCTCAAAAAACAACAGAGGAAAGTATCGGAGAAAAAGCTTTTGAACACAAGAGAAAGAGACCCGGGTTAAGCGCTAATCGCCCTTCGAACAACTGGGCCCAGGTTTCTTTTTCTTTTGTTCAAAAGCATTTTCTCGGATAATTTTCTCTACTTTTTTAAGAGCATCCAATCAGCAAAGTGTAAATAACAAAAATAATTAAGACAGAATCCATCAGGAAATTAAGTAATTTCAATTTTCAGTAGCCGAAACCCTTGTATCAGAATAATTTAAACAATACTACATTCTTTTTTACATTTTTCAACGGCTCTCGATATTAAACAATTATTGGATGAGGTTGAGCGTGATATCATGAATTATCAAAACCGAGGTCTGTGTTATCTGTCGAAGCCGAAGGCTGAGGTTGTTCAACCCTGGGTTAACCCAGCTTTGAACAACCCGCCCCGATCTCTATAGGGCAAGAACTTGACAAAGGTGAAATTTGTCAAATAAACTATAATATCAGAGCCGTTGATGGTGTCTAGTCTCACCTGATCTCTGAAAGGCAAACTCATAAATGAAGGAATATTCCTGGCCCATTTTACTGACATAAACAGTAGCTTCGCGGCCGCTTCACACACAGCTTCTGGATTCGAATAATACATAGAAACTGAGATGTCAGATTGAAATCTGATTGGCTTATACTCCAGCCCAAGGTCAAAGTCGTTTGGCGGTAACTGGCATCCATCCATACATGTTTCAGCTGCCAGCAAAGTATTGATGAAACCACTTGTATTGTGCGGTACATGCGCAGTGCTACCAATCTCCATTCTATCTTGAGCTTCCTTGAGCATCTTCTGCTTTCGAAGAGTAGAGCTTCGGGGCCCGCGTTCATGTTGAACAGCTGAAAAATAATCAAGGTAGGTACTTTAAGTAGGGTTATTAAAGTGTATCAAGAATATATTTGACATGATGTATTAACGTAAGAAAGAGGACCTAATTGAATACACTCTGTCTGACCCCCGAATTTTGCAAAAATCACTGTTTCAAATGCTCTTGGGAATATGCAGACAATCCAAAACTCCATGAATAAATTTTTTTCTAATTCTAATCTCATGTGTAGGTCTCATGCTTTGCTTTAAAAATACATTTTAAAAACGCCGACCCGCCTTTCTTCAATTCCAATGCTTGTCCATTTCCTTCCACTCCAGATATTACACTGTTACGGCATTATCACTCTATGGTCTCTTTCACGAGCTGGATGTTACTTTAAAGCGGAACAGGGAACGGGAAATAAAAAATGAGAGCTTGAACCCTAGCCGTGTCAGTAACTTCATTTCCAATTAAGTCTTTTGTTCCCACTTTTCATTTCCCCGTTGCCCGTACTTTTTTCCCGCTTCCCCCGTTCCCCGTTTTATACTCAATGACATCCGTTTCACGAGATTATTGGGAAACATAGGTAAGAAAAAAAGTAGGCAACCAATGACCGTTCCAGACTGGATCTGGGAAACGGACGGCAACGTTTGTTCATGGGATACTGTAAAAACCAGCGAGCAAGAACCGCGAGGCTCCATTCTCCTAAGTTAGCCCAAAAAGGTCATTACTTATAATGAATGGTAATCCGCACAAATTTATTCTGTTTGGGTTCTTAAACAGGTTTTTATTTGCTGAAGAAAAAAATACATTGTAACTAAGAGTATTTAGTGCTATTCAACTTATTCCGTATATAAATCTGTACCAATTTACATTGCAGTTGGAGTGACTGAAGGCACCTATATGTCTCCTAAGAGGATCCTGAATGTTGACTTATCTTACTTGCCCAAGTGTTCAGAATTCTTTTATAGATTTTAGAAAAGAAGAACCGGTTTCAAATTTTAGGCCAAGCAGGTTCTTATATAGAGGGCGCCTAACAGGGAATTTTTTTATCTTTTGCAGGTAGTACCTGGGATCAATACAGAAACTAAAGAAATTACAGTTGCAAATTTAGACTACATCAAATTTCAATGAAAAACAGACGCAATTAAAAGATGTCGAAAGAAATTATTCGAAGAGAAGAAAGAAATATAAAAGCTGACGTTCCTAAGTAAGAGGATAATAAATTAAAGGCGGTTTTTCAAATTGCAATTTGCAGTTTTTTTTTGTTTTTTTTTTACAATGACGCAATCATATCAATGACGTTGACATATTCTCAATTATCATTCCTAGAATTCGCATAGTTTCAGAGGAAATTTATTCTGTTATTCGCCTTCAAAATAAAAAACTACTTTGATAGTTTCAAAAAGAAAGGTTTGGGGAACACAAATAAGAATTTGATAGTTGGCTGCAGTTTGTTGAACTGCGATTCTGCTATATTGAAATCATTCGCCATACTATCCAACGACTGCGGCCAACATTCTTTAGTGTTGTTTTCATTGTGCCAAGATAAAGGAATGTTTTGTAAACCTGTAAAGTAATAAAAATTTAGACAATAACAACACACCCAAAATTCTTGATAAAATGAATTCAATGCAACTGACGAAAATTCGTGGGTTTGTTGTATGCGTATTTTTAGCATTAAAAAATGCTTGTCGTTGGCGTTCTGTGTCAAGAAAGTGATTCAATCAACCGCTTACACCAAAAACAGAGCGAGAGACAAAGGGCCATTCATACACAAATAAGTATCACACGAGCCAAAATCAGCGGGTATAGCGTTGTCAAATCTTTTGATCTATACACGTGCCCTTGAAATTATCGTGAAATATTAATTTTTGTCAATTAGGAATGTCATATCGACGCGATAAATCAAATTTAAGCCGATAATCTAGAAAAATTGGGGAAATGTTTGAACACTGAACACAATGCGTTTCTTGTTAAATCCAATTATAACAGATCGTTTAACTTCAAAGGAACTTCGGTAGAGAAAAATATGGCAAAACTTTTATAAATGAAAAAGGATCTCTTTTTAATCGCGGTAACATTCAATTAGCAATTATAGTTTATCTGTTAAACGCAATAAAGGACTTTAAAACTTGCAAACAAATTTAAATAATTTCATCTTTGTAAAATTTTGCGCTGATTATACAATCTATAGGATCTGGCAACATCAGTAAAACAAAAGTTCGTTAACGGCGATTTAGTTTCAGGCTTGAAAATGAAAAAGCAAAGTGTTTAAAAGACAAATTCTGGCTATGTATATATCATTGGTTCAAATCTGTTTTAAGACACGGAATACTAAAAGCAGACGTAGCAAAGCGATTCAAACTGTAATTGGGTGGCTTTTTAGCTCAAAGAATTTTTGACAAAATGATATTTCACTTAAGAACATAATGTACGCATTCTTTTCAAGTGACACAGGTGTTTCGAAACATGTTTTAATTTGTGGTGAATATTTGATCTTCAGCTTGCGGCGAAGCCCACTGCTGTGAAAAAAGTTAAAACAACATTAAAAATTTACATGGTTTTGACTCCCTACTGTAAAATCTCTGAAAAGTGTTACTTTAATTATCACCTATCCGAGCTTTTGATAACGTTGGAAGCTGATATTTCTGATAGTGGATTTCAAAAATACATCAGGATGAAGTGCTACAACCAGAAACTAGGATGAGTTTTGCTCTGTTAAACTAGGCCTTTGTACGTTCGTGTGTGTTTGTACTGTTTATGGCAAAAAGTCTTGTTTTATTTTGATACAGAAAACGGTTTGCTGATGCAGCAATATTCAGTTTGGAAATGAAAAACATGCAGACATCTTACGTATAACAAAAACCTTCTGTATATATTTGAGGATAACGTAATTGGACTGTATCCAAACTACAAGATGCGTTAATAAAATGTAATACTTCTCTGAGACCACAGTTCAATTAGTAGAGAGCAAATAAAATGAGAGTTAACAAGCCGAAAACTTACAGGGAAGCTACATGAATCTCAGTGAGTATTTCAGTCGGTACAGGCCGATACACTTAATTAGTGTCAGCTTGCTTAAAAACAGCTAACGTTCAGGTAGAAATCTATAACTTTTAAAGCAAGTCTGTTCAGGTAAAATCTTATTGATGCTCCCCAAAGAAATTAGCTATTTGCAGGTTGAATGTCGCATTTTCAAGTAAGCCTGGCAATTGAAATTCATTTGCAAGTGGTTTTTCTGTTATTTCGAAGTTCATTCAGTATACAATCAGATTTTATAATTATTGGCAAATACTTAGAGACTTGAAACTCGGTGGTCTTCGACTTTTACTTAGTCGAAGTGTCAATTAGATTTAAAGCTCATTATAAGAAGTGATAATGAAAATATTTTGTGTGATGACAAATTTCGTTATCGCTTTGTTCCGCCCATAAACATTTGTTCTCCCTTTATGTAACAAATCACCATTTAATTACGAAACTACTTCTACATCAGTAAGTTTTAACCTTAAGTACACAAAATTCGACAGTAACGTTCTTCTCTGTAAACAGAAATGGAGGAACAATTTTTCTCTTATTTTTTAAAACCAAAACTAAGTACGACCATCCGAAAATTTGGGGGCCTATCATACTCCACTGAGCCGCTGCCTTTCCACTTTACAGTATCTCCCAAAAACCATAACTGACAATTTTCGACAACATTACGGAGAACTCTTTACTAGCTCTTCAGCATGACTACTATACATTAACTTTTTGATCTTCTTCGTAAGCCAAAATCCTGGAAGTTTCAACACTCTCATTCCGAACACATCTATACGCTTGCTGCGAGCGACCTCCCTCAACTAATTATTCGGTCTATTCGATCCCCCGGCCAGCTACCTTGGTGTGAATTATCTTTCGTGTTGGAAAGGAATTCTTGAGATACTCACCGTGGGGCATCGTTCGGGGAAAACAATAAAATAAAACAAAAATACACCTATTAAAATTGAATTCTGATAGAGTCGTTTAGTGATTGTGCACTAATCTTTTAGAATTGGAGAGAAGAAAATTCACTTCAACCAATCTCTTTGTCGCGTTTTCCCACCTTAAAAATGCCTCAAAAAGAAAAATTTAGCATTTTAGCATTTTAGTATTTTACAGTATTTGATTCCTGAGTAAAGAAAAAATTTTGCCAGTTTCGCTACTTGTACTTATTTCCCCATAACACAATATTTTTGAAAAATACAGCAATTTTTTGGTAATGCTTGACAAATAGCCATATTGCCAAATGTATGAAATAGATATTTGCTATCTCAGCTTTTTTTAGAAGCCATGGGGAGTGTCCATATTTATTTTATTATTGTTAATGTTTTTTTGTTGATGTTGCTGTTATTGTTGTTGTTGTTTGTGCGTGGATAAAGTAAACTAGGAAAGTAGCACGAACAAATGTTTCAAATGATATTAAAAAGAATCGATTTTGATGAAACTTGGTCAAGTTGCTGATCAGTTTGTTTTAACTTCTCTGAAATGATTAAAACCGATTTCAACTGAAATCTTGAAAATAACCAGTCCCTCCATCCAATCTTATTTATTTTAAAGAGGCAAACATACTGTAGTAAATGCTGAAAAATATTTGGCGATCGTTTTTCAGTTCTCACTTCTGAATAGTGACGCGAGCCCGCAGGGTTACTATATACTGTACGGATAAAATTCTCTAGCGCTGCGTTGTTAATTTGCTGTACAAGATTTTCTTTAAGTAGAATCCATCTGTTCTATTAGAAACAACCACTAAACAAAGCTAAATGCAACGAAACCGTCAGCGGAAGAGCAAAACTTTGCTCTTCCAGTCCAACGTCTTAAACGCTTTAAACTGAATTAGCATGACTTCAAAGAAAACCTTTCATCATTCTGGTTTCAAAATTCAGATGCTTCAAAATGCCTCGAATTTACTTGCCTGAGGATTAATGAATCAATTCTATAGCCATAAGTGGAGACGTTTTAAGCCAGATGAATTTTGTGCTTAAAAGCAAATTTATTAAATACGCCCGAAGCCTCATTTTATGGTCACACCTTTTTTGTTCCTAAGAAAAAAAGTTCAGAAGCTGAAAAGCGAGTAATTTCCTGGGCCTTTTTACCCTTAATTACATGTCCTTTTTAGATTTTGCCAGCTAATGAACATATTGAAGCCGATTAATTCTTTTTTTCCTGCAAGCAGGAAATTCTGTGAAACCTTTTCATAGAGAGAAAGAAATATTAAATTCATTATTCACTGTTAACAGGGGACAGATGAGGGATAAAAATAATGTAGAATTAAAAATAATAATATTCCATACAAAACCGGGACGTGGCCTAGGATTAGAACAAATCTCTGAACAACACACTAGAAAGCTCTTTTAATGGTTTGTGATGATAAATTCGTATTAATTTTCAGGTATTTGTCTGTAGTTCTGTTAATTTCCCTTCCAATTTAGTGAGGCTACCATGAAAAGGGTTCGCATGGCCAAACAAATCAACCTGGAGGACTATTGAAATTCGAGTCATTTTCTCGCAAATTTAATTCATCTGTCAGTTCACTTAATTTTAAATTTTTACGTCTAGCTTGGAAGACCTTTCCTGCGTTTTGAACGAAGCTTATCACACTCACTTTGAACACGATTGTTAAATAATGATTCCAGAGAATCTTAACACCAAAAGCTTTTCGGTAGTTAAAAATAAAACGTTAAAGAGACCCGACAAGAAAATGACTTTTAAATGACTTTTTCTCTATACACAGGCAACTGCACGAAAGAGTTAAAAGTTTGGTTCGAAAATCAATCACTTTTTCTTTATGTTTAATATCGGAAAAGTCTTTTAATGTAATTTCATTATAATGGTTAGTTTCACGGTTCGCTCGGAGACAAAGGCGCGCGCTTCCATTACGAAAAATAATGCTTTGGCGAAATTGATTTTATAGGGAAGGGAAAATGGAGACAAAACGATTACATGCGAAAAAGTTTCTTGCTATTCCTCGCTGGGAATTATCGTGGAAAGCCCGTTAATTTTTAACCATTCAAACTACGACTGCTGTATAAAATCCAGTCTGAGAACATCAAATTTAGTTCGACGCATTGAGTAAGGTATATTATCTAATCGTTGAACACCTTAGTAATGTAAGGTTGGTGGGACTTTGAAAAATAGTGAGATCGTTAAGATGTCCTTTCTTTAAGCTTTAAGTTTTAACGCTTTCTTCGAAGAATCCGATTATCATTTAAACGGTCGGAAAACCCAGTGGTTGTTTTATAGGGTGTTAATAGGAGAAATGTAAATATTCACATTAAAAACTTTGTTGATTTTAAAAATTCTATGTCATAATCACGTTTGCGCTATCAATAAATACGACCGTTAATAGTAAGCGAAATATCTACAAAACGTCTGGAATACTCAATAGCAATTTTTTTTGCGCGGTGAAAGGGCTTAACGCGCGAGTAGAGTTCCTCTCGCTACACGCGTCACAGCCTTAAAGCAATTAAAGAAAAGTACTACGTTAATTCTATCCTCTTACCATCCTTGTTCATGGTCACTTCGAAGCATTTTTTCAGTCGGCAGGAGCGGCACTGGTTTCTATGGATTTTATCCACGGGGCAGTTTCCTTTACCGTTCGTAGCTCTGCAAGTGTATGAACGGTTCCTACGTATACTTCTTTTGAAAAAGCCACTACAGCCATCACAGGCATAGATTCCATAATGCTTACCGGAGGATCTGTCTCCGCAGACTTTGCAGGGAATATCCAAGAGACGACCTGGACAAATTCGAAAAAGAAAGATAGAGTAACTCACTTCGGTTTAGCAGAAGTTAGGTGAGTCAGTAAAAGGCCTGTAAAAAACTTCCTGGTTTAATATCTATGTAGTATAAAGTTCGTTTAACTATATTTACCGTTAGGCTTGGATTTATCACTCTTGTCGAAATCCATTTCGTCTTCTCGATGATCAGAATTCATTCTGGATGGAAATATTGCTGTAGTCAAGGTCCACATCCAATTTTACCGACTTGCGCGAGTTAACAACGTTTAACGGGTATTGTGCGCCGTGCTACGAGAGGCCAGATTAATAGCAAATGTCAGGAAGGCTTAAGAACACGGCTGTCGTGATTGGACGAACCAGGGCCATTACTGTCTCACTTTCTATTTCTCGCGAAACAACAAACAATTTGATTAAGGCGTTTGATTCGCTCACACACTTAAAAGCATTGTTAGACGGCGGTTACTGATATATGCCAAGCAAATCAAGCTCATAAACGAACCATTTATTTTATATACAGCAGGAAAACATTCTTGCGTGAACCAATTTTTCTCAATGTTTTCCACTCGCTATCTCTCGCAAAATTTGTTTTTATAAGCGCTTCCATACCCTATTCTTCTACGCATACTTAACTTTCGGATGACTTTCAAAATATTGTTTGATGTGTTGATAAAATATTTAACGGGTGAATACTAACTAAATTATTTAAAAATATCACCCAAAAATATCAATCTTTCAATCATTAAGAATTTAATCAGAGATAACCAACAGACGGACAGGGATTAAAAAAATTTTGTCAGCGGGTTGAAAAACTTTTTAGAAGATTGCGATGGCAAATTATTGACTCCTTCAAGGAACGGTGCTAAAAAGCAAACCAGAAAGAAAAGAAACTAGTCAGCTTTCTAAAACTGACAGGAATAACTCAATTTCAAAGAGTTGTGACACTTCACCAAGCCAATCGGATTCGCAGCCTGGTTTTGAATGACACGTGAAGAATCGAACAAAAGAAAATGGGTGGTTGATGCCTACAGATTGACGCGTTTTCTATTCTTCCTTTTCTCCCACATTCCACCCAGCTGTCAATCCAACAATTTCGTTTTATGGCACCTGCCTTTGTCTCTTGCTTGCACCTGGCACGAGCACTGTAATAATCGCTGGAAAAAATATATTTTCTAATTTGCGTTTGTAATTCTCGCCCTTTAAACCTTCTCCGTGCTAAGAACGCAAGTAAGTCAAACTAAATCCATCTTCCATAAACATCCGATTCCCTCAGGGCGGCTAGACCAGTTTATATAAACATAACTGTTTTCCTTCCTTGTTGAAAACTTTTTATCCTGAATTAAATCGTTTATAGTTTTTCCATTGTCCAGTTCAGAGCAATTAGGGATGGTAAATAATTTCGCGCGTGGTCTAATTATCACTTAAGCAGACGGCAAGCAAGCCGAGAATGAATACTTGAAATTAGAGAACAATCACTCACATTCGATGTCGGAAATCAAACGGATGTATTGTTCCTTCCAGGAACGTTTTTGTTTCGCTTTCGTTTTGACTTTTCTTTTTGCTTAAAAAGTGAAAAATCATTGGTGTTACAAAAGAAGTCTTTTAGCACGTGCCACTGTTCTATTTACTTAACGCCGAGTCAAGGAATGAAAAATAAGAGCTTCTAAGCACGCGATAAGTAGCTAATATAAAGTGCTTGTCAAAGCAACGTTTTTACACTTAATCGCCCCTGCAGTGTTTCCCAGCCTTACAGATATTAAGTTTAGTAAAATGTTTAGAAAATGATAGGTGAAATGGAGAAAAACGGCGACAGAACAAAACAGACGCCTCGCGAACTGCGCTCGGTATTTTGCAGTTCAAAACGACGAAGCGGTATTGGGTCGAGAAGGGTAATTTATTTTCAATTTAAAAAACGCAAATAGCAGTAATTTAATGTTTATGGTAAAAAATTTGAAATCTAATGCGAAGTAAGTGGAAATTTAATCGAAATAACTGTGGCTTACAGAAGGTAGATCGGCGATCTAATCACAAAAGCTAAAATTCAGTGCCCTAACAGAAAAAAATTGAAGCCATTATACTGTACAGGGGCACCTAACGAGAATATAGTTCAAAACCACTTAAACATAGCATTGTTGAACGTATTTTAGTATTTAAACAGTAGATATAGGTATATTTTTATCCCCTAAAAATTTTTCATCTGTTCGGATTTTCTAGCTGCGAGTCTAGTGATCCGAAAATTATAGGGATCAAAACTGACCTTTTCGAAAATTTCATCGAGAAAAAAGGCTCCCGAAAATTCTAGGGGACGTTTTTAGGGTAAAAATCCGTTAAAAATGGGCAATTATACCGTTTTTTAGATGTTCGAAAATCCCAGGAGAGGCAGGCAAGCAAGAAATTTTATAATAAATGTTCCGAAAATTCTAGATCTCAAATCGTCTTCCGAACACATATTTTCCAAAAATTGACGTTGGGTGCCTCTGACTGTACAACAGCGAAAAAGCGACTAAGTAGTCCTTTTCAGTTAAAAGTTATTTTTGGCTGTGTGCAATGAATGCACTTGGGCTGTTTTCACTTTTAAACCTGTAAATAAGGTAACTCAGTACCACCATTATTCAAATGGCGCTTTCTTAACCAGTACTTTTCAGTGAGAAGTTCTTTTTGATATTGTAGTTGTTAAAGCCTCCGAGGAAGGTCTGCCATTTGGGGACCGACATTGTGATAAGTTACGATCCGCAAGCGAGCGGCACGCGAAAGAAGACGCGGCTTTGTTGCTCCTCGCACGTTTCCTATTCGAAATGGAGAGCTTGATCCCAAGCTAATGTGATTGTGGTGTTTCCACAATTTTGTATCCGTAATTAAAGTCAACCAATGTTACGTTTCAAATAAATGGGGCCACTGAGCAGTACTTCCCTGAATTCCCGGCTGTGGTACTGTTTATTGGTTGTCTAGTTAAAAAGTGTGACAATCTAAATAAGAAAGTCAAGATAAGCTATTGATCGGCATGAGCAAGTGTACTCTCCCATGACAGTGGCTATATTTGCAGTGTAGTGAAGGTGGGTACTGCTATATGTAATTAAGCTAGCGATGTGCCGCGGAATAGGGTATCGTTTTTTGCGGTGCTCAAACCTGAAAAGGGGATCTGTTTGGCTTTTATGATCCTTCCATAAGGGCTAAATCGCAGAACACTAATCCAGCCTGTTAAAAACCAAATTACGCTGTACAGTTATAGTATTCACAACATGCAAGTAGAGCACTATACATATAGACAAAAAGATTCTCGTTCACTAGTAGGTAGAAATTTTACAGAGGTACCGCGAATCCACGTTACTCCTCCTCCCAAATGAAATCATTTTCGTTCCTGTGGCTTGTTTGAATCTCCATCTTTTTTATCTTCAGTGTGGTGACGTAATCATCACTTGGCTAACTAAAGGCTTTTGTTCTTCAGGCAGCAGGATGGCTGGTTTAACTTTCTCGTGTGGTAAAATCAAGGAAAACTGTGACAGCGCAGTTTGTTGTCAAAAATGTGAATAGGTAAATCGGAGTTAAATAAAGAATTGTGCTGTTATTAGCTACCTTTAATTTAGCCCCCTTTTCTCGGCTTTTTTCTATTTTGTTGTTGTTACTGGTTGTTTTCTTTTTTATCTTCAACAGGTTTTCAGGTTAGTTTTTGGTTTCTTAATTTATAGTTAAGTGACTTGAATACAAATTTGGCAGCACCCCAAAGTCTTTGAAACTTTAAATTTAACTCTAAAGGCCACAAATACTGGGTAAATAACACATAGCAGTAAACTCCATTAAGCATGACGCTACCTCTTAAAATAGTTATGACTAAGGATCTTCTTTAACTTACCTGTTTAGGCTTCAGTACATGAGTTACTTCCTCTGTCAAAATTGATGGCAGGAACTTGCATTGTTCACGAGCCAAAGGCACAGATTTGTTAAGCAACTTAATGGCTTTAGGTTGAAGGGTTGATAGTTGGTAAAATAGATAAAAAATCTAACCGGATTTTTGAAAACGAACCTAAAGAAGCTGGCAGCCATTTGAGAGGAAAAGGACCAAAAGGAAGGTTTCTTTTGCGTCCGATGAGCCCGAAAATCACACTAATGGACGCCGGAACTTAATCGCTGAGCGAAACTATAATACAAAACGAACGTGATCTCAGGTTAATTCTATCAAATGCCTTAGCGTGTCTAAAGGCACCTAAAATAAGAGAAAAGACTCCAATTTCTGCTTACGCAAGAGGATCGAGTTGAAATACAGATATAAGAAGCCAGCTCCAGCTGAAGTCCCAGTTATAACAGCGCAGGGGAGTCTGCAGTCTAAGCAAAGAGGGAGTCGGGCTTTAGCATCGACGAAAACGTCCCTCTAAAAATGAATTCGCGTTTTTTCAAACTTTGTCACCTTTATTTCAGTTCGCTGAAAATGGCAGTTGTAGGCGAATTTCCCTGGAGTAGATATCTTGGGGATCGCACTTTCAAGATTAGAAATTAGGGAACGAAAAATGCGTCGTCGCTTGTTAACGTCCTCCATAAAACGCGAAATTTAGTAAACATTTTCACGTCGAAGTCGTGCAGTGATGGGCAACACAGAAATGTAGAAAAATGTGTGATTCCCGTGCAAAGTTGTTGTTTTGCTTAATAAACCTAGTGCTTTTTTGACGTTCTCAGTTGCAATCGCCGTCGTCATTGCTAAAACTCCCTATTCATATTCCATTAAATATAAGAATATGTTTCTGCTAATAACCTATTTTAGCTGTAGTTTGTGTTGTCCATGAACCAAACACGCGTTTTTATTGACCAGTAGCAGTTTCTTTTTCACTGAGGTATTTTAAAGCCACAAAGATCAAATGATCGAAAGTGGACACATTTTGTGCGTGGTCAAAGCACCAATGATCCCGGATGCAAACGTCACTGATGGGTTCGGCGGAAGGGTGTCACGAAGAAAGTTGACGGAAACTTAACAAGTTGATGGAACAAAACTGACAATTGCATGCATCACGGCAAATATATATTCATTTTTTAAGTGTCTCCTACGCCTGACCTGCGCCATATAAGCTTCTGGCTTTGGCATCTTATTATTGTTAACTTGTGCTTTGTGTACTTATTTATCAATAAAGATAGAAAAGAAATCGTCTCTTGCCGGGGAAAAAATCTGCGCCCAAGAGATCCTCAACGCCGATATTCCGCAAAGAGAAATGTAGTGTCGGTCACTTATGAGGCACCTCAGTAGACCTCCACATACTAATTGAACACCCAATATACAGTTCTGGATGTGCTTTAACCTGCTTTAACTGACTGCTGAGTAATGTTGGGCATTTTAACTGTCAGCCTAGAAATTAGTCTTCTCGCAAACTGGTAGTTTTAAAGAACTCAGATCCAAAGGGTGCCAGCAAATTAAAGTTAGAGTGCCGAGGGCTGAAATTTTAATGGGCAGTAACCTGTGAGTGCAAGCGTTTTAGAGAAAGAAAAAGGGTGAGAAAGAATTGAGGAGCGCAATATCGCGATGGGAGCGATGTGGTATCTCGCGCGTCCTTTGAGTACTTGCGTGCATCGATTCACCCTTTCCCTTCTGTTCCAAACGCCTGTCAGGCAGGGAATAAAGAAAATAGAGGATTATAAAGGAACAAAGTGGATAAAATAGGGAATAAAAGGAAAATAAAAGGAATGAAGGCGCACAGGAACGCGGCAGGAGCTATGGGCTACCTTGATGTGCGACCTTTGAATACATGCCGCGCGTCTCCCGTTTTTCCTTCTTCTCCAAACTTCTGTCACGCCGGCTAAACTTACAGTTAAGAAATTACCGAATCTAATTTATAACTGACATTCAAGCTAACCATACAAACCCTCTGCATAGACAGAAAAATAGTCCGCGAGCAAGCTCTCCATTTAATTTATTTATGGAGAACGAGGCGAGCAGCGATGGAAAGCCCGAGAGTTCGCGTGACTTCTAGCGACTCCCCCATATGGAGCGCTGGTTCGTAGGCTACCAGAAAGATAAGAAAGAAATTAATACAAGAAATATAATCAACAAAATTCTATGGTGTTTACATTACTAACTGCAGATGATTGCTTCTCTTAAACAGTACCGCTTATGACAGTTTTGTGGCGCGCGTTGTTTTTAAATACATAAATTAAGCAAAAATGCTCTGTAGTTAGTCTTGTTTGGCTTAATTTTGCAGTTTGCAAGATAAGAACAATCTCGTCCCTAGAGCCTGCGTTACCTTTATCCAGCGGAACGGACAACGGTCCTTGGTGCTGACCAAACGTTTTCATTCTGACGTTTGCCGTTTGCCGTAAACGTCACTCTAAATCTCGATAATTTTTTACGCAGCAATCGTGTAAGAACTATGACATTAGCGCCATGCAGCCAGGCCAGTGTAACAAAACCCATTGAAGGCGTTGAAAGGGTCGGTGGGAACAACTGAGGGAAGGGACGAGCTAACGGATCCTGTAATGGAGAGACTAATCAGCTATAAGATATAATTAACAATTATTCCTCGAGTCCTCATGGGCTCATGGGCTATTGACTCAGAGCAGAGGCATATAACCCCGTTTCGGGGTTATATGCTTCTGCTCAGAGGCCATGAGGGCTAGAGGAATAATTTTTTTGGTAAAATCGAACTAGTTGATCAAAAATCTCGAGAAGAAAAAACTTTAACGAGTAAAACGCGATTCAGCCGCCATTGTTTTGGTCTTCAAAGCCGGCGCTCTTCGCTGCTAGTGGGCTATAACATATAGCCTAGTAGTAGCTCAACCAATCAGAATGCAGCATTGATAATAGACCACTAATTGGATTTTACTAAATACTGTTAGCCTTTGATTGCGCAAGCTCTCTCATGAACATTTTGTCAAGAATCTCTGCGATAGACAATGCAAAAATTTGTGGGAGGGACAGAGAGAGAGCTTGTCATGTTGCAAACTGTGAAATAGCTCTTTCTTCGCTCTTTCTGACTAACTTCTAGCATCAGATCAAGCCAGCTCAGGTAAAATTATAATGAATCAGTGGTCAAAGGGGATTATCAAGATCAGTGATAAATAAGCACTACTAATTCAACAATAATGTATATCTTTTCGGTGAGACTCTGTATGCGTATATTTTGGACGAAATTGAAGTCACGGCTTGATCGTTATTAATAAACCGAAGATCTTGGAAATTAAAGCGAAGATTGCATTGCCGGTCTTAGCGACGGCTGAGGCTATAAAAAATCTGCAAAACGCAAGGGCTTTTCCCTCAAAAAATGGGTGGGGCCCCACCCATTTTTTGAACGAAAAGCGCTGGAGACGAGAGTGTGCAAAACGCGTCCAGCACCGTTTCAGGGTTTTCGTCGGATTATAACTAAAACCACTGCTATTTTGATTTTCTTGTTTCGGTCGTCGTTTTCGTCGTCTTGGTTGCTCAACTTCGCTAGTAGCATTACATCGCAAGACAATTTCGCTGTAACCTACGTAGAATGGCAGTTTTGTCGGGCACACTTGGCGGCGAAGCCGCAAAAGCGGGCGCTCTTTCGCGAACGAGTGGCGGAGCCGCCCCGCCCCAATCTCCTCGCAGTTTCACTGCCCCACCTGTCTTGTTTGGGCGCCCGACCAAAACCGCCATGCTACGCAGGCCAATTTCCTTAAAAAAACCGACGATTTGGGGGAAAACGCGCGACGAAAACGACGTCGGCAGGTACCCATAGAGAGACTGAAATGAGGTACGGCCTTCCTTGCTTACTGTAGGGTCACCAGATCAAATCTAATATAAAGTTAGGTTTCCGTTTGTTAGTAATAAAAATGTTTGACCCGTAGAGCTTAATTTAATTTCTTAAGAAATTGTCACCTTAACGTGCAAACGACCCTCCCACGGGAGCAACAACTAAACGATTTCCTAATTTAACATGCCCTTTTTTTGTCTATTATGTTTTTTACGTCACTGCAACAAGTTAAGGTTTGTTTAAGGCCGGAAAACGAGAAGAGATTATAAATAAACTTGCTGAGGTATTTTAAAAAGATATTTCAACACAATTACCGGCTTCCTTAAATGTTACGTTAGTAAATGAAATCCTTTGGTTGTTGTCTTTGTTTATATTTCTCCCACAGGTCAAGCAATAGACGGTCTTGGGTACAGAAAGCGTTATGGCCTGGTTTTCCAGAGTTCCGACTTTTTAAGAAGATAAACCGACTTTTAACTATTGATGAGAGGCGTTTCTTAATGTACTTTCCCTTGGGCAAACCTTTACGGAATTTTAGCCTGGAACAAATGAGTTTTTCTGACACATTAACTACAATTTGGTGAAACCCGCAGGCATTCCATTTCCTTTTGAATAAGGAAAATATGCTGTTACAGTTTAATGGAGCGGATATCAAATTGGCGGATTACACAATTTTTGTCGTAAGCTAAGTTTTTTTGCCCACGTTTTGAACCTCTTTTAGGTTAGTTAAAATTCAACTTTTCATAAAGATCTAAAGGAAATGCATAAAATTTTTATTTATCTTCCTTGTTCGCTGTCCTCTGGAGTAAGAAATCTCTACAAGTTCGAAATATAAATAAACTAAAGAGCGCGAAAGATCCATTTTTGGTCTTGATCCCTCATGTATTACCTTATTAATGTAGAACAAGAGGGCAAATTTCTTTCGATATATTTCAGTTTTATTTTCAGTTTTTGGTTTTTCGCGTTGGGATCTGTGTGTACTATCCTGCGATTGTGCCCTCCTTATATGTCTCCGCCAAATCGCGCTCCCCCGAAAAAACTGGGGAAAAAACGGTTGCCGATCGCAGTGTATGGGGACTTGTATCCAGTCGACCTCATCGCCTGATAGTCACCAGTACGGAGTCGAGATTGTATCTCTTATCTTGTATAGGAAAAGGCCCCGTTTTGGTGTTAATCTGAGGAAACACAAACTCGTCCCCAGGTCACTTTTCCCTGGCCCGCCTCCAAAGCCAGGGAAAAGCGCCCTGGGTACGAGGTTGGAGCAAGAGCCATTATGCTCTTGGTTGGAGGAAACATGTAAAAAACGGAAACTAGTTTGCATGCACTTTTGTCATGTCCTACCCTGCGAGCAGAGGTTTCTCTCTTGCATGGCTTTTAGCCACACGAAGGAGTTCGTAATCGCTAAAAGCCATGCGAGAGAGAAACCTCTGCTCGCAGCCCGAGGGTAGTCATGCATAAAAGGCGCGGGAGTTTTGGAAATACGCCCGCGACGCGAAAGGGCAGTTTACCCACAGTGCTTTGAGTAACATCCGGGAACCTGAAAATGCAGGACAAAATGGCTGCCCCAAACAAAATGACAGATACGAGAACAGAATTAGCCGAACTGATCAAGAAAAGGGCAGAAATTGCGGTAGGTTTCCTTAAAATTTCGTCTTACATCTCTTTTGATGGCTTGAATACCTCAATTATCGCTTTTAATTATATTTTATGTCTAAATTTGTTAAAAAGGTCAAACGGTAGCAGATTCCATGACGTCAGCGAAACAAACATTTGACCGCCAAATACGTGCTTCCTTGAAATGATCGCCGATCGAATCTTCCATTTTAGGAAACTGTCATGAACTTTTTTTTTTGTACCTTCCCTGGTCTCGGGGTTTTGTTATTTGTTACAGATGTATGTTTTAATTTGTAGTTGTTTTTCGGCCTGTTTGTTTAGAGATTTCCAATTTTGATCATCATACAAACTAACCGGTCATGTTGAAACGCAGACCATGCAGACTGCAGACTGTGCAGACTGAGTGTTATTTTTTTACTTGTACCTCAATTTTCTAGTAAAATTTTTACTATAGTCTGCACTGTGCATCACCATCATAGGTTGCACTGATGTGTACCTGCAAGGGTCATGGGTAGGAAATGAGAAAATCATGGGCTCATGTTTACCGGCAGATGTAAAAGCAGTTTGGGAGGAAGCGAGAAAAATAGAGGGACTGTAATATTTCACGCCTTTACCATTCATTAATTAAAAACTCCGCTGGCGATGAAAAACATGCCAGACACATTTAGCATCGATTCGTGTGTTTACAAATATCTCCTTTCGAAACAGTGATTTTGTAATGTTTCTAGGCCATTCCTACAAATAATATCGGCAAAGAGGCACGAAACATTTTCCCAATCGAATCGCTAAGTATGCTCGCTTGACCATAGATGGAGGAAGGTAAAAAGCTGGTCATTTTTTTGTCGGCGTTCGTTAAATTTCTTTCTGTAACTGTATTATATTGCCACGATTATTTATTCGTTTAGTAGAAGAAGCTTTTTCAGGTTAAGTGACTTAAAACCCTTTTCGGCTGCCTAAAACGGCTACAAGAGAGACATTTCCTCAATTTCCTTGATTGTTGTTGATCGTCTTTGGTTTCACTCTGTAATTCAATCCGGTGACTTGCTGGCGTCATTTATTCAAATCTTACAGATACCGATGTCATCGTTGTTAGCTCGGGATATAAAACCAAGACGTTTGAGAGATGGGCCTTGCTGTAAAATGTGTAAATAAATCAACAGTATATTTCCCTAAAAATAAATATTCTGATTTCCACGTGTTTGGCGGTTCCGTAAGCGTCAGAATTAAGAGAAGAAGGGCAGCGACTTGCACTTCTCACCGGTAATATTCAATGAAAATTAAGACAAAATATAAAACCCCCTCCACATCTTCAGTTCTACAAATAATACATTTGTTTCTAATGAACTATTTAGTTTTGGAGCTGCATAAACAAGAACCATGATACTCGAACAAGATTGTCGGTTTCAAACCACAACCACTTATTGGCGTGAATGCATGGAGCAAATACAATAATTGTCGATCCCCGAGTGAAAAGTTTTACTATATTAGATTTATTATTTTATTATTATTTTAATGTAACTTGTAAGGCGCATTTGAATATATTCATATAGATATTTGCGCCGAATAAGTAATAAATTATTATTATTATTATTATTATGAAAACCCGCCCAGAAGGACACTCTTGAGAATCGAATAAAAAAAATACATAAACAAAAGTCTTACCCGAATCTTAGGAGCTAACAATGATGACATCGGTATCTGTAAGATTTGAAGAAATGACGGCAAGTCACTGGTTTGAATTACAGAGTGAAACCAAAGACGATCATCAACAATCAAGGAAATTGAGGACATGCCTCTCTCGAAGCGGTTGTAGGAAGCCGAAAAGGGTTTTATTTTAAGTCACTTAACCTGAAAAAGCTTCTTCTACTAAAAAAGTTTAAATAATCGCGGCAATATAATACAGTTACAGAAAGAAACAGCTTACCTTCCTGGTAGAAAATTAAGGTACATTTAAAAAAAAATAACACTCAGTCTGCACAGTCTGCGTGGTCTGCACAGTCTGCATGGTCTGCACAGTCTGCAGTCTGCAGTCTGCATGGTCTGCGTTTCAACATGACTGCAAACTAACCGTCTCAATTTCCCGCCATCTCGAATCATCCAATAATTCTAACCACAATTCCCTTCCCTTTGTCAGTCAGAAACTGTAAAAGCTCACTCATGTTTGGTGAGTTTTGATCTGAAACATAATGTTGACACAGTTAGTGTAAGAAACTGTTCCTTCAGCAGTCTGCTGTGGTACTGATCAGCTGGTCTTTTTAGTGTAATCTGCTTGTAGAATTCCTGCCTTGTGAAATTTCAATTTCCCTGTCTTCTCTGCTGTTGTTAGCACATTACCAAGACTAACTGGTATGAGTTTTTATCTTCTTGTGATAGGAAAGTCTGGCAAACCTTGAACGTCAGATATATGCATTCGAAGGAAGCTATTTAGAGGACACACAGCTGTATGGAAACATCATCAGGGGATGGGACAGACTTTTAACAAATAAGTAAGTCAAACTGGTTTAATAATATTATACTCTGGATTATAGCATTTTGGTACGGTACACATAATTGCCAAATAATTGTTCAACGCTTAATCAACAAATTGACTTGATGCTGTATTTACATGTTAGTTCATATCCTATCCAGAGCTTAGACACAGTTTACCATCTTCAGTTTTACTGAGTCACTGAAAAGATGACCTTCTGTAGATGCTTTCCTTTCTGCAAGTATTTGCACATTTTTAAAAGCTGTTGTTTTGTTTACATATTCAAATTTATCTGCCTCTCTACAGCCCTCTAACATTTCTCTGTTGAATTTAGTATAAAGTATTTGATGTTACATAATATTGTACATGGTGAAAAGAGTAATAAAATTTCCCACCCATCAATGTATTATAATAAGAAATATTATATTGTGGCAGTTACTTACTCACTGCCCGCAATGCCCACTGGCATGAAGGGCAGCAATTAAGGTCCTCCACTCCTGTCTAGCTGTTCTGGGCCAGCTTGCAGATGGTACCCCAGGTGTGGTTTAGGGTCTTCATCTCTCCCTCTACCATTCATTGTCAGGTGTTTCCTCTCTTACGCTTGGCTTCTGGTGTCTAGTATAGGGCTGTGCAGCAGTTGACTACGATAATAGTAGATATATAATTATTATAATTATCTGGTCATTGTGCAAAGCATATTTTAATCATAAGAGCTTCTACATTGAGAGAGCTGGATGTTGTCAAAACCAGGTGCAGTACATTATTATCATTACCATTTTGTATTTTTACAGAACGACAAACACAAAAGTTGAAAGAAGAAACAGAAAATTTAAAGATGCCGAGAGGCTTTTCTCAAAATCATCAATTACATCGCATGCTGTAAGTATAATAATACATCAATGCCCTCATATCCTGCCGTAGAATGAAAATGCCTTGATAATCACCTTGCTTTCGCAGCAAAAGTGCTAATGTGTTCTGTGGTTCAGTATACAGTGTTTCTTCAAAACAATGTATAATAAAACAATAATTATTATCATCATTAGATTTGGTTTTTGTGATGTCCAGAATAATCAAGATCAAGGTAAGTGTTACCAGCCAAGCCGAAGGCCAAGGCTGATAACACTTACTGTGACCTTGATAAGGTATTCCAGATATCCCAAAAACCGAAGCCTGATCATTCTGTGATGGATGCATGTATGTCAGTTTGTCCCCATTTTTATTTTCTTGATTAACTCTCAACCTGTGCCGTTCCCCAACGGTGACCACTTAATACAGGTTTGACAATACATTAGTTTGGTAATGACAAGACATGTACCATTCAAACATCACCTGTAGAAGATGAATAACCCAAATTTCATCCTCGAATTGACTTATACTGGCTTCACTTTATTTGATCCATGAGTCACTTTTTAAGTACAGTCTTTTGGTAGTATCTACAAGCAAATAAAAAAAACCCCCCCCCCCCCTTTTTAGTGCCTTTAAACTACCCTGTAACAATGCACCTTGTGAAAACTCTCCCTGCAGTTTTCATTTAAATTCTCATACTGCATGAGTTTATCGACTGACTTGAAAGTTACAACTGCCATATGTATACATGAAATTTATTTAACTGTTGGCATTGGGAGAGTTTTAATGTTGTAATAATGTTTTTTTGTGGGTTTGTGTTCAGGCCATAGCGGCTGGTGGTGGACTCACAGAGCCTCTTCCTGAAAAGAGTAAGTTATAGGCTAAAAATTTATAATGAAAGAAATTACAGAGTAGCACTGACATCTTTCCTTGTAGAAAAGCCCATCAAATCTTTCATCCAAATATGCTGTGGGTAAAATCTGTGTACATACTCTGATTTAGAGTTAGCCCTTACCTGATTAACCTGATGAAGGATTTAATCTGCAACGGTTATTCATGTAAAATATATTATATGGTTAAACCTGTCAAGTATAAAGTTGAGTGTCATGTGCAAGCACGCTCAAATTATCTTCATATTTCAACTTGTTCTTCATGACTTTCCTTGGCTTAATTTGCATTTCGTTCTCTTTGTTGAAGAAAAATTAGAATCTGACAGTGAGGTAAGAGGATAAAAAATTATTGCTTTTCCCACACGAGAATAAGCTGTTTTCTCATTAGTTTTTAAAATTAAAAAATGTCAAAACAAAATTGTTGGTTGTTAAAGGTGGATGGTTGCTTGCTTTAGCTTTTGACCAATTTAAGTTCATTCTTTCTTTTTCTGTCTCTGTTTTACTGTAGAAGAGCCTACTCACTCAGACCAGATTCATCACCAACATGGTCATATTGGAAGAGTTCACAAAGGTATAGTTTAGAGTAACATTACAATCACATTATAAAGGACAGTTATTGTGCAGCAATTGGAAAATCACAGCAGATGTGTTGAAAGAAGAATAATTGCTATTCTTTGGTTGGAGCTGCTCCATCAGAATCATTTTCAAGTACAAACTAATTCAAAGAAACCAGTTGAAAAAAGTGCGAGCGCTTCTGTATATTTGAGAGGTCAATTTACTTTTATAAACTTTTTCAAGTGCAAGTTACAAGTGTAACAGTTGTATACTGTCACTTGCAAACTAAATTGACCCCAGGTCTTGGTTGAGTTTTAACTTGATTATGCAAATCACAAGGGTAGTTTAACCGAGGTTAGTATTATCAATCAATCAATCAATCAATCAATCAAGTGTCTCCAGATACACATGAGAATTTTCCAAAGGCTTTACCATGCATGCATGCATCCAAGTTTAGCTTTTTTGCATTGTACTTGAGTCTGGCTGCTCTGTGAACCAGACATCACTAAAAAGGGACCAAATCTTATACCATTGTGCCAGCTGTTCATCTTCATTCCGTTCATATAGATCAGTTCATCGTATCATGTTTTAAACTTATCTTGCTTGGTGAGACAATCTTACAATGATTGTATTCAACAAAATCCCATGCAGATACAATATCAGACATAGATAAAGCCCTTGAGGGGGTACTCCGGATTCTCAAGTGTCGAGGATGATAGAAGGATTTTTGGGGTTTGAAATTTCAATTCCGAGATATTTTTGGGTAGGAAAATTTGGCAAGTATTTTTTGGGTGGCCTGATTTAAGTAGGGATTTTTTGGGTCTTCAAAACAATATGAAGATTCATGATAACTTCAGATAGTATGATGAATACACAAACAGAGACATTCAATTTCTAATGTTTCTATTTTTAATGCCATATCATTTAATGCTTTCTGAAAATTTTTAAGGTTAGGAAAGTCAGCATGGGATTTTTTTGGAGTTGATTTTTGACGCAAACATTTGTTGGGGTTGGAAGGCCTAAGAATTTTTTGGGGTTTTGGTTTTTGTCCCAATTTGGCCATCCCCATCACTTGAAATATGGAGCACCCCCTGGGGATAAAGCATTGCATGTATAAACTTAATCACTGATGCTTGACTGAAATTCTTCAAACGTACTTTATCCCAGAATGTTTTTTTGTGCAGGTGAGAAATAAACCTACAAATAAATAAAAAGATAAACAGACTCAAAACGCACGGATAAATTGGTCATCGGAGAGCACAGAAAGCAGTGTTGTTTATTTGCATTTTTCTACGAAGTTTGTGCGCAACCGGTATATTATCAAGTGACCTAATGATGTAGTAACACTGAGAAAGGTTAAGCAGAATCACCAGTTCAGCAATTAAACCTGGATGAAACTGGTCTTTGGAAACAACTCTAAATTTCATTCATAGAAATAAACCTAGTTAACCTCTTTTAACCAGGTTGTTTTTAAAAGTATTTGTGACCAGGTTATCAAAAAATAACTCAGTTAACTAAAAAGACTATGCCTGCTATGTTTTGGTGAATCCCAATTTATCTGCAAAAAACAAAGAACTCAGTTGTTGTTCATTGCTGTAAAGAAGCAGCTGCATAAGGGACAAGGCCGTTACTTGCTGCTTGACTAGCCTGTTCCAGGCTCCGAGATGGTGGTGGAAAGTTGTTCAGTAAAACCGAGATGGTGGTGGAAAGTCGTTCAGTAATAAGAAATGCGAAAAACGCGCGAAGGCTGGGGAGAGACAGGGTGGCGGAGCCTGTATGCATTTTTTTAACGGCCTGTTCCGGTATATCAGCTCCTGATATACCCTCTGATTGGTCAATTGTGACAGTTAACATCATCACCTAGTAGCGTGGTCATTAGTTTGTCGTCACCAAGATGGCTAACGCGAATCGCGCGTGTAATCTTCATGAATCGGCGTTGTCTTGTGTTTTAGAAGAGTGTCTGCGACTTGGCTCGCGGTAAAGATGTTTTCGGTATTATGCCCACCGGTTGCGGCAAAAGTTTAATCTTTCAGCTATTCCCACGCTTGGCTAAAGCTGCTCTAATCCTAGAAAACTCTGCGATAATAGTCGTTTCGCCGCTAATATCTATAATGCGAGACCAAGTGGAACAACTGAAAAAGCTTGGATGTCCGGTCGCAAGTATTTGGCATTGGTGAATAGGGAAAGGAGGGCACGAAGAAAGCGAGAGAAGGAAAGTGCGAAATTACTTTCGGTAATCCGGAGTCCTGGTTGATCACAAAGTGCCAATAACAAAACAGTCCAAAGACTGTTAAGCTTAATATTCCGCTATTACCAAGGGAGAAACTACGTGCTCCAGTCAAAAGACTCACACTATTTTCAGAGAAACACTATCAAGCTGGAGTTTACTAAGTCACAATGCAATTCTCCTTATTTGATGTAGCTTAAGTTTAAGCTGCACTTCATTCTTATAATTCTGGATCTGTAAATCACTATCCGTGATAATTTAACATTCTGCAAAGAAAACTAATGAGCTGAGCCCAGCGTGATACAACATTGCCGAAAAATATATGGACTAAAGAAAATCACTTACTTAGTCAGATCCAGAAGGCACTTTGGAGAAAATTAAAACCCTTATTCAGCCGCAATAAAAAGCTTTAGGCTTCTAATTAGAGGTCAAAGAAAATGCTCTCTCATCAGAGGGCAAATCCTGCCAACCAGAAACAAACGCCGTAGTAAATCGATATGTGTGCCATGACCTCTCAGTGTGAAACAAGCGGCTAAAGTCACATTTGCTCAGTGACAATGTGGAACCTTCCAGAGCATAACCTCAGTACCCATCAGAGGAAAAAACTTACTGCCCCCTTTTATTGCTGTAAACTAGAGCCAAAAAAATGGATGCTCTCACAGGATAACGAATTCGAAGACATAAATTTCCACACATCGCACAAGGAGTTCGCGTCGTGTGCAATGCTCACGCGAAAAACTTGAGAATGATTGTAGCTAACTGAAGTGTTAACAGTTTTGAGAGCCGAATCCAGACGTGACAAAAATGGGCGGAAGAGGGTCGTTAAAGAAATGCTAACAGGCTCTCTCTCCCATTTTTCCCGCCGCCACTGCCCCCTTTCCCAAGTCGTGCGCGTCTTATTTTTGCTTTGCTCGTTTTAATACGTTCCCACTGTACTATCTGACAGCCTGGCACAGGCTACTGCTTGACTTGTTTGCAAGTACACATTTACCTATACTAACTCAATTTTCATTCATTTCATTATGGCTGTTTGGATGGAATGCTTGATGAGTGTCACTTTTGTAATAGACCTTTTTACTGATACGGCGGCCATATTGAATTAATTCGATTTAAGGAGTATTATAGGACGCCCAGAGGCCATGAGCACATTTCGTTTGTATTTTTGAGCGCTTTTCGTGACATTTTTTCTTAAAGTTTTCTTAGAATAAGATTGTAATGGGAAAAAAGATCCTTGTGGCGTGTTTGGATGTAATAATGATCGCCTTTTTCCCGAGAAATACACAGTGAAAGACCATATTTCTAATACTAAACTAGAAAAAGGCGATCATTATTACATTCAGACACGGCACAAGGATCTTTTTTCCCATTACAATCTTATTCTTAGAAAACTTTAAGAAAAAATGTCCCGAAAAGCGCTCGAAAATACAAACAAAATGTGCTCATGCCCCCTGGGCATCCTATAATACTCCTTAAAATGAATTAATTCAATATGGCCGCCATATCGGTAAAAAGGTCTATTGGCTGGATTTCGAGTGAAAAAAAAAAAAAAACGTTGTGATTTTAAGTACTAAAGTTGATTTATTTTTCAATAATTCAAGGATCCCACAAGAAAAGGAAGCACAAGAGGCACAGGTAACAAACAGTAGATTGTAAACTTACTTCATTTTTATTTTAGGGAGAGTTACATGTGTAACTTTTTAAAGGAGAGGTGTTTTTTAGAGTTCTGGTGAAAAACCAAATTTCTACATTCCTCTTCTTTTTGTTTGAAATGACTCCCCTCCTCTCACTTTCATCATTACCAAATAATGTAAAGCACGTAAATGTAGATTAAGTAATATTTTAGATCTACCGAGGATGGAAAGTGCAGGTGAACCTCCAGTAATGTGAAGATGTGTGGTTTTCAAGCTGTCACCTAAGACAACAAGTCAAGGCAGTGGTGGCTTACAAGATGTTAAATACAATGGAAAATGATAAAAATGGCAGCTCAAAAAGTAGTCTTGGTCACTTTTAAGAGGTGATCACTCTCCAAAAGTCAGAACTGGCTGGCCAGATTGGTCATTTTGAAAATGAAGTATTAAGCCATGTGAAGACTGACCCAACATTGTTGGCAAACAGCTACTAACAGTGTTGGATGTTACATGTTGTGTCTGTTTGCACACCCTGTTGAATGTTGTTGCATGTTTTTGCGTGTTGTTAAGTTTGAAACTAGTCAAACTTTTAGCTACTTGCAAACAGCAAAAAAACTCCCAACATGTTGGGAGTTGTCCCGCCCATTTGCACGTACATGTAGCTTTAGTTTTTTCCCTTTTTTTAACTAAAACCTGTTACTTCCGTGGACACCATTTAGAAATGAAGTGATCTGGCTGGATAGTCTTGATAAATAGTAGAATTCTCCTTATGATTGGACAGGTCTGGCCAGCCAGTTCTGACCAGTGGTAGGCACTCTTAGATACCAAAGGGGCGGGTAACTAGGGTTGCCTGTAGGCATGCTCTCTTGGAGTCATTAAATTGGATTTACAGTAAGAAAGATTGGGTCCTTGACCCTAGGTCTTAGTTTTCAAGTGTTCTTTAATATCTTAATATGTACCAATCCAGGAATATGTTGTTTGCCTTTTTTGTTAGGATTGAATTAAGAGTGAAGAAAGCCGGTCACAGGTCTAGGGAACCCAGCTTTGGAGAGGTATTGTCTACTGTAATATTATCATAAACAGATGAAACTAAACTCTGGTTAAGTCCGTTGGCAAAATAGTGCCAAAATCCTTGTTCTCGCCCCCTACCCCTGTGTACCAAAATGACCATTTGTTTAAAAAGCCATTGTTGATTTGCCAGTCAGGTTGAAAGGAAATTTAAAATGCATTTCCGGTAAGTTGTTGAGTCTGTTGGAGGCTCAGTACAAGGATTTCGGCGCTGCCTCACAGACGTTACTAACTGGGTTAAATTACATCTGCAAGGCAGGCTATGTCATACGGTAATATTAATAATTATTGAGTTGAGTGACCATCATTGCAAACAATCCACAGGATTTTTTTGGCAGAATTTCTGGGGCAATTGGGCTAATTACAATTTATTATAATATTTTTGCTGCTAACATTAGCTTTGCATTTCTTCAAGAATTATCAGTAATTGATAAAGCAATTGTCAGGGGAGTTCTCTGGATTCCAAGTGATGGGAATGATCAAAGGTTTTTTTGTTGTTTTGTCTTTTTGTAAAATAATTTGGCAAATATTTTTTCTGTGTGGCTTGATTCAAGTAGGGCGTTTTTGGGGGTATTCAAAACAATCTGAAGATTCATGGAGGTGCCCACATTTTGGGGCAGCATAGTTCAGCTTAAGAAGCCTTATAAAGTAGAACCATACTTGCTTTGTAATTTCTTTTATATTTTACACATTAAATTGATTGTATCTCGCAATACGTTTGCCATAAAACCAGTTATACAATACTTTGGGGTGTATCCAGCTTGAGGCTTCAATTAATTTTGTTGATTTCTCATCCACTCTGTTTATTGGCCAACTTTGTTGTTACAGGAATTCCTTTTTGCTTTGGGGAATTCTCAGGCTTGGGCTTTCATTATGGGAGATTTTGGCGGGCAATTTTTTGTCCAGGGATTTTTGGGGATTTGTTGAAAGCCCTGGGGATTTTGGGGGGTTTGGATTTTTGTCTCCATTTGATCATCCTGGTTGTTTGGAGTACACCCCCCTGGGGCTATATTATCAAAGACTTTATGTGTTGTTTCATCCAGTAGTAGAAAAATTGGAGGCAATTTGAAAAAGCTTGATTGGGCTTTATTTCTTTAACCCCCTCCTCTGTGTCTGAATATTCAATAACAATATTTTGCATCTCGTGTTTGTTATTAATAATAACATGAAACTTGTTTTGAAATTTTCTTTTTCCTTGCAATGCTTTGTAGCTTTTTTGTATCAATGAAGACATTGTTTTTGAAGTATCATGCCACACCCACCCCACTAGAGCAAAGCGTTTCACTGAAACGTGTCTTTTTTCCATTTTTAGGATGAACATGAAGATTAAGAGAATTGTTGAACAAGATTCACGTGAAAGATTTTTTTTAGAACCAGACGTTATCTGTAATTTATCTGTAATATTCAAGAGGGTTGTGGGTGGTTTCAATAGCCAGTGAACAGTCAGTAGTAGATATAAGCAGGGCTCTATTTCTCTGATTATTTTGTGTAGTCATCTTCTGTTTGTATATAAACTGTTTTTTTTCTCACCTCACTTGTGTAAAAAGTTATTAATAACTGATGTTAATCCTTTATAAAACCGTGTATTTGAGTTATTGTGTTTTTCTTTCTCCAGTCGAAATTGCTGGTTATATCCAATTTTTTTCGGTTAATGCTTTAATTGAGTTGTAATGCTGGATGTAATTCTTAAGACTGATCACCTTCTTATGAAATAGGATATAATTATATATATATATATAAACAAGGGCAGTTCCAAGAATTTGTTAATAGAAGATTAGTAACTTTCTAACACAGTTGAAACTGTGTCCAAGTCGAGCTTTACATGTATGCATGTAATTTCTTCCCTTTCCCAACATTACATTAATTAATTTTTAACTAGGTAGACCATGCAGATGAAATGAAGGCATCTTATTGCAGCTGGTGCTAAATTTTTCAGAGGGGTGTTTATCAGTGTTGTGATAAGTAAGTTTCCCTTCCAGACTTGGCAGATGTTTTTATGTGCTCTTTTAATGTTCAGTGTAGTCATTAAGTACTGTTTAATAAACTAGCCCGGGTATTTCATCAGTCAAGTTTGTTTGTTTGTTTTTTTCCTTGACCAGTGTTGAAAAGTCATTTTTATTCCGGTAATCTCTAAGTTTTCAGACGAATTTTTTTAAACACAAACACATAAGTTATGTATATAGCAGATTTAAAAAGGAGAAACTTATTAGACGGTTATTTTGTATGTAGAATAAATGGGTTTTTGAATAAGTTTTTAATGGGAATTTCTGCAACGCCTGCTGTTCACCAAATGCGTGAAGCTCTCAGCCTGTAATCAACATTAATTTCATTACCAGGCCACTAGATCTTGTCGTTGCCACTCTTCAGTGGTAAGTATTACACTAATTTCGCCATGGGTAAGAAAAAGACTGGGTCTCGTACTAATTAGAAGTAAATTAATCACTTTATAAATTGATTTTTTGTCATAGATGTAGATTTGACCATCCTTCAATCGGCGACAAAAATTGTTGAGACATTGTACTCAAATAGGGTGACTTCAGAGAACAAAACAACCCACATCCCACCCCCCTTCCCTCCATACAAAGTTGGGGTGTTTGTTGGTTTCTACATGTAGCTCGTACAGCAGCACAACATTGTGTGGAGGGGATGGGGAAGGGAAAGCTTTATTTTCCTGTTTTGAAGTCGGTAAAACGTCAGAAAGGCCCTTTATTTAGGACAAAGTGTCTCAACTAATTTTGTCTCCTGTTGTAGCTGGTTATCAAGCTTTTCATTTGAGTAGCGAGAGACTACTAACGCGGGTCAACCGAATGGATTGTCTCCTTCGTAGCGGCTGTAAAGGAGGTTACCACATAGAGAGCTTGCCCGCAGGTTAATGAAATAGTGGGGATGATGCGTAACTGAACCGTTATATTTTCATGTTCGGGCTTTCTCAATTTCGCAGACCCGACTATCTCGGGGCCTGAAAGAGGCTAGCAGGCTCATGGCAGCCTGGATCCCCCACCCGCCGTTTGGATCTTCTTTTGTAGCACATTGTTTGCGACATTTGATGCATCAATATTATATAAAGGCATAACCTACATTGCATCCATGATAACATGATAACAGGGGGTTTTACTTACATGTCAAAGAAAGCTGGCATGAGAAAATTCGCGATCAATTGCTCACTAGCAGTCCATCCCCGGCCTCTACCGAGCATCAACATAGTAATGTACCCTTTTCACACTGTATTCCTTGTATGCTACTAGGGAGCTTGAGCTTAAGCGGCTATACGCGTTTGTTGCAAACGAATCCACCCTATAAAAGGAGTTCTCACATTTTCTGTTCAAAACATTCGCAAAGTGCGCTGTCATTTTGACACATCAGGGGCACCCAACGACAATTTTCGGAAAATATCTGTTCGGAAGACGATTTGAGATCTAGAAATTTCGGAACATTTGTTGTAAAATTTCTTGCTTGCCTGCCTCTCCTAGGATTTTCGAACATCTAAAAAATGGTATAATTGCCTATTTTTAACGGATTTTTACCCTAAAAAGGTCACCTAGAATTTTCGGGAGCCTTTTTTCTGGCTGGAATTTTCGGAAAGGTAAGTTTTGATCCCTATAATTTTCGGATCACTAGACTTTCAGCTAGGAAATCCGAACAGATGAAAAATTTTTAGGGGATAAAAATATGCCTATATCTACCGTTTAAATACTAAAATACGTTTAACAATGCAATGTTTAAGTGGTTTTGAACTATATTCTCGTTGGGTGCCCCTGACACATGCACCCCGAAGTTATAAAATAATGGCTTGCGCGAGGAGATCATAATAGCGATCTCTTGCTTGTACTTTTTTTCTTTTTGCAGAATCAATTATTTACAAATCACAAGGAAATATTGCAATGTTAAATATATACTGTTCTCAGAGATCGTACAGAAGGGTTTATCTTACGATTAATTTTATAGCATTATGAAGTGATGGCTTATGAAAAAGTTTATTTTATCGTCGTGTCTTATGGTAAAAGTTGAAAAACTCGAGAAAATCAAAACATTTTTCTTCGTGGTCCGTCATAGTGAAAACTCTCATAGCGCCATGTTTTATATGACTTATATAACTGATTTTCATTAATATTGAAAGAATGATTGATTGCTAATACATCCATTAATTCAATAGGCCATTTTTTCATTGAACATACTATCAGTACTGCATTAAAACTTCTTCTTGTAAGCCTTGGGCTTAAACAACTTCATAAAACGGGTTTTAGGAGGGATAACAAATAACCGGATCCGGGGCGGGGGCGGGCTTATAACCGGATGTATTTTTTTGTTGTTTACAGGTCGATGGTCTTCACGGCAGTACAACTGGGGAACTTGTAAGCGGAAGTTTACGGTATCTATTTTAGCCTCTGGGGTCGGGAGGGAGGGTATATGTTCATTCGTTTAAAAAGACCAGAGGTGTTCTTTTCATGGACTCTTTTTGCTGGCGCCACAGTAAGGCAATTCCAGCTCTCTGAAGTAAACAAATGACAAATGTCAAGCCCCGTGCAAAAGGACGCAACATACAGTCAACTCCCTTTATAGCGGACACTGTAGGGACCTCAAGTTAGTGTCCTCATTAGCGAGAGTCCGTAATAGCGGGAGTTTATTTCAGTCAAACGTCTGTAATTTGGTTTTTCCTGGGATTTAACTGCTGTCCGTTTTATCGGGGTGTCCGTTATAGCGAGGTGCCCGCAAGGCGAGAGTTGACTGTAAGACAATTTTTTAAGCATCACACGGCAAACGACAAACATCAGATTCTCATTCAAGTTGATAGTTTCTCAAAAAGACAGCTCAAAACAATTCTTATGGATAAAAAATTGCGTGAAACTACTAATTTATATGTTGAACTAATATAATGAACAGTAAACGAGAAACACTTGGTACAGATTCTCTTTTGCCGTTTGACGTAAACGTGATTCTTAGCCAACAACTAACAACATTGTTGGATGGTACATATTGCGTTCGTTTGCACACCCTGTTGCATCTTGTTGCATGTTTTTGGGAGTTGTTACGCAAATTTTGAAATCGGTCAAACTTCTAGCTACGTGAAAACCCAACATTGTTGGCCAACAATTGTTGGGAGTTGTTGGCTTGCGTCCGTTTGCATGTAGCTCTACAAATTCCCGACGAATGCCCGGGAAGGGGAGTGGTATGGGCACGCTTGGACTGATAGCTTTCAAGAGAATAACACGTTTTTTTTTTAAATCCTGCATTATTCCCGCTCTCCTTCGACTCTGCTGTCCCAAGCCCATCCCTGCTGGGAAGTTAAAAACACTATCACGTCGGGAGTGCTGAGGACGAACTTCATCAGGAAATTCGATTGAAGCTGGGTATTATGAAAGACAAATTTGACAGCCGTTGCCATTATTTCCTATTCACTCTTAAGAAGCTTGTAGCGGCGTTGGTGACTTTTGACAGAAATTTGTATGAGAAAAGGTCCAAAAAGCGCGCTGTTGACAAAGACCTGACACTTTTTGCCCTGAATAGCTTGTGAAAAAGAGGAGGGAAAATTGTCAGCGAGCCGCCGTGCACTCCACAGTTGCGCGCCACATTGCTGTAATCTGATTGGCTCAGAGTTGCCTGGCGCGGAACTCAAACTTCTTTGGCCGCACGTCGGTCTTCAGTTCTCTACGATCTTTTGTACGAACAGCAGCTCTGTAAGAAACATGGCATCGTTCTTCAAAAAACATATGATTTATCCATCAAACGGCGTCCCCAAATCCATGGCTGATCTTCGCAGGTATGAGGGATTTTTTCCTAACATGAATGGAGCAACGTATGATCCCATTTCGCTGCTGGACGAGGAGAAGAATCGTGACCTCGAGGAGAGTAGGTTTTCTTCTGATTCCACAGGTGCTTCTCACGATGAAGACATCTTTTCCAGCACTCCGCTCACTTTTTCAAGGTAATTCTTGTTATCTTCATGACGCCTGTATTTCTCCAAAAGTATTGCTGGAATTGTCAAGTTTTGGCTGTAAAACCAGCTGTGTCGTAAAGAAAACATGTGTGTTTCAATACCCATGGGCAAAACTGAGCGGACTTCCACGAATTTGCGATGACCAACTCAAATTGTTTGAAATTTTTCCATCCAGTTTCTTTCCTTGTTTTCAAACAGTAAAGTTTATTTTCTTTTTGCAGCTACAAGATAAGAGACAAACATCCAGAAAAATCAATATAAGGTGGAAAGAGTGCTTTGCGAGAAGTTATTTCCCCCGAGAAAAACAAATTAGAACCATTGTGACAATTTGCATTTGAAAGAATACCTTTGAAACCGAGCATTCTTTTTTTCTAGTGACAATGAAGCGTAATTATCGCATCATATGTACAACATGAAAAGTATTCCACTTGTTTCACCTTGTCCAGATATTTTTCAGAAAAAGTAGATACATGGAGGTTTGTTTATTTTGCTGCAAGTTAATCCAATTTGTTGTTGTCAATCAGTTTGATTGCAAGTTTAGCCTGACACGTTTCTTTTATCCATTTAGTTTGTTGTCGTCATCATATCCTTTAATCTAAACCGTACTTTTGTACGTGTATATGATTTTTAATTTTGAACAAATGTATTTACTTTGTACCTTCAGCAGCGCTGATGACAGCACAGGATCGAGCCAAGCGTCCAATGATGTCTTCCATGAGGGCAAAATATTGTTGCTACAGACGCCGACGAAGGATCTAACGAAACGAGTGAGTCCTCGTAAACCTCTGAAGCCTATGAAAAGCGTTAATCACTGCGATCCAAGTTTCAAGGGCGTTACTTTCCACATGAAAACGAAGCTAAAGAAAGGAAAGCGCGGGTTGAAAACCCGCTCGGAAGCGCAACTGGTGATCGATTGCTGCTTTACGTCCAAGAAGAAACGTCGCTGCTCAAACCTCGACTTCGAGAGTTGTAAGACGTCCAGACGAAGGCTTGCTTCACCCGGACTGAATCCGACTGTTTTTAAGCTTCAAAGTTCTCCAGAGTCGCTGTTCAACGATAGAAGCCCGACCGATATGGATTTGGGGATGATGACGCCCATTCAAGTCGAGAAGGAGTGTGCGTCGTGTGGAACTTTTAAAACCCCTTTGTGGCGCGATGCGGAAGATGGCACTCATTTGTGCAACGCTTGCGGAATCAGGTACAAAAAGTACAGGATCCGCTGCGTCCGTTGCTGGTATATCCCCAAGAAGGAGGAGAAAGCATTACCTTGTTGTACTAGTTGCGGTCATACGTACAAAATTTCCCTTGGTCGAAAAGGAACCCAATTTAGCAGTAGCGAGTAGGGTTGTTCCAACAAATCACGGACGGGAACTGTTGGTTTTATTCCGATGGCTGTGGCGCTTTTTGGATGCTCTACAAAAATACAAAATTCGTTCTGTCTTTACTTCAGGTGTTAAAAAGTGGGAGATACTGTGAGAGTATTGGTGAACTTTTATTACTGGTTCTTAATTGAGGGTGAAAGTTTTGACAAATTTCTTAAGTCTCTCCTTTTTGCACTTTCCGCTTCTAAGAAATGGACCCTTGCATTTCTTTTAGAAAACAAGGAACGGATGATTAAAACCTTGTACACTCAGAAATCACAAACTGCTTACGGTGATTTCAAAGAAAGAAGCATCGGAGTTTTGTTTACGACTGGTCTTTGATATCATCACTTCCTGTTTAGTTACCTATTAAGCAGTGATGTCATATTTGCAATGTAACGTTTCACACTTGACGCATATACCATTTTTACACGTTTCTAGTTTTTACACGGTCATGTTTTCCATTTTACCCGCGTTATCATTTTCACGATGCATAGTTTTGGGTTTTGTTGTCCGCGCTTGTCTATATCACCAGGGTTACAAAAAGCAAGGTTTTAAGTTTTCTTAGAAGTGCGTGAGTGTACTGTGTAGGCTTAAATGAAATATATCAGAGTACACTAATAAGGTTCAGTTAATGTCAAAATATTTATTGTCGTCTTTATTAAGGTTCACTTGTTTGTATAGGATATGCTGAAACAAGGTTGTTTTCCAGTGAAGTTTTCTCCCCAATTCCTCCAGTTTAGACTGTAGTCAGTTGAGACGCATAAGGGCATTCGACAGCTAAGTAGATGACTAGATCTTGAAAGGTTTTATTAACAGAAATTAGCTTGCCCTAACTAAGCCATAACAACGTGAAAACACTATCAGGAGAAAAATCTATCAGGATTATTATTGTAGTATATTAGCCCTAAGCATATGTATGAAAAACTGAGCATTTGTGGTACGGAATTCTTGTTGCTATTTATCTCTTGTATATAGGGTTACTCTCTGGTCAGTACAAACTTGTCTTGTAACGTAGTACTGATTGAAACCAGTATCTTACAAGTTTCAAACTGGCTGTAAGTGGTTTTCGTTAAGTTATTTTCTTGTTGTGTATATTGTGTATATATACGTAGATCTTTAAAGCCAGTTTCTCCAAAGTTAGTTTCAAACCACATGTTGTAAATAGGATACCCATGTGTATCAAGCTACTGTACCTGGTTACTTAAGGGTGAAAGATGGTAGTGTCAATAAAAACATTGGATGCTTAAACTCTTCTCAGTAAAGTAGTCAGGATTTATCCATTATACTGTCTAAAGAAAACAGTTGAACGAAAGCGCGAAAGCGCGAAACCAAGCCAGCGGTGGAGAGCGATGAGAACAATCGCGGGGCGGGAAACAAGCCAGTTCGCGCCTTTCGGATAACGACGCATAATGCTATATGGGATTGAAGTATTAAAACGATGCAACTGAATCTACGTTGTTTTTTTTTTGTTGTTTTGTTTTGGAAACAAGTAAAATGATGAAATCCAAGGGGTTTAAGGAAAACTGAACTCTGACGAATCTCTTTGAAGCGTGAAAACAAGCAAAATAAATTCGAACAAGTATTGACCTTTGATTTAAAAAGAGCGCAGATTCCTTGTGGTTGCCGTCTGCGGTGCTTTATTTAACAGCTTTTCTGGACACGAGGGAATGAGCACGAACGGGACTCAGGTTCCATCCCTACCCAATCCCACAATCCGTAAAGGTTGGCCACACCACCGGTCTACAACCCCTATTCTTTTCGAATAGTGATGTGGGTTCTGTTACATCCTACTCAGTCTTTTCCTCAAGGGAAATACTAAATTTTGTTTCCAACAATTGCAATTTTAAAGTTGGACGATCCCACAGCACAAGTTCGATTTAAAATCACAAGTATGATTTGTAATGGTAATAGGACGGAGTGGAGTCCAATTCGGTCTGTAATCATACGAGTGATTAACAAAATCGGACGACCGCGTAGAGGGAGTCCGATTTGTTTAATCACGAGTATTATAAACAATTATTGGATGAGGTTTTTGTGATATCCGGAATAATCAAGGTCGAGGTAAGTGTTATCAGCCGAAGCCGAAGGCTGAGGCTGATAACGCTAACCGAGACCTTGATTATTCCGGATATCACAAAAACCGAATCTAATAATTGTTTTATTACACTTTATCTTCAAGTAATTTCTCAATTTCTTGCTGGGTCGATGAAGCGAATCGAGAAGCCATTCTTACTTCGCTGTCCGCGAACTTGACATTGCTGTCCGTGCACTTGACTCGGCATTGCTCTTGGAAATCATGCATTGCGCGCTCACGGGGCCCTACAGATTATTCACTAATGGTGACTACAATGTATAACAGACCGAATTGGACGACACGAAGTTAATTCTGGTACCAATTATAATCATACTTTAACAAAATTTGTGACGTAATAGGCTATTTTTTAAATCAAAACACAAGAAATTCCGAGATTTTTATGTACAGCAGTAAAAAAAAGCCATTTAAGAGCGCTTGATGGCGCGTACTGTCCAATTACTTAGGCATGACGCGTACTGTCCTATTAAACTGTCCAATTAACGCAGAAATCAGGGCAGTTGATAGCCAATCAGATTTGACAATTTTGTGATAGTTATGATTACAGACCGAATTGGACTCCACTCAGTCCTATTACCATTACTAATCATACGAGTGATTAATTAAATCGGACGAGGTTCTTTTCCATATGTTTTACTATTAGAGGGGTACAAAAAAATCGTTCGTTACACCTGGGAACATCGAGGTTCCACTGTAGATTTTAAAATTTCATGGATCCACGTACTCCCATTTTATTCCCGTGTTTTCGCCTTGGAATCACGGAAATCAAGTTTTGCAAAAATAACCAACAGTAAGGTAGAATAAATGGTTAAACTTCGGGTCAAGGGTCAGTCCAAGTCATCGGTTGTGGACCTTTCCACAGCAGGTTGAGTCAAAACTAAATAAAACTAAGCATCTGTAAAGTTTTCTTCAGTATTTTAATTTATGTGGTCGCAACTACACTTAAAATCGTACAGAATATTACATTGTATGTACACAAATTATAAAACTCCCAAAGAGCGTCAGGCATATGTTCAATCTATTCTCAAATTTTCTCGTCATAATTAGTAAGTATGTGAACAATAACTTAGCCTTAAATACCTTAAATACGTGAGAACAAGACAATTTCGATACCCATTTTTAGTTGACGAGTATTGCAAAATATTTATTGTATGGCCAATGTTTGTAGCATGTTGTTAGTAATGGGCCAGTTGTGAGGGCTGGTGTAGTTCTCGGGTCGTGAAACGATGCCCGCCGATTCTGAAGCTAATACAAGTTGGTTTTCTCCACTTTCCGAGTTAGATGGGTGAGGCAAGATAGGTTTCTTCATTCCTATTACTGATAGAAGCTGCAGTTCCAACGGTCCAAGACGAGGAGAGTCCTTAAACAGAATAAATCAATAACGCTCATATTAGCAAGATTCTGTGCTACTTAAAGATTAGCCTGTGCCAGGCTCTAAGATAGTAGCTATAGGGGCGTCACGAAAATAAAACGAGCCAAGCAAAAATAAGACGCGCGTGATCTGGGGAAGGGAGTGGTGGCGGCAAAAATTCTGCATAGAGCCTGGACCAGGCTACTTGAAAACTTGCACACCGTTTGCGTCAGTGACATGCGACCTTTTTCTCGAAAGTCCCGATAATTATGAGCTGTTTTATGTTTCATAGTACAGTCAAACCCTGTGAATACGGAGACTTGGGGCTTGGGGGTGGGGGGTATAGAAAGTGTCTGTATTAACGGGGTGTTCGTATTGAATTGATTGTCCGGTTGAATTAAGGGAAAATGTAAGGGCTTTTACCCCCAGGGACAAATAATAATAATCAGGTGTCCGTAAAGCGGGTTTAGACTAAATAGTTCGAGCCAAGAGTCAGGTCATAAGAGGGTTGAATATGATCGTCCGGGCGAGCGAGTCCTGAACAGGGGGACTGTTGTCAGGTTGACAAAAGTTTCGACAATTTGTGCGGTAGTCATCTTTAGAGTCAAAGACAGTGTTATGAGAGAGAGAGAGAAATCACTCTAAAATAATTGACTTCGAAAGGTTTTACATCTTGACATATACACTTTCACTCCTAAAAGTGACTGATGAAATTTTAGTAGGCGGTTTTAACTTTTGCGTCTATGGATATAATCCTATGGTGTTGCCATTCACATGAATTCTATTCAGCAGTATTATAACGTAGTAATATTTGTTTTCCAGCATTGTAACAATTAAAATTTCGAAAATTATCGAATTATTACTTTGGCTATTTCTGGGAGTAAAAGGGTGAAAGGATGAATTCATATGTTTTTTGTGTCGTTCAAAGGCCAGTGTACATCAGCGAGAATATCTCTATAATTCCAGCTTGGTTTACGCGAAAATTTGGAGTGTTTTGAGATACCTCCTCCCCTAAACGAGAAAAATGTGTAAGAATTACAGCTCTCAAAGCTCTGCTGTTCAAAGAAGAAAACCGTAAAAACCCGTGAATAAGAACCTCCGTTTTCCCAACTAAACAGGTTCTTACATAGATGGTAACAAGCACAAACTTAGACTATTTAGGTTCTTATTTTCTGAAGAAAAAATACATTGAAGCTAAGAGCATTTAGTGGTATTCAGCTTATTCCAGATTTCCTTATATAAAATCTGAATACCGTTACGTTGGAGTTGGAGTGAAAGGCACCTATGTCTCGAAAGAGGATCCTGAATGTTAACTTCTCTTATTTGCCGGATTGAGTTTTTTATAGATTTTAAACCGAGGTTCTTGTAATTTTCTAATTGTAATCAACTTATCAGCGCTACACAGTTCCTAACCATGTTTTGTTTTTGGATACTAACTGGCAAATTTTAGCCCAACAGGTTATTAAAACCAGGTTCTTACTCGTGGGTTTTTACTGTACTTCACAAAATCGCGGTTGATTAACTAACTTTTCGGAACTGATTTTTCTAAACTAGTTCTAAGTTAGTTACGGACCTCAAAGTCATCCTCTCCAGGAAGAAAGTAATTATCCAGCAAATCATCTGGTTTTTCATCTTGTTCTGTTATGACCCCGTGGGACGCAAACACCTCTTCCGTTTCACCACCGTCTTCATCTGAACTTTCTTCGTCATCAACACAGCTTAAATAAAACTTTCTGAAAAGAAACACAGTCAGTTTAGATGAAGTGATATCTGGGTGAAACGTATACCTTATTATAAGACGTTAACACTTCATGAAATTTTTGAAACTCGCGTTAATTCAAGTCGCGTTTTTTGTAAACGTTAATTTCATACTACTGGGTGGAGATCCACTACTATCAGTGAAACTGTGAAGACCCATCGGGAAGGTACCACGAACAAAGTTTCCATTTCGGATTAAACGTTTAACTTTGGTTCCTGTTTTCTAAACAAGTTTTGTTTCTTTGTAAACGTCGCGTTAATTTCCTTCATTTTGAAATGTTACCCTCCAGTGAGTTTTTTTTACAAATAGTTATGGTGAGTCCTGGGACTCATCTTGTGAAACATCATGAGTCCCAGTTCAAAAAACCATGAGTTCCTGGGTCTTTTGTAACCACACAGTTAATCTAAAGACAGACTCCAAAACTCTGTATCACAGTTTACTGAAATAAAAATATACTCCTTCTATTGTAAATTACAACAAAGACAAAAAGAAGTAAGCGTCGTTTAACAACAGCCACAGAAATCACACAAACAGGATATTCTACAAAAACATCTTCAGATCGATCAATCAATCTTTGCGTCCTAGGGGACGCATTCCACAAAGTACTTTGTGTCTTTGGGGATTTTTATGCGTCAGGGACGCAGAACGCAGAGGTAACAAAATCGCTGACCCTCTCTTTTGCGTACATCAATTTCCATTATTCGGAATTCTTTTCTCGTTAAATTCGCGTTAATATATAAAAAATTCCAATAACTCCAGGGTCCAAAATTAACTTTTTAATATGGGCGCCAACTGGCGATCAAGTTTAAATTTTTGGTCGCCAGAGGGCAAACTGTGGTCGCCAAAAATTCCCCCTCCCTTTTTTTCAAATAAAAGTTTAAACACGAATAAAAAATGCTATGGACGTTTTTATGCTCAAAAATTGCACTACTTTCCCTCCTGACACCAGAAAGCAACCGTACGTGTACGAGTGAAGTCATATTTTTCGACAAACTACTTTTTGGCGATATAAAGCTATCTGACCTAGAACGTAGGAACAGAAAGCTGTCTGCCCATGACTGCAACTGTATTTTCTTCCCATAACTACCACGAAACATAAACACGAGTCAAGTCGCCATGTTGCTCGTACCAGGCTTCAACTGTGCCACATTACTCGTTCCAGTCCACAAAGTACATAACGTACTTAACGTACTTACCGTATTTCAGCTGAAAACAACATGGCGGCTTGGTATTGATCGTAGCTGTTGTGGAGGTATTATTACAGGAAGATTCGTTTCACTTTTAATTAAAATATATCAGCAGGACAAAAAGGAAGACACCTGTTGGCAAATAGGTTCGAGGTTTCAATTGCTAATCAGTTTCTCCGAACGTTTAAGTCCACAATAACAACCAGCTTTACAAGTCGCTAGCTGGCGACCAGCTATGAAATTCTGGTCGCCAGGACTACATTTTTAATCACAATGGCGACCAGGAAGGCGCAATTTCGGATCCTGCATTAACTCAATTTCATGGAGCGTTAATTTTCTAAAATAAGGTACTACAAAGGGTTGATGAAATATTTGGAATCAGAATCAAACTGTAGGTTAAAACGTAATCCACACTGATGTAGTCACTGGCCATATAGATTTGGATTCTGTTTCAAATGTCCTGCAAATGTCATACCTGCATAGTTTCTATTGTTTACCTTAAGGTGTTAATTCGTTCAACGCCCATAGCTATCATTAATGCTCTAATAAAAAGACCCACGTACCTTGTAAACTTGAGATCTTCTACTTTACAGTCAAACATTTCACTCATAATTTCCAAGTTTCGTCTCTCCAGTTCTTCGACTATTTCTGAAAGTTCCTCATGACCTTTTCGATGAATAGAAACCTAAAAGAAGAAAATGATTCTATTATTCAATTATTCAAAGGCCAGTTTTTATGCTAACAGGGGAATAAAACTTGATTCATCTTTAGGTCATGCCTCTTACCCTACGGTTCAAAAACATATTCATTGTTAATTGCTACATACGTAGTCGTTTTAAAGCATCCAAACATGAAATCCCCAGCTAGTAGAGGTTTCTTTCCGTGTGATTTTTACCATGTACAAGAGAAACTCGTACATGGTAAAATCGTAAAGCGGTCTGAACGATTTCGTGCATGCTAAAACCAAGCGGAAGAAAAATAAACTCTGCTACAAAGACAAACACTAATAAAATGTAGGCCAAATTAAAATTTACAACTGTAGATCCTGTAAACGTTCAGTTTGGAACAGCCTGTTCACAGACCCTCTAATTTCCCTGCACAGATCGTTAACTGCAGGAATGAAAATAAAAACCTCGGGGGCTTAATTAAACGCTAGCACAACGGAGTTCGTTCTCGCGTGCTCGCTTCGCTTGCGCGCTCGTTAATTAGAAAACAACGTCTGTGCTACGTTCAGTTTCGAATTTCAATTTTGTGCCAACCCTGTGTTTTCAGTTCAGCCCGGCAGTTAGATGTACCTCTTTTTTCAGCCATCTGTTGTCTAAAATTTCTCCACAGGTATCTTTATCCAAGTTATTTGTTGCTTTCTGAAAAAAGAAGAAACGGCCCATCGCGTTGTTATTTTTACTGACCCCCCCCCCCTCCCCCACGGGGGTACTCCCTATACAGTCCTATTAGGAGATGCTTCACCCAAAAGGGATGCCTTTTTCAGGCCTCTGGTATATGAAAGGATAGGGATTTGACTAGTTGAAGTATAGATGAATCTTTGTTTATACTTTTTGCCTCATTAACATCTGCTTATCACCATCTGATGACGCTAATAACATAAAAACTCTGAATATTGAAAGGGCATAACAGTTTCAGTTATCTCTGAAAATTTGAGCCCAATAAACCGAATGGTTTCGGAGAAATTACTTTCTAAAAACTCGACATTTTACAGAGAATGTATGGCTCATTAACTTTTTTTGCCACACAGCAATTTTGCAGTTTTTGATGGCTGCTATTTACTTCAGTATTGCTTTGCAAAGAGCTGAAAATTGCACAAATTGCTCAACTTAATCAGCTCTTTCAACTTTTGCATTTAGTTCATATATATGGTTATGGTTTCTATGAGTTAAGTCGTATGCTAATAAGGAAAAATGTAAACAATGACACCAGCAAAGATTCGCCTATATAAAGGGGTTAAAAGGGTTAATGGTAAAATTTATGGCTATGAAAAAGTCGAGAACATTTCCTGGTTTGGGATTAATTTCATATTTTAAGACAGTGCAAATTTTGTAGCAGTTAAAAGAGATGCAATGTTCTAAACCAGGTGTGTCAAAGGGGTACCATCGGTCAAAAATGGTGGTATATAAAACTGTAAGGGGTTGGTTCAAAAGACTGTAATGCATGTAACTTTGATACGAGGATGGAAAGAACAATCAAACAAGCAGCCAAATGGTTTAGTATTACGTAAACTCACAGCGCATTGACAATACAGTTATGACACACAAGTTCTAAAATCAGGTACCTCATTTGCAATGTCCTTCTGCTTAGATATTGTGGATTCAGTGTAAGTTTCAATTTCATCTTTTGCAATTTTCAAGCTCCTTTCTAAATGAGCTGTGAACAAATAGAAGAAACATTTTGACAACCAAAGTCATTTTATGTAATTACTGGTTAATTTTCTTGAGGCTGAAAGTTTTGCTGGAGACTGAGGAAAGTCGATAAGCTGCTCATGATCCTCACCTGCAATATCATCATGTGAATCCTGCATTTCTTTCAAATCTTGTTTTAGTAAAACTATTTGTTTGGCATGTTCCTCAGCACCTTTGTCCTGAAGGTTAAAAGAAAGAAGAAGTTGCTAAAAACCTATATTGTACTTGTAGCTGTATTCTTAAGACAAGCCCAAGGCTGGAAATAATTTCGGGAGAGTCTCTAGACATGATGAGCAGCCAAATTCATTTTAGCTCAATCACATATTGTTTCTGGCCGGTCAAATTTATAAGATAAATAGCTCTTAAATCATGTGTCCAACAACCATAACTTGCGTTATATATTTCCAAAACAGTCGTTTTTTAAAGCTTACAGCTTAAAGCACTCGTTGTCAACAATATAAATAAATTACAGTGGCAAAATGAAAATAAGCTTATGTTTCAATGTGCGAATTGTAAACAACAGTTCCAGTTCGCATAATACACAGGGACTCACTACATACATGTACTGGTAACAACTGAAACCACTGAACAGTATGGAAATTTTAATTAAGGTCATTTTCAAAACTATCGCATGTGACCGGTCAACATGACCGGCAAGATGAAAGGTTGACCGGTCAACTCCGCAATCAGTCCGGACATTGTCCGTTGACTGGCTGTTATTTCGTGCCCTGGAGCAATACAAGAGGTGGAATAGCTTTTCAGCAGTTTAGAGTATCTGCAATGCAGGCTAAGCTTTTCAAAGTGCAAAAGATGCACAAAAGAGAGATTGAAATCCAAGGGCTTGGAGAAGGTGCAATTAACAGTAGGGTTGGTTCAAGGTTCCTGCCCCAATGATGAACTAATTCAACACTCATTGCAAAACCTAACCACATTCTACAAATTGTAATGCTCCCAGGTACAAAGGGATTGAATGCTAGCAAAAACCTAAAATCATCACATGTGCCCACTATTTTTAACTAATCATTTAAGCATAGAACTGGTATGGCATGCCGATGTAATCATTGATTATAATCATGTTACTTTTAAAACAATAAGTCAATAAACATATTATTGTACCCTGTAGTCTTCGAGCCTTTTTATATTCTTCCTCACATCTGCTATTTCTTCTTCTTTCTTCTCCATTTGATCATTAAGCACTAAATACAAAAGCAATAATTTCAGAACTGTGTCTTAAAGTAAAAAATCATAATTTCATTATTTTATGTTTCCGAGATAATTAAAGGGAAGCCTTATGGTTTGTAATTTAATTTCTACCATTACTAACAAACTAACAGAATTTGCCAGTTGTTGATTTAGTTTGTCATTTTAATTTAGTATCTAATTTTCCTGATGGTTGTAAAGTGATACCGCACCATGTATTAAAGAGTCAAAGCAGAACCGAAGGGTTAAGGATGGGTAACACTTAAGAAACTACCCCATTTTCAGAACAATGTCTACATTTAAAAAACTGTACATGGTTGTAACAAATACAGTAAACACCCGCGAACAAGAAACTACTTTTTTTGAGGTTTGGCAAAGTAGGTTCTTGTATTTTGGGATACTCATTGACAATTTAGGCTGTAAGTAGGTTCTTAATTCAGTTCTTAATTTCTATACAAAATGTAGTTGTTGACTGCCAGAACAAGTTACAAAGAAGCTTGAAGTTGGTCCTTAAATAAACAATTTTTATTCTCAAACCACGTCAACTTATTTGTATTATGGAGAAAAAATATGCCTGTAATAATCTCAGCAAAAAATGTTTCCATTAAGTCAGCTTAATTATACAGGTACCTTGAACGTCTGCTTCTTCCGCCTTCATTGCATCAAATTTTTCCAGGAGTGCTGCTTCCACTTGCTCATGTCCAACCTCCACTGCTTTCTCCACTTCTTTGTCTTTCTCTTTCACTTGTTTTAAGAGAGTTTTGATATGTAGAAGTTGCTCTTCTTTCAGTCTTTGATTCTGTAAATTAATCACAAAACATAATTAAAATGTGCATTGATCATATGTTCTTTGTACATTTATTATCCATTAAAATTTATAATAGAGATCAGAAAATATTGTACCCATATCTGGTAGTCTTGCACATATAAGAAAGTTACTACGTAACACTAGAACTCCAGTAACTCCAATTTTGATGCTAACTTGAACCAAGCCCCACTTCCCCTGGATTTGACCCCACTTTTCCGAAAGAAAAATGAACTGTAATTGAAGTTGCCATTGTCTATGTTCACAACACTATCTTGAAACTCAGATAAGTAGGGGTCATGATTGTGTGCTAGTTTGTTTCTGCTTATTAACATATAAAGACTTACTTGGAAAGAATAAGAAATGCATTTATTTATGTGATTGTATAAACCCATGTAGAATTTGTTAACTAAAAAAGTAAGGGGGGGGGGTAGGTAGGTGAAACTGGACAGAGCAATTTGAAAAGGACAGAACCTCCTGTTACCACAACTCTTACCCTGTCTTTGAGTCTTCCATTCTTCTCTTGGAGAGACTGCATGTCATACATAAGATCCTCATAGTTCCTTTGTTTCACCTCTATCCTATAATTATTGAATTAATACAGGTATTTATTAACTCTTGTTGAATATTCTGCATATCCCAACCATAACAATATGGCAGCAGTAGTACAACGTAACATGAAAGACTGAAACATGAAGGACAGGGTTAACAGAAGAAGCCAGCCACCAAAGAAATTTCACTGCCTGTAAACACTAAGATAGTTATCCGTTCAGACTATAAAACTTCCCTTGCAGTCACGGGCTGCAAAAAATAAAATAAACTACCCGTATGATGTCAGAAAAAATTGATTATTCACTACTCAATTAGCTTTGTGACAAAATGGATTTTGTGCAAATACATCTGCTTGTGACAGATAAACCACAAAGTGTCAAATTATCTGTCAGCGACTTAAATGTTGTGTGATGTTGCATGTGTAACCTTGGCATCTATTAAACGCCCTCGCTTATGCCCCCCAAATTAAATAGACATCCTGGGCATCTATTAGATCATTTACAGGCCTTTAATCAATTTGTATTGAAAGGAACACAAGGAACTGAAGAAGACTTCTTTGTTATCAATTTATTTGTAATAGAAGCCCCGTATATTAAAAGAGTACCTTTTTATCAATGAATGGTATGCAAAGTGGGTACTTTTTCTGTCAAAAATGGTATACCGTAAAATTCTGAAAATAAGCCATGAGGCTTACATTTTTCCAAGGCTCTTTTTGAGGGGCTTATTTTTGGAGGGGCTTATATTCAGAGGGAAATTTGTGTTTCAAAATCGATTGGGCTAGCCTTCTATGGTTGGAGGTAAATTTACCGTTTTTGCTTTGTTTTACTTTGCATTTGAGGGCAACTTTCCAATAACAAGCCCCCTGGGGGCTTATAAATTATTGGAGGGGTGATTTGTGTTACCAGTTTGGGGGCTTATATTTGAAGGGGTTTATACATGGAGGGGCATATTTTCGGAATTTTACGGTATGATAGGGTAAGGGGCTGGACCCCTGGGTGGAGCCCCCCAGTATAAAATTTTCTTGAGCTCTTCCCCTCATCAGCTTTTTAAAGCCATCAATGGGTCGCGCGTCTATATCTACCGAGAACCCTGTACATGTAAATTGCATCAGCTATACAGAAACTATTTATATCACAAGAATGTTACAGTATAATATGTTATCAAAGTGCCAAAATTTATAGACTGTTCACATTCCTCTATTCTTCCGTAAGATCGTCGAGATCGAGCGCTTTGTGTTTCGGGCTGCCATCTTGTGTGAGTGTCAAAACTACTTAGGGGGCAGGGGGCGGTTTGGGAGGAAGCGAGAAAAATAGAGGGACTGTAATAACATCACTGCAGCTCGTGTTCAGGAGGCGTGACAGGAATTTCACGCCTTTTACCATTCATTAATTAAGAAACTCCGCTGGCGATGAAAAACATGCCAGACACATTTAGCATCGATTACACATGTTTATAAATATCTCCTTTCGAAATAGTGATTTTATAATGTTTCCAGGCCATTCCTACAAATAAATTCGGCAAACAGGCACAAGAGAAACATTTTCGTAATCGAATCGCTAAGCATGCTCGCTTGACCGTAGACTAAAATGGTTAAAACGTCCCGATAAGAAGCCAGGCATTTCTGACAGGTCATCTTTTTTACGTCGGCATTGCGTTAAATTTCAATTCGTTTGGCAGAAACTGTGTTACAACCTTCCCGCGGACGGGCTGCTTCCAAAGCATGTTGGCTTACGCGATTCATCCGCAAAATACCAAAAATCGTTCGTGTGTTTGTGCAAGTTGTACCTTATGGTATGAAAGCGTGCGTTTTATAGAAACGGCGACTTGTCAACGACTTGTCAGTGTCGGCAACTTAAACTAAACCCGTTGTCAACGCAAATTAACATCTATTGTCTAATGACCAATCAAATGCCTGCGTTGCTGGTACAACGCGCTCTGTGAACACAAACTGCAGTGATGTTATTACAGTCCCTCTATTTTTCTCGCCCACCTCCCCCTAGAGCTATAATCCCCGACGCCCGTCCCCTCGGTACATTTGACAATCAAGATGACCGACATTAATGGTAAGACGCGCTATATCTCAACGATCTCACGAAAAAATAGGGGACTGTGAACAGTCTACAAAATTTACAAAAAGTTTTAAAATAATGAATATTTAATTGCAACTCGGCGGGAACAGAGCCTGCGTTGCTAAGAGATCCAATAAACTACTAACACAAGGACAAATTAATTATTTCTTACAATGTACGGTTTTCTAAAAAATCTCCAAGGAAATATGAACAATCAACAAGGCTCTTAAGAAGTAAAAGCGTAATAACAGAACCTGACACAAGAATAAAAAAAACACTCACTGAAAAGCCACGATGGCTTCCTCCACCGTTAACTTCGGCTCCTTAGACGCGCCACTTTTCTTCCCTTTTTTCTTCTTGCTAGAACCTTTTTTCTTTCCAGACTTCTTCTTAGGAGGCATAACGTACGTCTAAGCACCAGTAAAGTAAAGAAATTCGTTTACGTAATTGTTAATTCGAGCATTTTCGAGGCCAGAGCAATTGGCATCTTCAAAGATGTTTACAGCGCTTATGTTGGCCTCGTTTACAAGCTTGTCAGAACGAGGCTGACTGGCGGGGTTTGGAGACCACGAGAGGAGGCTACTGGGATAACTTTGAGCGGACATATTGATTTGCTGGAGGTAGTAGGGAAGTGATGGCCACGTCCACAGAAACTGGCGACAGGCAAGACACAAAACGGCTTGAGGCAAAGAAACAGACATTGGATGATGCCTATGCAGCTCCTGCCAATTTTCTAGAGATCGATGTTGTCAATCCGGAGACACACGGTGTTGCGAAAAAGCGATACACGGACTATGAAGTCCGCATGAGGGTTGGTACACTTTTAATAGTACAAATGCATTTTGTTAGACGATTGACGGATTTTATTACTCTAACCACGTTTACGTACAAAATTTCGTCGAGATCGGTTGTTTTAAGATTGTTTTCCGGAAATCAGGTCTGGCGATTTTCTGATAATAATTATTAATGAAGAGCCAGTGTACATGAAAGTTTGAATTGATTTCCTGGAACCTGAATGATTGTTAATTTGGCCCGAAGTAACGACAATAATTTGGTTAAAACGTGGGAAACCTTTGGGGACCAAGTTTATTTGTGTGCAGTAAATTTTTGTTCGTTTGTATGTAGCAATAATTGAATTGGTGTCATATAATATCCTATTTTAGTATTTACCAAATCGGTGAATGGCACTTTTCGCGCGTTTTGATTGGCTCTCGTAACTCGAAATATCTTTGGCTGACCGGAGCCAAGATGGCATCTCTTTTCAAGACATTTTCGGAAGACGAAATTTGAGTGATAAATGAAGCATTTGACTACCAATACCAAGAAAGAGAGGAACTTTTGCTTGTCGGCGTTTACCGGTAGGCACAGAAAATCATCTTCATGCTAAATTTGCAACAAAATCATAAAAATGCACTTGGCAAAATCACCGAAATGTTTGTAAATTGTAAACAAAGTTCCTACTAAGTGATATTTTTACTTTACAAAAGGTTGCTTTTTTCATTTTTATCCAACTGATTTGGTAAATACTAAAACAATTATCCCCCTAAGGGTCGGTGAACAGCGCTAGATATATACCTTGACACTTTGTATCTTGGTATATCCACCACTATTCACCTCCCCGTCGGGGGATAGTGGTGTAATATTGGAAAGTATGCTAGAGAGAAGTGTGATGTCACATTACCATTGTAGCAAAATTTCTGGATCACAACAATAGGAGCTTAAGTGTGAATGACGACAGTAACGGCAACGAGAATGGCAAAAAAGTAATAGGTTTACACTATCAAAATAACAGCTTTGCACTTGCATCATGTGTTTTTGTACATTTCTTAGCTGTAATTGCATGACTGTAACATGAAACTTCCTAATTTCTCGCACCTGCTTTTTGAAAAGGGTAATCACAACACAAAAATTTGCTTTTACTTTTTCTAAACTTAGAAACAGTCCTCTCAGATTCAACCCCAGGAAATTTCACCAACATTTGACAAATTAAATGAAACTAAATCAGATTGATGAAGTTTGAAACAGTGGGACTTTTTTATGTCTTTGGTTTGTTTTCATCCATAAATTTTGCTACCATGGCAACCTGACTTGATATTGACCACTACTTTTATAGTAATGGTTAGCAGTCTAGTGCATTGTTGACCCTTTCCCTGAGCTCTGCCAGGTACATTTGGGCTGGACGTTGAAGTAGAGACTACTAGGAATTTTTGGTCTTTGAGGATTTTAGCCAGGTTACCACATAAAAATGAAGAACCCTCAAATTAATATATTGCTCGTCACGATCACTTCATAAACACACTTTTGCCTAAAGGCTTGCGGTTTGTCCTTTTATAATGTACTGTCTTACTTTGTATCTTTAATTTTTTTCAGACAAATCTTCCTGTCTTTAAAGTAAAAGAGTCATCAGTAAGAAGACGGTACAGTGACTTTAAGTGGCTAAGGAATGAGTTAGAAAGAGACAGCAAGGTAACTAAATAAACTATTTTAACATTCTCACATTATAGCTACTGACTATACTATATAAAACTACTGGTAGTGACCTAATACTGGGCAAATAAGCAACGCAACATGTACCTTATCTAGATAAGAAATAGAAAATCTTAGCCATCTCAGATTGACTTTTGCTGCAATTTTACAAATGAAGTTCCCCCAATTTTTTCTTCTTACCATGGTGACCAAAGTGGTCACAGCTTGGAGCACTGTGGTGTAAACTTTTCCAAGAGTCCAGTCTAACTCAGGCAAGGTAATAAGTCATATAGGTAATGAGCTTCAGAAAAAGAAGATCTTAGCACAGGTCCAGAAGAGATGGAAGATCGGTTTAAGATTCTGGGAACTATCAACTTACTCCTCCCCTAAACCACCATTTTGTTCCAAGTAAGCATTTAGTGTTAACATCGGTTTAGGGGAGGGATGAGGGGGTGGGATGTAGTTGCCCACAATCTTTAACTGATCTGCCATCTGCTCTGGACCTGTAAACACTAAGATCCTCTTTATTTGAAGCTCATCTTTCGCCATCTTTTTTCCCAACCAGACTTACCGCCTCTGGATATCCTAGGATGTTTAAACATATGACCTATTGCATTGCTTGAGTCTGGACTCTTAACAAATAAGATTTTTTTTACCAGCTGTCTTTTAGTCACTGCAGTTACTACGTTTGGGTTGTTAAAATGTAGTGTTGGAGTTTAAGCTACAGAAGAAGTGGTTTTCTGAATCACCTAAGACGTTTTTGGTGCTATCAAAACCCAAAGCAGATCTTGAGCTCCCAAAAAGTTGGTGTCAAATGACTAAACTTCAGCGTATATAACACTGTTGTTAATAAGGACAGCAAAGGGTCATACCAAGGTGACTGTATTACCAGAATGTGGGCTCTCGGAAAATGTCAGCTGCAAACACCATGCTTAACTGATATATTTGGGACTAAAGCGTACAGTAACTGAACAGAGCTATGTTTAATGTCTTAAGTTTTACCGTAAAAACGAGTATTCCTGGGCAATTATAGGTCCTTCTGCTTGCATGTAAGTTGATTTTCTAATTCTCTATTTTCCAATTCCCCATAATACACTCTGTTTGACCCCCAAATTTTGCATAAACCATTGTTTTTAAATGCTCCTGGGAGTATTGCATTTTCCCAAGAGCATTTTAAGACAATAAGTTATGCAAAATTTGGGGGGCAAACAGAGTGTATTATGGGGAATTTGAAAATAGTCAATGGTTCTTCAGGCACCATAAAAACATATTTTGACCTATAAAGTTATCTGTCAATCATCCTTCTAACTTTGCTTTGCTGATCTTAGCGCTATCAAGTTGAGATGAAAGATTAAAAAAAAATTGCTTGCCCTTTGGGAAAGGATTTGTTCTGTGACCCCCCCTCCTTGTGGAAATTCCGATGTAGCTTCACAGACGCTTTAACCGTTTTGAGTCCGGTTTCTTCTCCAGGGAGAGTATGGATATTTTTGGAACTCATTTTCCTTCATACCTTACTTGTAGCATCACAAACTTAGTGTCAACCTTGCCCATTTGTAATTTTTGCAGATTGTGGTTCCTCCGCTTCCAGGCGATGCACTTAAGAAGCAGTTACCATTTAGAGGAGATGATGGTAGGTGCAGACAACTCAAACATGACACCGAATACCTTTCTAATAAAAGGTCTGCATGACATACAATGACATGTCTCAATGGCCCACGTTCAATATGTTAGAATTCTAACATGACTCTGAGGTGTTAGGGATAAAATTACAAATATTTTTTCACGACTCCATTGTCTCGCAATTCCCAGAAGAGACTGGAGCACAAAGAAAACCAAACCAAATATAGAAGTATGACCGGAAAGCCTACCTTGGGGTCATGTTAGAATTTTAATATATCAAACGTGGGCTGTTCAGATTATGACCTGTTGATTTGATTATTCATTGACATTGTAAGATGGAGAAATTGGATGCTAATCAATACTACGAGCCAAGGTGGGACCTGGAAGGAAAAGGCCAGGGGTAGCTTGTCATCTTGTTTTGTGTTGTAAATTGCAGATTTTGGTGTTAGTTAAAGTGTTTTAGGTGGAAAGTCAGGACCTAATGTTTTATAAAAAAACAGTTCCCTGAGAGGATATGTGCTTAGCGGTAATGAATAGTAAACCAAGTAATAATTTACGTGTGATTTGCTGGGCTTGAGAAAAACTTAAATTGCAGACTGTCCTTTGGGCAAACAGCTCAGGCATTATTGCCTGCCAGGGGCCAATTCTTGCTCATCTTAGTTCAGGATTATTTTGTTAGAGGATGACTTCTCTGAAACGTCTTCCTAATGGGCAAATATAATAATAATCTTCTTGTCCTGGACTACCAGACAGAAGGTTTTTTAGAGTCCTGATATTGTCAATGAAATTGAACGTGAATGCTGTAAATATTTTTCCATCCTATAAATTAAAGCAAGGTTGGTTTGTGAGGTCTTACTTACTTAGTTACTAAACTGTTTATGGACTTACACACCCTACAACATAGTTAAGCTGGTACATGTAAGCACCAAAAAGAAACAAAAGACCCCCTAGGGGAAGGGTTTCATTCTACATTGTACATGTACTTGAAGTTTATTACGATAGTAGCTGTGATAAAAAGTGAACTCCATCATCTGTTACTTTTAGGAATTTTTGAAGATGATTTTATTGAGGAGAGAAGACAAGGATTAGAGGCATTTGTTAACAGGTGTGATATAATACATATTTGCTGAAAAATTTTGTTTGGTGTAAAACCATTTTAATCAAGTAAATTTTTCCTTCTTTTGTCTCAGATTCGTTGCTATAAACGTAAGCAAAAAAGCAAAAATAATGATAACTGGTTGGGCTGTTAAATAGATTTAATGAAACCAGTGGATAAGTTGTTGAAATATTTTTTGTTGTGTGAGCTGGTGACAAGTTAAAGAGGTCTGTCACCGTTGGAAGAAAATGCTACCAAAGCTGAATGTTGTGTGGCAAACATTTCTAAATTTCCCATTCCTTATACTCAGAACCATAAGAGCAATTAATTAAAGTTGAAGTGTTGTAGTCACAAGAGGAAATGAAACTCCAATAAAAATTATTAGCACCCTAGAGCTTAGTAGAGATATCCTAGATCTTTTTTTTTAAATGGTGTATTCTTCCTTCATCTTTTTTGTAGGGTATCTGGACATCCTCTGGCTCAAAATGAACGCTGCTTGCATATGTTTCTTACAGATCCTATTATAGATAAAAATTATGTTCCAGGAAAGGTCCGATCAACATGAAAGTAAGCTGGAATTTAACAAATCTTTGCAGGGACTTTTTCTTCAATCAAGAACTTCATGGTCAAGTTACCCTCTCAGTCCTTAAGTAATCAACATTAACCCTTTTCTTTTTGCAGTCACAATATAAATAGTAGTTTAGATTGCATGACAAAAAAAGAAAAATTTCTTAACTTTTCAAATAAAAATAATACATAATTTTATAATGCAGTCAGTGGTGCTACACATCAAAATTAAATTTAGGTTATTTTTTTACCTAGGTGGATTCTCAATTTCCTTTGTCTCGTAGCCCTAATTCATGAAAGATAACATACATACCAACTCTCCCAGATCAACAACAATCTCCTGGTCTCCCGTACCCCGTACGGGTCACCAAATCTACCGGATAAAATCGAGTTATGAGCTTTTCTGTGCTCTAATTTGGAATTTATCCCATTTTCTCCCAAAATTCAAATTTTTTGGTTTAAAGTTCAGTTTCTGGGGTACTTTTGCATGTATTTCATCACTGGCAAAGAGTTATTTTGCCATTACGATCATAAAAGTGAATTGTGATGGTCTCATGCGAGACTGCGTCCTAAGCCACTTAGGGACTAGGTCAAATTGTGCTCATGGGAGCGGGGAGGGGGTGAGGGGTCGGGGTTGGAGGGGGCTGGTCATTGATATTTTTTTTTTTTTTGGGGGGGGATGCCAAAAAAAGGGTCTCCAGATTCTAGATTTCCAGAGGTTGGCATCTCTGTGATTAGGGTTAGGAGATAAAGGAAATCAGGGAAGGAAATTTAAAATCATCTGAGGTGAAAAAAATCCTAATTTAATCCTAAATTTAATTTTGACCTGCAACATAGACCCTTCCATGGTTGTTTCATCCTTTGAAACGGACCAGTTAGTAAACATTTGTGAAGAACACTGAAAAGAGAGCCTAATTAAGTGGTAAAATAAGCAATTTGTGGGTGATATGTTGAAAGCGAATGAAAAGGTAGCTCTGCAGAGTTAAAAAAATTAATTTTACAGATGTTTGAATGTTGGAGGGCACCAAATTGCACCTCACCATACGAATAAATGTCTGTAAAATTTTGCAACTTTGGGAGCTAATCTTTGTTCACTTTAGATGTACACTTTCTGCTGCATTCTTTTCAGCTGTGTCAGTGGATTTTCACCTAATGAACCTCATCATAGCTTGAAAAAAAAAATGTGGAAAGGCCTATTCAATGTAAAGTTTGTTCTGGTAAAAATGGGAAAAAAAAGTTTGTTGACTTGAGGACTGAAATGGTTATAGAGATAACTTTTTTAGGAAAATTCATACTTAATAATTGATTACATGTAAGTAGTTTGGAATGAGAGCATGATTATGCAATTTTTATTTGCACCAGTTTGGTTAGGTCCAATTGATATTTGATATAAAGGGGTGGCATTTTTGTTTGGCGAAAAAAAGCTGTTTGTGGATATCACAGACAGTAATAGAATAGTGAAAAAGATGTGCAGATTTCTTGCATTATCTTTTCGCGCATTGACAGTTTAGCCTGCAAAATAGTCCACAATGCCCAACAAAGTAATAATAATATTATGGTGAACCTTTATACAATGATTTCAGTGACATTTTTTACCCCAGTTATAGTAAAATGAGTAGAACAGGATTAACATAATCTCTTTATGACTCCTTATTTTTCTAGTCCCTTGGCATGTGCATCTCATAAGCAAAAGCTAAATATAATTATAATATGGTGCTGTGTATATCCTAGATTGTTATGTGATGGGTCAAGCACATTCAATAATACAATCAAAATATTTCCACAGGCAACCCTCCAAAATGTGACTATTTTAGTCGCCATGGCGCCTAAAATTTTGAATCTAGTGACTTGATTTGTAAAAAAGTCTCTCTAAACTAAAAGAATTGGTCGCCAAATGGCGACCAAGCAAAAACTTTAACTTGGAGGGTTGACGGTAGATGCCTTTGGGACTGCAATTTGGTGTCTTTGATAGAGAGAATCAATTCATATGAGCAGAATTAATTTTCAGTCCAAAATAAGAAGCTCCCTAACAGAAAATTTAAAGCAAGGCACCACAGAATTGGAAGATTTTTCATGCTGATATTTACTGGCTGGCATGTTAAAAGGTTACATAATTTAGTAGATTTTCTCTCCATTTTGATGGTTACATGTGTTGTGGCAGTAGCTAGGCTTGTCAGAATATTGAGAGTGGTGCACTTTGATTGAAGTGTTTGCTAAGCCAAATGAAAAGTTCTCTATTAGGAACAATATTGTTAACGTTTTTAACATACTGTAAGTATATTATATACATGTAATAGATTAACTGGCTACAATATCAAAGCAGTTATATTATTCATTTTGTATGTAATAAATTTTATTTGATATAATCTCTCTTTTTGTCCCACCAATTAATTTATTACAGTATAAGTTTTGTTGTTTGCATTTAAGCATGGAGATGTGACAAAAAAATGCTCTTGCTGGGTGTAAACATGACGTTAACATTTTGAAGTTTGAAGGGTGTTAGCTAGATGAATGATTGCGCAAAGAGTAGGTGACTGTTTGGCGGCTGGAAGCATCTAAACTGGTTTGTGTTTGCTTAACAAAATATTTATTGCAAGTATTTGTAGATGTTTGCAGAACTTCTTAAAAGAGGACGTTCTGCAGTTATAAAGGTTCAAATAATAATAATTCTTAAAGCTACTGTGCTGTTTTTGAATGAAAAATATTCCTGAAAAATTATGGAGAAAAACTCTCTTGCACATTAGCACAAACAACAAAAGCCAACAGTCACTAATGGTGTCACATTTCTTGTGTGTACTTTTCACAAACATTGCGTGACAAGCCTAAAAACAGCTGCAAAGGAGACTAATGGTGTGTTAGTATTCAACATTTCGTTACCAACTTAGAATGAGGCTACTGTTCGAAAATTTCTATATTTTGCTCTAAAATTGGAATTACTCGAATAATGCAATCTGTTCCCAATAAAATAAAAGTCATTCTTAAATATTAAATGCTGATCAAGTAACATATTTTTGGGGTAACATTTGGTTTATGACTGTCAAACCTTAAATTAATGTTTCACAGCAAAACATATGATGTTTGCCACCCCATTAATACAACATGTTTTTTTTGTCATGTGTACACACTCAGATTCATCAAGCAAAGGTAATTTATTTAAAAACTTTCATCCAATACAATTTCTTCAAAAGGCAGCTCAAGCCTTCGATATTCCAGCCTAATTCTTCGTTCCTCTCTTTGGTCCCCTTGAGATACCAAAGTGGTTGCTGTGCCTGGTCTCCCCTGACGACCAACTCTTCCGGCAAGGTGTAAATACTCATCAATATTTTTTGGGACTTCCATTAAATACACATGATCTAAGTCTTTGAAGTCCAAACCCCTTACAGTTTCTTCAGTGCCAACAACAATGTCTATTTGTCCAGTACGAAACTGCATAAGAAACTGTTCAAATTCTTCAGGATCTTGGTTTGCCACTTTTCTGTAAAGAGCAACTGCATTTAAACCCAGATCTCTTAACTCCCAAACAAAACTGTCCACTGAGTGAAGTCGGTGGATAAACACAAGGGCAGATTTCTGGTTTGATTTCCTGAAAATCCTGAAACAAATTAATTTTGTTAAAGTTTTACATTCAGGGGCAGATCCAGAAAGTTTGGAAACGGGTGTCTGGGGCATGAGCCAGTTATATATATAGGAAAATAAACCACTTGGGTCCCGGATGTAGTTTTTATGAATTTTATGAGTGGTATATTTTCCAGTAAAACACTCGCATCTATATAATAAATACTATTTATTTTACTGAGAATTCTTTACATTATTCTTAAAATTTCACGGAAAAAGGGGTGCGGGGTGGCCACGGTTCCCTCAGCCAAACCCTTAATTTGCCCATGACATCAATCGCTTTCCACTTCAACCATAGGCAGTGTGTGTCTGAACAGTAGAACCTACAGTGATTTAGAGAAGTGACAGGGACCAGCATTATAACTCCAAAGACCCTATCATAAATAATAATAATAATTCCAAAATATCAGCCTTTTGGGCACAGCCCATATTCTATGAAAAGTGCTGTCTATCAATTAAATAATGACATGTCATCAGTATGGAAATTCTGGTAGTCATAACTACAAAAGATAACTCCAAAGATGTCTTTTGGGCAATATATTTTTAATAAATTAAATAATGACATGTCATCAGTATGAAAATTCTGGTAGTCATTACTCAGACATCATTTTGCGGGGGAACCAGTGGTAGTGTGGCAAAATGGTGGCTAGACAGAAAGAAAAGCTCTACAACTTGACAGTGATCAACTCTACACGCCAGATCACTAAAGTACATTTACCTTGCAAGAGTTTGGGCTTTTGACCTTCCAGAAGATTCATCACAGACAACATACTGATGTTTGATGCAGGTTGGAACACTACGGCGCTTTCCCTCAAATGCGGGGGACTGAATGACTGTCACATGATCTCCCCAACCCAATTCTGACAAGTCGTCTTTCAGTTCATCATTCACAGTAGCTGACACTCCAATAAGCTGAACTGGCCTCACCTAACATTCAACAGTTGTAAAATTAATCAATATTTGAATCTCTGCCAGAAAGCTAGGGGAGGGGTGATTGAGTTACTGAGCCGTGAGTCCCCAAAGAAGATGTCCCTTCACTGTAGATCATGATTGTAAATAATGCTGCCAGGAGTAAAAAAAAAGATCACTTTGATGACGAAGAAGATCGATGATTATGATCATGATGAGGATCAGAATGATGATGTTGAGGAGGATGACCATTCAAAGTGGGTTTTTGCGTTATATGTGAAAGATTATTCACCAAGCTTGATGCAGAGGTCGAGAAGGTGTTTTGGAGATTGAAATATTGGTTTTCTACCAGAATTCGGGGGTGTATTTTCCTAGTATTAATTTGGATTTTGACCAAAAAGTTACTTGACAGACATCTGTATGGTAGTTTCCTTTCCAGAAATCAGTATTCATGGTTTTTAAGATTTGTTTTTGTGGAGACTGGGAGCAATGCTGTTTCAAATGGATCCTGAAAAACTTCTAGAGAGTTTCTAGAGGGTATCTGCCTAAAAAATTGTGTGGTCTACGTAATATAGATTTCACTGTATTAATTTATAATTACTCTTGAGTATTTTTTTATCTTCTCCACTAGCAGCTTGGCAGGCCTGGGATGGTTCTCTCGTAGAGTTCTCTTCTTTATTGAAACCCGCTTGCTAAGGGGTAAAAGAGTTTTGTCAACTTCATCAATCACAAGTCTCTTTGTTCTGTGTACAAGTAGAGGATCCTTGTCAATGATTTCCAATAGTCTCTTTGGAGTGCCAATGGCAATCAAAGGCCTGTTGGTTCGATCTTTTAACCTTGCTTCCTGTTTAGCCATGTCCACACCACTCACCTAGCAAGAAAGTGACTAGTTAAGTTATATTTTATTCGGATAATGAATTATTATTGTCACTTTGTTTTATCTCTGAAATCTCAGCTGATTACCAACACTAGTCCAGCTGGACCTTTACTTGTTCAAAATCTTCAGACAGACACCTTGGTTAGGGCATTAAATTTAGAATAGTGCAATCCTATAACCAGCTTAAGACAAAATACCCGAAAACCTAGCCTGCAAAAACAACTGTTTTCCTTGCTCCTGACGCCGCTAAGAACGTTTTTTGAGAAGGAACATCTGCAACTCAGCGACAGAAATTCCATACTGATGACGTAAAATCTGTCCAGAATCCGGTCATAAGTGCTGATTGGACAACGGAGTAGTTACATTGTTTTAGCGATTGTTTATGAATGACAGACAAAAGACAAAAGGCTACAAAGGTCAAAAGTAAATGCAATGAATCTATAACAAAACAGTCGATATTTGTGGAATATATTCCTCTCTAGAAGAAGCATTTGAGTTTTGCTGGAGCTCCTTTGCAGATGAACACAACACTTAACCAAAATCGACCAGAACAAACATAAAGTTGAACAAATTTGCATTTGGAACCCCATGACTACTGAATTTCTTATGTAAACATTGATTCACGTCATCAGTATAGAATTTCTGTCGCTGAGTCGCAGACATTCCTCCTTGTGAAACGTCCACAAGGAGCGAGCAGAAATGGCTGTTTTCCCAGGCCACCTAAAATCGTACTCTGTTCAGCAGAACATCCTTTCTTAGGGAAAATTGGAAAATAAGTAAATGCCTCCCCTGTAAAAATTTTAAGCAATTATCTTTATTGGTACTTTCACTATTATGGTGGGAGAGGGTTTGTGGGGTCTTATTTTTGTGATTTCAAGAGGAAAATGTGAAACAAGCACTTTAAGTATTTTGCAAAAAAATTTGAACTTTTAAAATATTTTTTATGATTCTCCATGTCATGAGTGAAATCTTTGCAAATCAATGTTATTTCACAACCAAAGACACGAGTAAACTTTACATGTAATAATTTGTGTACTTGCCAATACATATTCTGGATAATTATTATATTACATGTTTAAAATCATTTTCTTGTGATATTTTGAATTTTCTGTTTGGGTATTAAATTTCGTGAGGATTTAAATTTGTGGGTCTTAAATTTTGTGATATTTTTTACAATCACAAAAAATGCAAAATTGAAGACCCACCAAAATTAAGTACCAATAAGCAAAATATGCCTAGGCATCTCTTACCACTGGCATTCTTTGTATTACAGTGTATAAACAAGGTTAATGATAACCGACAGTTGCCACTTACAAAAGATTCCACCACAGTCTTATTTCCAAAGAACCGATGAGCCTCAAACACCAACTGACTCGCCAGTTCTCTGGTGGGCACCACAATCACTGTACCAAAACTTTTCCCAGGATCCTGAATAGCGGGCAACAAAAATACTAGAGTTTTGCCAGATCCTGTCTCAGAGTGAATCAGTATGCTCTTGCTACTCATGATCAATGGTATGGCTTGCTTTTGTATAGGTGTTGGGTTAATGATCTCATACTTTTTAAGCTTTTCTATGATTTTGGGGTGAAGATTAAAGTCTTCGAATGAAAAAATTCTTGAAGTGTCCACAACATTGCATCCTATCTCAGGTTTATCTTCTGAAACTTTCAAGATATTTTCTTCCGCACTTTCGAAATTTTCCTCATCTGTCAGCGATTTGAATACGGGGGTCAGAGTTACAAAATCTTCTGCCCTAGGGATTCTAAAATCCACGGAAGGATCATCTTCTAGCAATTTACTCCGCTCGTCTAACGTCAGTTCACTCGCAAGGGGCAGTGTGCTAACATTGGGTCGATTCACTTTCACGTACTTTCGTCTGGACATTTTGACGCCCGTTGTGACTTCTCTGAGTTGATCTTGAATGTATCCTTCTGTTGTGCTCCACATCTGCATAAATTCGTCATCGGGATCAGAAGCATGGATCTTGGGTCTCTTTTTGGTACGCCTTCTTCTCCCAGTAATGCCAACATCTTCGTCCCGATTTTCGACTTCCTTTGAAGCAAAAGTGCGAGCGTAGTTTCTAAGGTTCAAGGGAACAATCTTTGGAGTGAGTCGCTGGAGCCGGAGTCTTCCTAAAATAAAACTTTGCATCTTAAAAGATCTCTATTGACATCGTTCAACGTGCACGCGAAAGTTTTCACAAGGCGCTTTTCTTGGTGGGGTAAACTGGGCCCCAGCTAGATACAACTAACTAGAGCCGGGAGGGGAAAGAGTGGGATAAACTGAAGTCCGAGTGCGGGAATTCGCAAAAGCGGGATAACGCCATCTTTTCTTTCATTTTTGAATGAAAACTAGGCGATTCTCTGGAAGGAACTTTCTGTAAAGTGAAAATATTTAGCGCTAGATCGATCATGGATGTGCTATTCATGGATAGATCAAGTGGCTGTATGTTCCTGTCACGTCCCCTCTCCAGGAGCGTCGCCTGGAGAATACGCGTCAATGAACAAGCAAGATCTCTTGGCTCAAAGCGGAACTAATAGACAATGCAATATAAATAATCTTTCGCTTGGTGACAAAACAGAATGTGAGCAACCACTGTGAAAGATCTGTTTAGTTTTTCCTCTTTTAAGCAGATGTGATTCGCACTGGGTAGGTATTTGTCATTACGTTCTGTTTGAAGGACTTCGTCTTTGTTTCGGTGCGGGACTTCACTGGATTTCGCGTTTTTTGACAGCACAATTATCCTTCAACAGTGGTTAATCTTGTCTATTTTTCTTTCTTTTAGGGACAATTTTGCCTCATCCTTTGACAAAGAGCTTTAAAGAATTTACAACCTGACGGAATGGCCTCTCGTATAATAAACGACCTTTCACGATACTTGTTTCTGGTAGGTACAATGTTGTTGAAGCTTTATCAGCTTACATCTTTGTGCACGGTTTTATTGTTTATGTTGATCTTGAAAGCGTTTGCCCACGTCTTTTCATAGTTATTGATGCTTGCTCAAAATTTAAGCTCTTGAGCTAAGACTTAAGCTTCTGTCAATTAGCGAAGCTCCAGTCAATTCAAGTAACTCTCTTTTAGTTCTTTAGCGATCAGGGACCCGTTGCTGAAAAGACCTGGAAACTTTTCAGGCCCGAAAGGAAAGTTTGAAATTAAAACCTGTTAGATAGTAGCACAATTCTTAGCCCACAAACCAGTCAATTTTGCTTCGTTCACTAACAGTTGCATTGTATTATTTTCTAAATTATTGAAACTTCCATCTTGACGCAGACACAACAAACACAAATTAAACAACTTTCCGGGCCCGAAAAGTTACCGGGACTTTCGAGAAACAGCCCCCAGATCCGCAACTTTTGCGAAATTTTAGTCTCAAATGAATGAACTGTTTCGAGCTATACGGACATCGCTTTTCTTTTACGGACGTCCTGCTTTCATTTTCCCTTTTCTGAGAACTTGATCACAACATTCGAGTGACGTGTATCGCTACGCCCGATGTGGTTTTCTGACGTAAATAAAATTGTCATTGAAAGTGATTCACTTCCAGTTCCCGTTAAGCGAATATGAGAAATACACATTGTATGTTTCATTTTTCCTCTTTACTTTTTGTAGTAAGCTTTAAAAAAGCGTGTACTCCCTAGCGTTCATTACTACTAGAGCGTTCTGAATCTTTGTTATAGTTGACCAACTTTTATTGTAAAGGTGCTGTGGACAATGTAATCCTACTGCTTTAAAACATTTTCACAATTGATTTGTTGATTGAAACCTTTTGATTTGTTTCAACTGGTAAATAAAATATCACAATAGGCTTAGAATTAGGCAGATCTGCTAATATTATTACTGTTGATGCTCACATAATTATAATTTTTGCTTGAAAACAAATGGGATTTTTTTTAGTTAGATCTAGACAATGAATGATATGAAATGATAAAATTTTGATATGAATTGAGAGACCATGAAAACAACCAATTAGTTAATTTTGTGAAAACTCATGGTCTTTTAACACTTTTTTCACTGTTCAAAATCATTTTTCTTTTGCTTCCTGATCATGTACAACATATGTCGTTACTTGGTTGTTTTATATTTTGCTATACTGAACTGTTAGCCAATATTTTTAGCTGGAGGGCAGATTATGAGATAGTATATTGCATCGTTGCATGTCATTTGACATGAGTTAGAGTTAGAATGTTTCTTGTGGTAAATATTGTTTTGCACACATAAATGAGAGCCTTTAAGAACTCAAGTCATAAGCTCTGTTTCCACTTCTTTCATATTGTTTTTGAATTTTATATGTGTATGCCTTTAGTGACACATAATTCTTTTTGAAATATTTTCAATGTAGACAAATTGTTTAAGGCAGGGAAATATAGATATTGTTCAAGTATTGGCTACTTAACTTAAGATTAAGATATAAAGTTTATATTGGACCAAGACAGCTCACACCTTTGAGAAAAAAATCTTTCGATTTGAGCTAATGAATTTTGGGCTTTTAATATTTAGCAGTCAGTAGATGCTAAAGTCAAAAGAATACTGATTTATTTAAATTTTTATTCATTTGATGCCACTGGCAGTATTTGGTTGACACTGTATTGTGTTGAACAAAAGTGGATATGCCTCATTGGTTTCCGTGAATCACTCGTCGGAACAATGTAAATAATAAGTACTTAAATACGTCAAGCAGTTACTTAGCAGAAACTACGTAATCCTTTTTAAAAAAGTAAAAGGAATATTAATTGCATGGAAACAACACTCTGGTATACCACTTCAACATTTACAAACTCATGAGGTCATGTATTTAACAAATTTATGGAAAAGCATGTCATATGACATTATTAGAATCCATACATTCTAGGATACAATAAACCTATTTCAATGTCTGATCCCTAGTAGCTAGTAATTCTAAAATCTTCATAAACGTAAAGGTTCCTAGCTTTTAGCTATATCTCTGTTTGGTTGTTTCTTTTTATCTGCTAAATATTAATTGATTTTTGTTAATTCACATAATTTTGTTCTGTGAGCTACTGAAAACACTTTTGTGACATGCAGGGTTTCAATAATAATTGAAGTAGCCAGCAAGTTTGAATAGGGTAACCGACTGTATCAAAAAAGGGCTGTCGGCCCCTTTCTTCTCAGGGGAGTCTAGCAGCATGCTCTCCCAGGAAATTTTGAAATCTTTGGAAGCCGTAAAATGCAATTTTCAGCATTCTGTGCACGAGATTTAGTAAAAGAAGGATATGGCAAGAGTTTAAATTATCAACAGTAGTGTTTTTTTATTTTTTAATGCTGATCAGTAATGTTTTAAAATAATGGTAAAAAGTATCTTTTTTTAGTTTTATGACCACTTTAATTAAAGTTTTGTCAGAATCGTTTTTTAATAGTCTTCATTCCCAACCTCAATTACAGACGAGGAAAGAGTAGCCGACTTCTCCGAGCAAAGTAGCCGATGCCTTTTGATCGGTCGTCGGTGCTTATTGAAATCCCTGGACATGAGTTCCTTTCAAAGGATCATTGTCCAATACTTTTGTCAGCATGTTCAAAATTGACTTACATTTGATGCTCATGCAATGGTAATCATTTTGCCTAGAGGTATTTGTGCCTTTTTTAGGGATATTCACAGACGTAATAATATTGACAGATTTTTGTGAAAGTTGTTTCTCACGTGACAGATGTCTGAAAGCCCAATATATCTTTAGCTATAAGTTATAATTAGGCAGTGTAACTTTCTTTGGTTCTCTTATATGTGCTTTGCCATCTGTAGTTGATTCTTATTTAACCCCTACAATACCAGCATTCACATATACTGATTCTCTAGACTGATTTCCATTTATTCCTTAATCAAATCATTTATGAACTTCAGTGATCATTTAAATACCTTATTGCTTGATATGTATGATTGAATATTGTTTGGCAAAAATTAATGTTGGTTACTCTTGAATACTTAATTTGGGTTAAGTAAGGGTAAAGGATCCCAATATCGATAAATTACGTAAGTTGAAAAGAAGCAGACTGTTGTCATAAAAGGTTAAGCTTATGCTCCTCTGACCGCCACACAATTCTCTGATCTTTAACAAGCCATCCGTTTCTGTCTTATTATATTTTACTATTTTATTTTGCTTTGCAAAGTTAACTGAGTTCATGTAACATCAGGTGTGAATAAAATTTATCTGATAAGCTCATGAAGTGAACTTCCGTTTTGGTCTGCACCCTCAATGTACCCAGAACCTTTCAAAACTAGTAGTTTTCGATGGAAAGTGAAGTGCCACTAGTAAAGCATGACATTTTAAATGGTTTGAATCAGTTGCAATTTCTTTCGATTTTTGATAGTTGCCAATAACAGTGTCTATGCATGTAATGCAACACGACACTCGAAGGTGAAAAAAAGTGTTTATCAAGGTACAATTGTATAAAAGTCGGTGAGAGTAAATCAGCGTATTATTTATCTGAAACCTGTCCACAATAAGGTTGAGAGTTCAAGAGCGATGGATTGAGTGAACGAGTGAAACGAGTGAATTTCCAGTCGAGTTCAATATTAAACTGCGGTGCATCACACTTCGCAAGCGTATCAAATCATCTTCAACCTTTGCTTCTGCTGTGTATGAAAGGTTTTATACTACCTAAAGGGGAGAACAAACCTTGTCACACATTCCAGAAAAGCTCTCAATAACTAGAGCAATTTATCAATTAAGCTTCAATAAATACAATAAAGCCTACCTGAATACAAATTTGGCCAAAACACCAAATTTATTTACGGTAGAGTTCCAGAAATTGCTTCGAATATCAGTTAGAGAAACATGTCGCTTCATGTTCACAAGAATTTTTTACCTTCACTTGCATTCATACTCTTCGCTTGTGAAAACATGATTCTCTACACATAGACAGGATTTTTCGGCCTTAAGTCTTCCACAGCCCACTTTATCAATAGTCAAGTGTTCTTGGCTAGAGGATACAGTATTTACTTTTCCCTTCAAGGTTTAATTCGGAATCGATTGGCTATGACCAAAAGCGCCTGGATTTGATGACCATGAAATTGAGGCAAAAAAGGTGATATACATACATACATACATACATGCATACAAACGTACATGTATCGAAAACTCTCAAATAGGGCTGGCATTGGGCACAGGCAACACAGGCTTTTCATGTATGCGACCTGAAATAAGTCTAGGCTTCACAGCAATAAAATATGAGTCTTATATATTAGCTTTTAAACTAAAACTATTGCTGGTAATTATTTCAATAGTGCAGATGTTAGTTTCATTATATTGCCAGGAAAATGCATTTATCTTTACAAATTAGCATTCATTTTCATTATTATCAAAGATTCATTGAGCATTTTTGCGTAAAGTACTACACCAATGCAAGGAATATCTAGTTGTCTCAGATCAGTATGGGTTGAATGGCTTTATTAAAAGTACTGAACACAAACTTGAAAGTTATTTTTTGATGATTTCTTTTTTGCTGAAAGAACCAACAACAAAAATGTCATGAGGGCTGCATGTACTCTAGTAGTGCCCGCTGTGGCCCCGGGCTCCTAATTTTTGCTCCAGGGTGACGAGAAAATCTTAGTTTTTCCATGCAAATCATCTGCTGGGCACCCTAGATTTTACAGTTTCAGAGCATCCAAGCCCTTCAATTTTCCTTAAAGCACAGCTTTGGTCCTTACAAACAAGACTACAAATGTAACCAGAAATAAACCTATTTTGCAACTCACTCACAGGGTCCATCAACAAGACTGTTTCGTAATCTTCATACTTTTAAAACACATGTCAGTTTGAGTTGAAAAGAAAGTTAGTCATTTCTGTTATTATTGTATGCTAAAATTCTCTGGTAGCGGAGGCCTTCCTCTTTTCCAGCAGGGAAGTGCATTAGCTATAAAAATATGTGAGATTTGTAATTTGTGTATTCAATGATTTTATTATTACAGTTGATGTGGATGGGTATAAATGCAGCACTGTTTGTCTCAACATACATGAATTACGGACATACAAAGAAGTACACTTATTTGAGACAGATTATCAAGGTATGGAAGACTGTATTCATGTAAAATAAATAAATTATATGAAAAATGATGATACCTGTCAGATAGAGAGGGTGTCAGGATGGCTATTTCTTGTAATCTATTGTTGGTTTTAACCCTTTAAGCCCCAATATCGACATACAAATTCTCCAAACTGATCTCTATACATTTCCTTAAAGAATGAGTTGAGAGAATTTGATAAAAGATCAAAGCATTTTCTCAAGATGATCATTTAATTAATTCTCATGACCTCATCTCACGATAATGTATGGGTATCGTTAGGAGAACATTGCTGTTGGTCACTATTGGGACTTAAAGGGTTAACTGACTGTGTTGCTGTTTTTAGGGTGGGCTACCTTTTGCTCGTGGTGCTGCAATGGTGTTGAATTTTAACTGTACGTTAATCCTGCTGTCGATGTGTCGTAACATTATTTCTCTTATCAGGAGTAATCTTAAGGTAAGACTGAAGTACGTGTACCGGCATGGTTTCTTAAGTGATCGTGAGTTTATTTGCCTACATGTAAATAGGTACAGTCAAAACTCTTTAATACGGACACCAAAAGGACATAACCAAGTGCCCGCTTTACAGAGGTGTCTGTATTATAGAAGTAGGGAATGTATGTAATGATTTTTGGTATTTCTGGGACCAAACAAACTGTCCGTAACAGAGAGGTGTCTGTATTATACAGAACTGTAGAGTTGTCCGTAAGGAGAGGTTAGACTGTACATTTGAACCTCTATTAAGCGGTCACTCATGGGGTACTGGCAAATGGCCACTTAATCAAGGTTGGCTGCTGAATAAAGGTTTAATTGTTAATAATTAAATCAGCGTAAATAAATCAGCATAATATTTAGCAGAAACATCACCTTTTTTTAAAACAAATGCGAGGGAAGAAGGTTTTCCTGTCCAAAATCGGTTGTCATTTTCTATCTTGGACTGTATTTTCCTTTATCATTTTCTTAAAATAAAGCTAATTATATATACCCGATGGTCGCTTAATAGAGGTGATAACAATTGGAGAACTTTCACTGCCCAAAAACAAAAGTCCAAAAGGTGGCTGTGGCTGCTTTAGAGAGGTGGTTGCTTAATAAAGGTTTAGTTTCCCATTCTTTTCTTATTATTAAATTTTCTGGACTTTGATTACTGGCCCCTTAACAGAGGGTGGCCACTGTAGGTTCCACTTTACTTACTTAGCTACAGTATGTGGCATCTGGACTTTATATTTATGGTTGGGCATCTCTTTTTGGACTACCCGTTTTCACACTAAAAACCGATTATCTGTCTCAGATGCGTTATCTGTTAAATAATTTGCATCAGATGGATAATTTGTCTTAATGTGAAAGCAGAACAGTTTTAATTTTGGACGAATAATCCATCTGACTGTATTTGTCTGATTTTGTGTCAACTTGACAGATTTTGAAGATGGATTATCTGTGTCAGATGATCAGTGTCTAGAATTGTGAAAACAGCCATTTATGAAAGTGGATAAATTTTAAGTAAAACTGTTCTCAGGTTCAGTGTACAAAGAAAGTCGTGTCTGATAGCCCAGAACTACCCCGGTATGACGTAGGTGGATTTTTCAATCCAGATAGAAAAGTGTATTTTTATAGTGAGATTTCAAATTCTAGACCTGGAGGTACTGTAAATAGCCGAAATTGCTCAAATTCCTGATAAATTCATGAGGATCAAAAGCTGCTTTTCAAGCTGATATGACAAAGTGAAATTATTACTTAAACCCAGTGTTCTCTCTAAATTTTAGCTCAGCAGGCGAGCGACCATTCTTGACCGGCGTTAGAGGCGCACTTTCCTGGTGTGGGGGGAAGGGGAGTTTCAGGTTCATGAAGGCTTTTATTTTTGAGCATCCTGTCAAACAATTGACTGAAAAGTAATTTAAACACCTCAAAACAAAGACTTTTTTTAAATGAAGGCTGCCTTTGGCACTTGGGTCAATTTAGTAACAACTCGCGGAAGTCGTGAACTTTCCTGCTGGTCGAGAAAGTTTAGAATAATTGCGTTGAAAGCCCACAAAACAATTATTGTTAGCCTGCAGTTCCTCGAAAGGTACCAGTTAGCATTTGAATAAAGTAATCAGAGAGAATATAGCTGCGTATACTTTTTCTTTCCATATTTTCTTCCTTTTCTTGTGAAGATCGGCTTTTAGCACAAGTTGCATATTTTTTGAAACAACTTATTTAATTTTAGTAACACTTCAAGCGGATGCAGGCGTAAGAATTGCTGCTTCAAGTGGTAAATTTTACTGTTTACTGCCTGATAAGGAGAACCCTGTAAAACAGAATTAATCTTTGTTTCTTAATCATATAATTTTGTTTTCTAACTCTTTTTTGAATAATTTTTATTATTAAAACTGACAACAGATGCTAACCTCCAACAGAAATATATAGCCTTTGTGGGTTAAAATTAAATTCAGGTGAAAATTTTTTGACCCAGTTAGCTACAGGTTTAGGGCAAAAAGACAAACTAACTGAGAATCAACCTAATGTTGGTTTAAAGTTTCTTTATAACCTGAATTTAATTTTTACCTGTAACTATATTAATTCAACTTGATATTTTTAATGTGCGGCCTCTGGTATTGGCAATATCATCTGTTGCCCTTATGCTGTTAGTGAAGTAATCACTTTAAATTTTTAGTTGACATTTGACTTGCACATTCGGTGATTATTAATGATGTCATTTTTGTCTCTTTATTTTTAATTAGTGTGGCTGGTGTAGTGCTGTTGGAAGGTTGTTGGATAAGAACATAACCTTCCATAAGATCTGTGCTTACACAATTTGTTTCTTCACTGGTGAGTGAGTAGAGGCTGGGGGGATGGGGGGAGGGTTTGGGTTGTCGGAGGTTACCTAAACAATAAAATCCCTAGGGCTTCCAACAAAACCCCCAAAATTTGTGATGTGGTTGGTGTTGTGATTTTGTAAGGTTGTTGGACAAGAATGTTACTACTGGGCTAATACTTAGACAATTTCTTTCTTTAGCATAATTGCAAAGCTGGCAATCTGGCTACACTGCTTTTACTTTGTGGGCCAACTATGTTATAATTTAGCCACATGTAAACATTATCTCAAATTCATACTTGACTAGGATTTGATAAAGAGATGGAAGATTCTTGCCCAGCAAGAATATATACTGTCTTGTCCTGGACTACATGTACTTTACGGGACATTTTTTTTCCAAGCCCTGTCAGGGTTACAAATAATTAGGATTTGCGGACAAATGAAAATTTAGAACAAACTAGTGTGAAACCATTTTAACATGAAACATGTACAACAGAAATAAAGAAAAAAATTAAGATGATGTTTTTCAATACTTTCCCTAGTGGTTCATATATGTGGTCACTGTTTCAACTTGACAAACCTAACACAGAGTCATTCTGGAGATGTGTCAAAGATTGAGCAACGCCTGAGTCAGTTGGACAATCCATGGCTGAACCCAATAAGAGCATCTGGAGTTGTGAGTTGTTTAGTTTAGTAGGGAGCTATAAATTAAGTCAAACATGCTTTGTCATATTTTTTGTTATTCAGTTTATTATAAAGCTAAAATGTGTCTTGGCATGATATTAATTAAATTCTAGAAATAATAGTTTTGTTAGGAAAGGCTATATTTAGGCGTTAAAACTGTTTCCCATTGTCTTTTGCTATGGATGGCAAGGATTAAGGCGTGGATTGAAATTTTCAAGTTTTAATGCTATGCCAGCGGCAAAAATCACCAAAAAACCTTGTTCTGGCAAGTGTTCCCTGATGAAATTTGTTTCATACAAAATAATGTATCTTCTGTACAATTCTACTGGAGCATTATTTAGTGTATTGGTAAAGGCACTAATTAATTACTTCAGCCTGTGTACAACTGCGCTAAAACACCAATATCCTTGTAACCTAGCCCCTTGACTAATGAAGACTGGAAATATCGCACATCGTCCAGGATGACTTGGGACGTTACAAAGAATTGGGAAGACCTGATACATCCCAGATTTCTGTGATCATTTCTGATCAACCCTTAGCTTGTGTATATTAGAAAACTCAAATTTAATGTAATTTTAATTTAGCCAGGGCTAAAGCGAATCTCTCGATAATATTTATAGTTTGTTCAAACAAAATATAAAATTGTGTTATGCTAAGCGGCGAAGGCAATGCCTGAGAATGGTGAAAAACAACATTAGGTCTAATTGGCAAAAAAGTAACTTTGCACGTGCAGCACACTTTTTTTGTACATTTCTTTGCCGTTGTTTTGCACGACTGCAAGATGAAACTTCCAGATACTTCTTACAAGTTACACGTTTTATGGAGGAAATGTCAAACGTGTTCTCGTTCACTTTTTTTCAATGCTGCTCATTTTCACCTTGCATATTGGTGGCCACTAGCAGTTCTCGATTTGTCACCGTTGCTACAAGATTTTCATGTCGTTCTTCCAACAAAAAGTGTCTCCTTTGTTTCTTATCTCTTGCTCTAGATCTCTGTCGCCCTTTTTCTCGTTGAGCTTCGCTGACCTGCCGCCTACTTTCTATTTTTTCTGTCTTTCTCTTGCTCTATATTCCAAATTTGTGGACATGACAATTATTAGTCTAAGCTTTATACTTTAGACAACACGGATACAGAAACAATTTCCACTTTCCGTTTTTGTCTTTATTGACTCTTTAGTTGTCTCTGCTTTACAAGTTGCTGGTGGCTATGTGATTTCCAGCCAGAAAAACCTCGAGTTGCATTTGGGTTGCCATTAACCTGTTGATTGAGTTATTTTACATTGATATGCCTGTGTTGGAGACAGATGGCCGGCTAGGTGGGCGTACGGTCATGTGATTACCAGATTTTCTTGGATGGGTAGATTACTTCATTTTCTTACCCATGGTGATCCGCTGCACGCTTTGCAAGCAAGAGCTCCGCTATTAGTTCTTTCAACAATCAATAGGCGATTGTTTTTGCTTTGTCCTAATAAACGTTATTGATAGACTGATAGGATAAAAGCCATGTCACATGGTTTCTCAGGGGGGAAACAAATGATAAAATGTGCCAATACAAGAAATAGCGTTCACGTTTGTTTTACTAAACAGCAAAAAAGGAAAGCTTTAAATTTAATCTTAAAGATGAAATCAGCAAATTATGGATGGAAACAATCATTTGGACTTTATTGAACTCAATATTGACTGTATTTATCTCCATTACAAGCAAAAATGACATAAAACTTGACAAAACCTGATCTGTACATCAGTTTGAATGACTATTAAAATCTTGTAATTTAGGAAATGAGGGAATAAACAAACTCAACCGTGATTGCTCTTATTGGCAGCTTTTATCATCTGTTTGTGCCCTGAAAAACCACGTGACGTGACTTTTATTGCATCATTTCTAGAGCAGATGGCTATCGTTGTGAATAAGGTCTATTGTCCGACTGCTTAGCTCTAGTGTTTCCCTTCATAAATAAAAATTGCATCTGGTACAGACTCTGAGACTCCGTGTCATTGGAAGCAGTGAGATCCCAGTCATCTGAAATTTTCCCAACATATGTAAACTACGCTGTTATTAGAAAGACATTAATTTTTTCTTGCCAACTGATACTTTTCTGTAATTGGTATTCTTAGTTTAATTTATTTATTTCTGTTTCTCATGCAGGATCCCGTATCAGGCCTTTTTAAGACAGGTGAGATAATTAAACCATTGTCCAGAGAATTTTATCCTCTGTAGATGTTTTGCGTAAAATGTAATGTCAACATTTGAGTAATAACAATAATTGTCATAATAATACAAAATGGATGATTTTCATGCTAGTGGGAATTACTAATATATATGTTGTAGGGTAATTTGTTTCTTAGGTCATTATCTGTTTTCAACCAAATATAGGTCTATTTACTTCAACCTATTGTAGGTAAATTTGTTTCAACCTACAGTCTCAGTCAAAATTGTTGGGACACTTTAAATTTGCTGTCTTCTTGCCCTCCCAATGTTGGTGTGCAAGATTTGGTGAGTTAACTATGATATACAACATTGGAAGGATGAGGAGACAGGCCAGAACTGAAAAACAGTGTTGGGTGGAAGCATCCCAGCTATTTTTGTCTGAGACTGATAGGTCAATTTAGTCCAGATCAGGTTGATTAGATTTTATACAGTCATGTATTAAAAATTAAAGAAACCTCAGTACACCTTTTGTTAATTTTTTTTCCTCTGCATTCTGGTGTGAAGAGGAGGCATTCCTTCTCCAGACTCCATGTAATACTAACTTGATTATTCTTTGCATCTTAGCGGCAGGCATTACAGGCGTCATCATAACTCTCTGCTTAATTCTCATGTTGTCATCCTCAACAGACCTTGTAAGGTACAGTTGTACAGTATGTTGTCCAATAAGTACTAAACAAGCTCATTTCTAAATCAGCTGCTTTAAAGTAACCTCTTAGAGCTTGAAAACTCCCATCTAATATTTATTTTTTATCAGTCATCTGACAGGAAAGAACTTATACTTGCCTGCAGGGGCCAAATTTGGGTTGCACGGGCAGAGTGATAAATTAACATTAATTACCTGCCACTTTGAACATTTTTTGCACGTTATTATTGTCGTGTGTAAATTACTTTCTGAGACTTGGTGATGTGCATGCTTGCATACGATAATAAGCCATGGTCTGTCAGTTTGCCATGATAGCAAGAAGGCATGCTTGCTTTTTTCCTGGTATACTGTTCTCTAAAAGTTCTAAATTAAGGGATTGAGTGCAGGTATCGTTGACTACAGTGACATGATGTGATGAGGTTTTAAAAGTACAATTAACCTCACTCTTCTGAAGGACAACTTTTGGAGTCATCTTGCTTAACCATGTGAGCTTGTAGTCGCCTGGTATGACAGAACAACTGCAATTCTGGATCCTTCCTTGCACTTCTTAGGTGATCAAGATAATAGTGTCTAGGCACTTAGAAGATCAGGTTTATTTGTTTCTTTTAATTAAAAAGAAGTCAAAGTTCTGGGCCCCTTAAATCTTGAGCTTTGTCTTAAGTATTGACTGCATGTATAAGATTAGAAAAGGTTGGTGTGATTACATTATTGGTTTTAATTTTCATGTAATTATTAATGAACTGAAAGTCTTTCTGGATTCAAAAACTGGAAATATTTTGTTTTGTCCGCAGGAGGTCATACTTTGAGACATTTTGGTTCACTCATCATTTGTTTGTTGTGTTCTTTGCTGGCCTTGTTGTACATGGTACTGGGTAAGTAACTTAACCCTTCAACTCTCAAGCCCCAAATCCACATAGACATAGGTTTTGGCGCACCCTGAATATTGTGCATCTCATTACCATCTCTGTTGATTAGTTATTGATTTATTAGAAAATAGATGTTGGAAACGCTTGGTACTTAGGGGTAATGAATGCGCTGACAATGTATATGGAAGAGCCAAAATTGAAAAAAACGTTTTGACTACTACCCTTGGTTGCATCGAAGTGTGGACACGCAACAAAAAATCATGTTCTCATAGGGTGCCAGACGTGACATGTTTTGGCACCAAACATTTGAAGTTTGACAGCTGTTAAAGCAAACTGTCACGCCAAAGGTAAGTTGTTTATTATGTTTTTGACCGGCGCGTTCTGCTCATATTTCACTTTTCTTAACTCTCAGGCATTTTATTTCTCGCTCAGAAACAGCACACTCGCCTCCAGAAATTATATTGCTAACGTCTAAAAACTCTTGCAAAGAATATTTTGTTGAGTGAAAACAAATCAAGTCGACAACAGGCGCCTACTCCAAACTTTGAATGTTTGGCCAAAACATGTCATGTTTGCACGCAATAATTCATTTTTTTTTCCTCACGTGTACCCACTTAGATGCAACTGAGTGTAAAATGGCAGCAAAAACATCACAGTCTCAATTGTTTTGTTACGGGTTTTATTTTTACAAGGCTGCTGTGGATGCAAACCTGATTCTTACATGTATAAATATGATTATACATGTACATATGTACAGTGAAGGGAAGATCAGAACTTACCAGGCAATGCATGCATATTTCATGAACGATGCAATTCTTCTTTCACTTGTCCCTTTGGTGCTTGTTTTACAAGGAGTAAATAATGGTGAACTAATTTTGTAGATGGCAGCCCTGGTTATTTCTCTACTATATGCTTTTTAAACACTTCTTTAAAATCCATGGACTTTCATAAAAAAACAGTCCTGATCCTTGTCAGTCAAATCTTGTAACATTATGTTCTTTTTATATAAATCAAAGAAATGATTGCTCAGACAGCTCCATGCTTATTGTGGTGTTGGCTGTTTTTACTTTTTCCTTAATTTTCCTCTAACAGTTAATTCATTGATTGTTTATGATGTCTTATGCTCTTAGGGATCTACTTCGTTATCAGACAAACATGGACAAACATGACCCAGATGAGTGCTTGAAGGATGTGGAACTCTGGAATAATAGTACTAGCCGCTGTAATACGGTTAAGCCTGAGTTCAAAGCACCTGGTGCCATGGTGGGTAGAAATGGGTAATGTGACTGTTGGTACCTCAACATGGGCGGATCAGAATATTCAGAAAAGTGGTGGCTGGGACACTTGTGCACTAGTTGCCAGCTACTTTTAATGTATATAGCTGATACTATTTTATTTTATTAGGAATTCTTACAGATTACACAGAAAAGGGGGTGGCCACAGTCCCCTTGGCCAACACCTAACTCCGCCTTATATGCTTAAGGTAGTTCCTTTGATTTGCCCTGCCCCTACACATTAGCTACAGCACATAACATTGCAACAGGGGCAGTGATTTTCAATAGTCACCTAACGAGAGTTTACAGGCAGCAAAGGCCCCTTTTGTAGTCCAAATGGTTTTTGATTAATTGCTACCTGCAACCTACCTGCTACCTGTTACCTATTTTTGTCTTAAGAGTGTCTGAGATCTTGATCTGTCTAAAAGTTTGTGTGGAAGTTTGTTTCGCTATTTGTTAGCAGTTCCCAGTCCCTGCCGCATAGCACCCTATGAAGCGAAGTGAAATGGCAGCCAAAATCTCATTAGTGTGAGTGCTAAGAAAGTCTATTATTCTTTTTGAACACACTTAAAAGGAAATGGCAGTAAACGTATTTAGAGTTTCTTAGCACTCTTCAATGTGTGACCTCTTTGTCAGACATTCGTGAGTGTTATGTATGAGGTTGAACTCGAAAGTCGAACGCGAGTGCAAGGGACAGCTTAATCTTTTCTGTAATGCACCTGTGCTTGTCATGCAAGTTGTAAACTAAGTGAAGTTAATTTTGGGAAGGTAGCGAATGTTTAAGTGAGGAATCGAGGGGAACACAATGTTCTCTCATGTGTTTCGAAGCCCTGTCGTTCCATGAGCCCAACCAGTTTTCAGTTGTGGATCGTTGTGGATCACAAACACAATCAAAGAAAACTTGTTATGAGGAGACAATTTGTTTCAAAGCGCCCTAGAAAATTAACTCAACAGAATCGTTTTTTGTGCTGCAAATTGTCGATCATGTCAATCAATCAATCAGTCCATAAGAAGTAGGTTTCAATTAATAATTTTGAAGAACCAAAATAAATTTTAAAAAGTTAATGCAATATAGCTGGCAAATCCAAAATCCTGGTAATCGATCCAAACCGTGTTTATTTCCAGGTACTATATTAGAGCTGTCATTATTCAATTTTGATGCAGATGAAGCAAATAAAGATTGGCTGTCTCTGTAAAATCTTACATAAGTTTATTGTGTAGATCATCTTTACATGCACGTAGCTTTCCACCAAAGCTGATCACCCACAACATCAAGTGACCTCAACCTTAACAGGTGTTATGGATTATGGTGCCTAATGACAGCTCCGCCATGTTTTGTGGATTTTTAAGTGATCTGCAGGGAAAAGATGGTACAATTTCTACTGCGTTGACCACTGTATTGTCCTTATATGTAGATATCAAAAGGAGATCACTTTTTTTGTATACATTGCGTTGATTTGTATATTTGAGTGGACCTGAGTATTAATCAAAATACTTTAAATGCAGACTGTACCTCAATTTATTTAATTATAGTGACTATTGGCTGACATTCTTTACTTTTAGACATGGAAGTTTGTCATTGTTCCAATGATCCTGTATTGTTGTGAGCGCCTCCTAAGAGTGTACAGGTCTTTTCAGCCAGTGACGATTATAAAGGTGCAGTAAATATTTAGCAGGGTGTAAATTAACTGAAATATTTGCTGGTGTTGCATTTTTTTATTTTTGACATTTTTGTTTGGTTTATTTTATGACAACACAAACATCACTTGATTGATGCCAGACACGATGATACTTTTTAGTTCAGTGGAACCTTGATATAACAAACCTCCATGTAATGAAGTCCTTGGTTAAATAAGGAATGATTTTCTCTACTCCAGTCATTATGGGAAAGAACTTCGATATAATGAAACCTTGTAATAGCAAACCAATTTTTCTAGTCCCTTGGCTGTTTGTTATATCGAGGCTCCACTGTATCAGCAGGTTGTATGTGTGAATTGTACAGTTGATTCTCTCTCAATGGACTCTTCTAAAAGACGAGCACCTCACTAAAACACACACCTTAAGTTGGTCTCTGCCTTTCTTTACTCCCATTGTTTTACTCTCTATAAGACAGAAATCACTCTTTGATGGACATCTAGTGCCGGTTCCAAATGTGTGCGTCTGAGAGTGAGTTGAATTGTGTAACCTACTCAGCCATGGCGTTAAAGAATTTAGTATTACCTGCATGCCTTTTGATCGGCTGATGTACTTGCTGTCAGCTAAACTGTGAGCTCATAGATGGTTGATAGTGAAAAGTTGCTGTATGCAGAGAAATAAAATGGTCAAATATGAAAATTGCCAATAAATCCCCTTAAATATGTACTTGTAAAATGTTACATTGAAAACATTCTAGTTTTTATGCACTCTTAATCTGCATCTGCTCAATAGTTTTGGCTTCAGGCTTAAATTGTCCTACTTTAATAATCAGTGGACAGCAATCTCCAATCTCCCTTTATCTTATATTGTTACATGTAAAGGCCTGTAGCTTGTTGGTTTAATTTACTATCTTTATTTACATACTCTGTAAAAGGTCATCAAACATCCATCAAGAGTGCTTGAGATTCAAATGAAGAAAGAGGGCTTCACATGCGAGGCTGGACAGGTGAGTAACAAATCAAACACAGGGGTCTAGACAGGAAAAAATTTCCATCAAAAAATTCATTTTTATAGGGACTGCGTCACTAGTTGCAGATTAGCCCATTTTCTTTATTTTGTCTAGTCATTAACATTAGGAAAGAAATTACTTTTCACAGGGTAGCTAGGAAAGTGATTGAAAGGGGTTAATTTGATGAGGAGTCACCTTGAGGGGTAGCTGGGATAAACATAACACCTCCCAGCTAATAACTCTGATGGTCGCAGATTTTTGGTGCAAAAATCTTAGATAAATAAGATCGAATTATTTTGTTAGCAGGGAAGGAGTACATGTATATGTAGAGTCAACACTGATAATAAGAGTGTATGCAAGGGTAAAGCATTCTAAGGTTTTTGCAACATGACTCAGGCATTGTCACACAATAAAATTGTGCATCCCCTGCATCTATAAAAGTTTTTTTTTTCACAATCCAAACTGATTAGGAGTGGAAAGAAATCAAATATAGAACTATTATTCATGTTTAATCTCATTTCTATGATTATTTTCAGTACATTTTCCTCAAGTGCCCTAAGATCTCACATTTGGAGTGGCATCCCTTTACTCTAACATCTGTAAGTACAAACAAAAAACTGTTACATTTATTGTTAATGCTTGTTTGTGAGTCCCAATTTGTCAACTCACACGTTTTCCTTAGTTGTATTCCTGCATTAACTTTCATTGCTATTTAAGAGAAGTTATTAAAATAAGTGGGTGTCTGACTATTATTGTGGGTGACAAGAGGAGCTCACAATCCTAATCTCCAAGTTGCTAGTGCGCTTGCACCTCAGGTATGTAGCTATAGCCTCATTTGGAGTTCAACTGAGAATGAGTGGAATGCATCACACGCAATATGATCACACGCATTCAGACCCTCTATCACTTGTGATTTAATCACTCATGTTTTGACCATCTATCACGTTAAACTGATGCAAAGCACAGGGTTTGAGCAAAAGTGCTTTGACCTTCCATCGTTGTCACCTGCACTCCGTAACCTTTGGTTATTACTCGTTTATAGAGGTAGGCAATGTGCAAAGTTTCACGTTTTTGGGACCATGGGAACTAGAGAGAGAGAGCCCCAGAGGGGCTTTTCAGTGATACAATATAATGTTATATTCCATTACCAAATGTCTAATATCATTTTCATTATCTTTATTGTCGTCATCATCATCATCATCATCATCATTATTATAATTATAATAATAATTATTATTATTATTGATAATAAATTTATTAATTCCAGGCACCAGAGGAATCCTACTTTAGCATCCATATAAGAGATGCAGGAGACTGGACGAGTGAGTAAAGTTGATTGGTTATCTAAACAAGAGACAAGGAGCTCTTGTAAAGTACTACATGGCCTGTGCAGCAAGTGTTTCTGCTTGAGTTAATGTGAAAACGTCACGAGTTTGACCTCACTTTTTCATATCATTTTTATTATAGACACTCTGCACAAAGAATTTGATGTTGGTGGGGATGGAATTAAAAATATAGCTGATTGTCCAAGGTAAATAATATTTTCACTTTTTACACCGTAAATTATATTTCGTGGGAATTCTGCAGTCGTTTTGTTCCGGGAATATTACAACAACATTTTTTGTTGATAGATGAAGTATTGACCCCAGTTTGCTTTCATGTGTGAGGTTTAAAAAGACCAACCATAGTTGCATAGTTAGTGTATATAGGAGACTGGTTATGAAAGCCCGGAAAATATCAAAACTGATAAAGACAACAGTGCTGCAGTTTATGTAGCCGGCTCTCCTGATGGTGCTCAATCTTTTGATATTGGTGGAAAAATTGTGGCTGCATAAATTTATTAGACGTTGGTTCAAAATGGTAGTTTTTGCCAATGTCCAAAAAAGGTAACACAATGTAAAAAAAAAAAATCTGACGGGCTGTATATCCTTTGCATTTTATTGGCTGTGTTTTGTCAGGGGGTTGTTTTTGTGGTAACCAGGGGCAAGAGAAGATGTGAAAATGGTACTTAAGTGACAAGTACTACCTGGTGATTGGATTTACGTAAGGAAGAGGTGAAAATAGGTCGTTCTTTCTTTCTGAAATCCCATCTGAATCCAGCACTAAGACCATGTCAAGACAGCTGGTGTGTGCAGATGGAGCTGGATGAAGTGGCCAGGTCTGTGCAGTCCACAACGCATTTCTCAGAATTTCCTTTCTGCTCCTTTAACCTGCTAAAGCTTTCTTCTTTGGGGCCCTCCTAGTTTAGACTGAGATGGTAAGCCTGTGCATGGTAAGGTGAACCTGCACCAAGACAGTTGAGGGAAAGAGTGGTAGACTGTGTTACAGCGAGGATCTACCCTAGCTCTTGCTGACTAATAAATGAGAGTATGTTATCGAAAACGTAGTACATGTCTGTCGTAAGTGCAAAGTAATCGTGAATGGAAGAATGAATGTTGAGTTTTATTTATCAGAGAATTCAAACAGTTGTCAGTAAACGTTCACGTAGAAGCTGCTGTTTCATTTTGCCTGCATTAAGGTGTTAATTTTTGTTATAGACTGGCTGTGGATGGTCCATTTGGTACATCAAGCACGGTAAGTAACGTGGACATCTTTGATCATAACATGTTGATATTTCTTTCACGCCACGGTACATACAAGTGTTGCTATGTGCCTTGTAGACCTCTGACTTATTCCTCTTTAAGTTTGGCTTTTTGGTTACCCACAGACACAACCTTCTTTGTATGCCTTAATTTGTACCAATACTATCAAGGGCACAGTTAAGCAGATGACAAGAAAGTTATTGCTTTTCCCATATTAGGTTGTATTATCTATGAAAATTGCTTAATTTTGGTATACACTCATACTGTTTTGTGAGAGATATCAGTCACCATATATCACTGGAAAGCATTGCAAACATTATTTATATTAACTAGTATGTATTACATATTTTCTTTGGGATACCTGTAATGATTACGAGCGCGTGATCTCGGGGAGAAAGAATCATGACATCATTTGAACCTGCTTTTTTTCAGGATGTGTTCAAATATGAGGTTATTATGTGCATCGGTGCTGGAATTGGGGTGACTCCATTTGCGTCAATCTTGAAGTCTGTTTGGTAAGCTTTTTTGACCTAATAGTTTATATTGACCTTTTTTCAATTACTATCTACACAATAACAGCAATCGCCGTAGAACCGGCATTCAGTACCCACGACAGAAACGTGTCCACCTTTAAGAGAGTCATTGTAAAGGACTATAGCCGGAATGGTAGGGACCTGCTCGGAATATCCGTTTAGACGAGGTTTTCTTCGTTTAGCTATAAATTAAGGTGTCCGCTTTGAGAACAACCTCGTCCCCAGAGTTGCTTTGAGAAAGTTTACTCTAATTTTCAAGAATTGCATGTAAATGCTGAATTCCTCTTATGTATAGAAATTTTTTATTCTCGGTTGTCTGAATCATATTTATTTCTCCTAATTCACCAGGTATCGCCACAATCAAGGTTATGATAATCTCAAGATTAAGAAAGTGTACTTCTTCTGGATTTGTAGAGATACAAATGCTTTCGAATGGTTTACTGATCTTCTCAAGCATTTGGAAATTCAGGTGAAGTGCATATGCTCGGAAACAGGGCATTTCGACGCGTTTTACACTGTTAGTTAGCGTAAAGCTTCAAGGCCATAGATTTATTTGCCATAAGGTGATCGCAATGAACAAACAGTATTTCATCATCATCATTTTCGTCATCGTTGCCATCATCATCATCCATCATCCATCATCCATCATCCATCATCCATCATCCATCATCCATCATCCATCATCCATCATCCATCATCCATATCATCATCATCATCATCCATCATCCATCATCCATCATCCATCATCAATCATCAATCATCAATCAGGCCAATCGGTGGATAGGGTCCGGTGGGAAATTTGGTCCATCCTATTGCCTCTGTCTCTCGCAGCAATGAAGGCCTCAGCCCAAGAACTCGATTCCATCTTGAATAGTTCTTTCCCCACTCACATTTTTGAGAATGTATTTCTCTGTCTTCTCCTCTCTTTTTCTCGCCTTCTGAGGCCCAGGTGACGGTGTTAAAATTCGTCCACAGGGAAACCTGTATTAAGCAGACTCCATATTAGGTAGAAAAATAGCTAATTTTTCCCCATAGTTTCTGTAAAATGAACTGGTATTTGGGGAACAGCTCTATTACGTATGTAACAACGAAGGTCCCTTGAGTGTAAGCGTAATACAGGTTTCACTATATTTCTTATGGATGACCGATAAACCACCACCTTCCCAAAATGAATCACAAGCTAAATATTTTGACCGTTTACAAAAAAAAAGAAATCAATCCGGCAGCAGGAAATTAGCCGGTGCAGTAAGCTATAAAGGGCAAACGGTTTGGCATGCGAGCATGAACAAGAGAAGTAGGAATGAGGAAATTGTATAGTTTTGCTCCAACTGGGACCGTAACACTTGAATAAATGCTTGCTCCGCCGGGTGAATGGAATGTGGGTAATTTACTTAAAGCTTCACGCAAGAAGGTATTTACCTTTCATTACTAATTTCAGATGGCAGAACTGGAAATGCTTCACTTCGTGGAATACAACATTTATCTCACAGGATGGGATAACAAACTGGTAAGACTAACAAGCTCAATAACCAGTTCCCCCACCCCACGTCTGTCCGTCCAGCAGGGCTGTCGCTAAGATTTCAAGTTGCTGGATATACCGTATTTCCTCGAATAATAGCCGTCCCTCTAATAATCGCCCCCCTTTTAACGGAAATGTTTAAAATAATCTCATATCCAACGCGCACTCGTGGAATAATTGTTAATTATACCATAAATCCTTGGGTCATATCCCTTTTCTTCGTTTAGCGTCGAATGCCTTAGTTACCTACCCCAGTGTTTCTGTAATTCTTTGCCTAAAATTATTTTCATTGTACGAATTCATCGCTGTGTTTCTGTGAATTATCTTAAGGAAGATTATAGCAGGTGCCGAGGAGGGTTTTTGGTGGGGGGTGTGGTTGGGGAAGCAAAAATAAATCATAGGAAGAACATTCCGCGAATAAGTTCCCTCCATTCCGAGCTCTTATAATCCCCTCAAAAATACAAAGATGTGTAATTAGAACCGTGATAACACATCTATTAAAATTCGACTTCAGTCAGTGAGAAAAGTCTTTGTAGTTGTAGTTACTTGATACAATTGTTGTATTTTTTAGGCTATTCAGACTACTTTGCATGCAGAAGGTGCTCAAGACAACATCACGCGGTTGGATGCCAAGACAAAATATGGCAGACCAAAGTGGGATGACATCTTTAAGGGAATTGCCAATAACCACAAAGGGTGGGTAACGTAATAAAATAATTTGGAAGCTCAAGTAAACACGACGGTAATGCTAAAGAATCGTCAATTGTTGCTTCAAACGTTGTCGTGAATATTCCAGTTTGCTTGGTTTGTTGAATATGGGAGTTGTTTTCCCCGTAAGTGAATATTGTTAGTGAACTGTATTTGTTCCGTTTATTTATTTGTGTTATTATTATGTTATTTCATTTTTTTTTTATACCTTTTAACCTATTCTAAAGCGCATTTGATCATGCTCCATGGAAAATTGCGCTATATAAGTTTTAATTAATTGTAATTGTAATTGTAGAACCGTATCAATGGTCGTAAAGGGAAAGAAAAATTTTGCTCCCATAAAATAGTTCATTATCAAATTTCGTGTCGTCCACACTGAGCTATAGTTGTCCGTTTATTTAGACCCGCTTTTCTTTCTGCTTCTGTTCTTCGCTGTCCCTTTCAGTGCTCTTTCACTCTCAGTCATTTCGAAGAAAGATATTGAAGTAAATCTTGTAAAATACTTTTATGGGGGGAGAAAGTATTTGACTTTTAATTGTCGTGTAGTATCCAAATTATATCTAAGTCTTGTCAGCTATCTTGATCCCCACTCCTGGGTGACGCTGATGTCAAAGCTGATGGAGTGTAAGTTAATGGAAAAGTTATCAAACCAAGACACATGGGAGACGAACCTTGTTGTGCGAAAGCTAGTGAAGCAGTGATGAGCTTATAAGAGGAGGCACCAGTCTTCGTCATGCTCGCTGTTGTGAGTGGCCTCAGCTTGTTGGACTGTAGACTACGAGCAGTCTCTCTTTTTCCTGTGGTCCGTCGAGCAAAACACGAGACACGCAAATGGCCACGCGCCGAGACTGCCCGCAGTCTAGTTGGACTGCAATATTTTTGCAGATATAAAACTTTTTTTAGCCTTCAGGTAGTAGTACTTACCTTCTCAGTACATTTTGCTAATTTTGGATGTATGATTCGTTTGGCATCTGCTGGATTGAACACGCTTGAATTTTGACGCCCCATTCATCACAAAGACACCTTCAGCGTTTGTATTCGTTTCTGTGCAGTCCTCTCAAAAGCGTTTCTTTATAGAGTCTGAAGTTAGTCGCAGAAAAGTGTTTCAAGAGGGGCAATCTGATCAAGAAGGTAACTGACGCTCGCTGGGGGTACGAACTTTACCATCCACCGTACGTCGACTTTGCCTTGGTGTATTCTACTGCAGAGTATACTGCTCTGTCTGGTCGCAAGTTTTCCACACCTCAGCTGTCGGCACCATGATTTACGACTCCCTGAGAGTCATCTCTGAATGCTTAGCCCCCATTCCCCCACTTCTTCTGGTATGTTTTGTTTTGTTACCAGATGTAGCAGCATCCCGCCTGCCAGCATCTGAAGGAACCACCTGGTCCTGAAACTCGTCGAGAAATCTTATTTGCTGGACAGCCTTGCGCCATGGGTCGCAATGAGAACTCACAACAGCACCTTAAACGCAAGAATTTAGCTGTATGCGTCCCAGTGCCTTTGACCAGTGCCCCTCTCTCTTTAGTAATTAAAGTGGGTCATGGAACAGTGGCGCAGGGGATGGGAGAGAAAACACACCAGGTTACACAATTACCGCTTACATTCCTGAGCCCTCCATTAAACCTGTTGGCCACTTCCTCCCATGTCACGCCTAAGTCAACCTTACATGTGTCCCCCGCATCTTTTGGGGGAAAACTCAGGCCTCATTTTACGACATTAGTGCGGTAGCTTGTGGAATCTGCCCCTGTGAGTACCCTAAACTGCGAGCCACCTCACTGAACGCTGCCCCATCTTCAGTACTCTCTTTGTGCTCCCAGTGGTGCCCTGGTGTCCTCCTCTTCCAATTTTTTTTTTTGCCCCGACCTCTCACTGTGACTGCTTGTACAACTCACGACGACGACGACGTCTCGTAACTTTACTATTCACAGTTGAAGCTTGAAGCTATAAGGGGTCAGATGGATGAGTTTAATTATACGATGTTTTTCAGAGGTGTTTTTGTCTTTCCGTCAACCATATCTCCCTAACTGGAAGAAACGGATGCTTCACGGGCGAACGACACGACAGGCTTTACAAAGGAGAACAATTTCTAACTTCTCACGTCACGTAGACGTTGGTTAGACACGCATTCGTAACCATGGGGAACGCGTGACGAGGTCTTAATAATATAAGAACCTTTTTGTAGGAGGCCAAACAAATTAGTGTATTTCCTTTTCGAATCAGTATAGTGAGGAAATAATCTGGGTTTTTTTGCAATGGAGCCGGTTAAGTATGCAGTTAATATTTCCCGTGGAAGAGTGGCCCCTTGTTACGATTCAAAACTTCCTTCGTTTCCCTTTGAGACTATCCACATCTCCTGCAAGTCAGATGCGTATCAAGGAACTGATTATTGTTACGCTGGTGTCATCATCTACTCTTGCGATGGCAAATCAGAGTGGCAAACCGCCAATGGTACCCGCTGTAAGAGTGGATATCTTGTGATTATGGATACTGGAACTGAGAAAGTGAAGCAGTTTCGGGGAAAAAGCCCTGGCCAAGTTCATGGAGCTGTTTACAGAAGTGCTTTTGGAGAGGAACGCAATCCGCGAATTGTCATTGCTGAAGGTTTCTCTGTGATGAATGGAAAGTTCAAGATAAATTCGGGTGTGTTTAATCCGGCACAAGATGGCTACCACGACAGTAAGAAATCCATGAATCCTTATACCGAGCAGTGCGTTAAGAAAGTGATTGATTACTGGAAGGAAGCGCGTGAACACTTCCTTCGGTGCAGAAATTTTAAGGTCCAAGACTTGTTGAAGGAATGAACCTTCAACGTGGCTGTGAACAGACCTTTTTGTGCTAGAGGCAGCGATTAATCCTATCGCATGAAAAAATGATGATAAATCGTGTTTATTTTTACAATTCAATGTTAACTACGTTTTTGATTCGATTCGTTTAGCCGAAAAAGGTAACTGATTGTACTCCTATTTTAGCCGTAGATTTTTCTTGGGTGTGTTTCCTTTGGCGTGTGGGCTATATATTAAAACTTATTTTGGTTTAAACATGGTGAATTAATGGTCTTTTGCGGAAGCCTTAAACGAAGATATTGTTCGCTTGTCTTGCGTTATTCACTTTGCAGTTACACATGGCTTCATGTTAGGGAAAAAACAAACTTGATGGACAAACAGCTCTTTTTTAAAAAGTCTGCTTGTCGTTGAGACTCCCCTCTTTTATTTACGCCGGGTACCGTAAAAGTCGCTGAATTTGATTGCGATTTTTTCTTCTTCGAGGAATGGGTGGCAACAAGAGCCATAATGGTGGCAAAAAGGAAGAATCAATAATCATCTTGTCATTTCCTTTGCCAAGGGCCATTTGACAACAAGAGCCATGATGGTAGCAAAAAGGAAGAATCAATAATCATCTTGTCATTTCCTTTGCCAAGGGCCATTTGAAAATGAGACCTTGAGACCAAAGATAAAGAGCAAACAAAAGTCGTATGCCAAACCATTCCTCCATTATGAAAGTGGAGATTTAGCGCGATAACTAGACAAAAAGAGCCGGTCATGTCCAATGCTGCCACACTGTTACGGACCATTAAGAGCAGTTGACGGATCGTACGGTTCGTTAAACCGTCAGCGTTGCTAACAGTCCGTATTCTGAGCACATACGGAGCGTGTATCTCATTATTACATAGATCACAAAGTGCTTTACTGTTTTTATCATCCTTGGTGTATAGACGGGTTATTTTATACCTCCCAGCTCATTAAGAAACTTCTCTGAATGCAGCTAAACAGGAAACAGACAACGGAAAATATTTGGTACCCGATGCAGCGTGTTAACGGAAAAAACCCAGCTTTTGACTTTAACCGGCATTGTTTCTACTTCGATAAGGCAAGCTGTTTTCACTCAACTTAGACTTAATAGATTTAGCCGTCAGCGAAATCGAGCCTTTCGTGACTTTTTCCTTCCTTTTTGAGACGTTCTGCTTAGTTCTGCGTTTGTTACTACCGCCTTGCGTTCGACTAGTTCAAGACAATATCTTGCACATTATCGTTAATTAGCATCACGTCAACTGGTACTTAAGTACGTGCGGTTGAGTGTTTTTCATTGAAGACCTTTTCTGCCGATGGCGTGCGTCCTTTAATTGGACTTTGTGCATAGTATATGTACCTTTCTTTTGTTTTGTATCGTTGCTCGCTTACAATAAATTTATGTTCCAAATAAATCGACACTGTGTCAGTAATCTACTAGCTAATAAGTCAATCAACCTTTACTTTCAATATAGGTAGGTTTCTTCTTAACCTGACAAAGTTTCCACCTGATAAGGCTAATTCCTTAGCTATATATAGAACCTAAAATCGCCCGCTGCTTTGACGATTGCAACTGCTTCTCGCGGGGCTTAATAACGGTCGTTTTGTTATAGGACCTTATAGAGTTGTTTCGATACAAGTCGTTTCGATACAAAGTCATTTTGATACAAAGTCGTTTCGATACAAGTCAAGCCTTTCGAGGTACCTATAGTTTCGCGTAGTTGGCTTATATAGAACTAGATATATTCACGGCATTTGTTTTTCTTGTTCACCCTCTAACTCTACTTTATCAGCTTCATGTGTTCGAAACTGTTGTGCAGTTTCACTGCTTAAGTTCATACCAAAACAAGGTTGTATCAAAACGACTGGCTTACCTTATAGGCTCACAAAACAAAGTTTCCCCTGCTGTCTTATGTACTTTTCATCCTGATCCCCGCATGTGGGATTGTAATTTAACAGTCTATGCTAAGACTCACCCTTGTCAGACCTCATCTAGAATTTGCCTCTGCTATATGGGATCCCTACCGGCAAGATCAAATAGACAAGATTGAAGCGGACCAGAGACGAGCAGCAAGATTTATAATACGAGATTACGACTGGAATTCTAGAGTGTATCGCGAATGCTGCTTTCGCTGTCCTTAGAACCATTAAAGGACGGAAGGAAAATTCGTCTTCGAACATTTCACCAAGCTCACAACAACATTATCGCTTTACCAGCTTCACATTACCACCAGCAGTCGCTACATTTGACAAGAAGCCCCTCGACGAATGTTAAAACCTACGCTTTTTAGCTTCTTTCCGAGAACAATAAAGGATTGGAACTTAATCCCCTCTATGATTAGAGCAGAAAGTTATTCAAACTTTTGTAATTACCTTTGCTATAACTCTTAAGTTTATCTTATACTACTTCTTTTTCTTCTTTCCTTTTTGATTTTCATTCGTCTTTTTTCAATGTGAAAGCACTGAAGAGTAAGTGAGGAGAACTAGAAGTAGGAAACTCTTGGTTCTTAGCTTCCCTGGTGGTTCCAGCTATGTCTCACGTAAAAGTTTGGTCTCTAGTGTTCTCAGGGTTATTTCAGCCCTCTTTATTCTCCTTGACTCGGTGATATATTCTGAAGCATCTTAAATAATTAAAAAGAAGCCACATTTATTGAAAGTCCAAGAATAAAATTCTCCCCTAACTTTAAAATGGTTATAAATTGGATGGTAGTGATCTGTTTCTCCTCCAACAAAATTTTTATAAACTTTTATGATTGCTTTCTTTTTTCTTAAATTTCCAGGCAAGAAATTGGAGTCTTCTTCTGTGGTCCTAGTGTTCTATCACACGTCCTACATAATATGTCAGACCAGTACAGCGACAAGTACACTGGAGTCAAGTTCTGTTACAACAAAGAAAACTTCTAGGGTGCTTTGCCCCCGCAAATGTCCATACCCCCCCCCCCCCTTCCCTCCCCAACCTCTTGTGGAGAGTCTTTGGAAAAAATGAGAGTCAGGAGTCAAACAACGCTGAAAGTTTAACTTCAATTTCTATAAGGACCCCCCCTTCCGGGGGGGGATGGGGGCAAGGGTATGGATAAGGTTTTAGAATAACACAGTATCCGTGAAAACATCTAAATTAAAAAAAGGCGTGGTTGAAAATTACGTAAGTTGAAGGTTATTAGATGCAGTTGTATAAAGATGCAGTTGTATTAAGTTAAGAGAGCTGCCCTAAGACTAGAAAGTTTTAAAACTTGTATTAGTCAGAATTTTTTGACCTGTATTCTTCAGGAATGGTGATATTTTTTAATGTTGTTTTACTATTTTGATTAAAAAAATAAATTGATATTTCCAACAAACACCTAATTTTTACTTTTTTCTTGTTTGTTTTTTTGTTTCTTTAAAAATTGTTCATGAAATATTTTAATATTTTCTGGTATTTTAATATTTTCTGGTATTTTAATATTTTCTGGTAACAATACATACCGGTATAAGCTAGACTTAATCAGTTTTTTCCGTCAGTAAGATCCCAGGGGGAAGAATTGAAATCTTGTATATTTGCTGATCGTGTTTTTTCCATACCACAATTTTCTCAGTTTAGTTATCCCAGTACTATAGTTCACAGTTCTTAATTTTACAATAATTTTTACTTTTAATTAAAAATACTGGAAAATGATAAAAAAATTATTACAAATGCCACTACTTTTTGGGTTTGAAAATGACGTGGAATCATTGAGACGACTGTCTTTCAGGAAAACATTATTACATCTGCATGTTGGTGGTCATATTAATTTCAATTTGTCACTGCCAAAGGTCGAAGGCTGGGGTAGTTAACAGAACAGAAAGTGCAAAATATTTTGAATGAATGATAATAATGATAACTGTTATTGTCATTTGCCAATGACTCCTCTCTCCATTACTTGGAAGAGTGCTTGGGACAGTTGCCAACAGGGTAAACAGATTACTTATGGGCCGTAGCCAGACTTTTGGCACAGATTAGGCATCATCTCTGATCGCTAAACACAAGCCACTAGTACGGTCCTGGGTTCATCTCCCAAAAAATTTGAAGTCTAGAAGCTTTGTAATGCTATTTTTAGCATTGCTGTGTTATTTTCATGGCGTATGTCTTAAGAAAAATCAAATCGTGCAATGTTATTTCCAATTAAACAGTTTGGTATGTGTTTTGTTTTTTGACAACTGTCTTGTCTTGCCTCTTGCTAGCTGCAGTCCTGAGTTTCTTTCTTGCTATTTGCAGCCTACTGCAGTGGGTAATTAGGGACAGGTTTTTTGGGGGGGGCGGGGGGGAGGGCGGTCTTGTGCAATCCCCATTTTACACCAAATACATTTCCCTACAGCCTTAGGTACCCCTTTTTCATCTTGACATACAATCTTAGGTGGAACCTTAATCAAAACTACTAATCCTCTCTAGGGAATCAAAATCAGTGGCTGCAAGAAGCAAATTATATTGTAGTATCGCTTATACAGTTAGAATTATGTAATTTTTGAATTATAACAATTTAAAAGATAATGATGTCAGACATCAAGAAATGTAGTCATGCAATTTGTTAAATTTTATTTTAATGGCAAGGGCCAATAGTACAAGGGTATTTAATAAATTTAGGCACAAGTTTTTCTTTACATTCAAATGCTTTAGCAAGAGAATACAATAACTTACTGATTTAAGGCCACAACATTTTAATGCGTCATGCCCCTTCAACGCTGAAAGTTTAACTTCCATTTCTATAAGGACCCCCCTCCCGGGGGGGGGAGGGGGAGGGGGGGCAAGGGTATGGATAAGGTTTTAGAATAACAGTATCCGTGAAAACGTCTAAATTAAAAAAAGGCGTGGTTGAAAATTACGTAAGTTGAAGGTTATTAGATGCAGTTGTATAAAGATGCAGTTGTATTAAGTTAAGAGAGCTGCCCTAAGACTAGAAAGTTTTAAAACTTGTATTAGTCAGAATTTTTTGACCTGTATTCTTCAGGAATGGTGATATTTTTTAATGTTGTTTTACTATTTTGATTAAAAAAATAAATTG